TATCCTATCTATCCTATCTATCCTATCTATCCTATCTATCCTATCTATCCTATCTATCATATCTATCATATCTATCATATCTATCATATCTATCATATCTATCATATCTATCATATCTATCATATCTATCATATCTATCTATCATATCTATCATATCTATCATATCTATCATATCTATCATATCTATCATATTTATCATATCTATCTATCAATCTATCATATCTATCATATCTATCATATCTATCATATCTATCAATCTATCATATCTATCTATATATCTATCTATCTATCATATCTATCATATCTATCATATCTATCATATCTATCATATCTATCTTATCTATCTATCTATCTATCTATCTATCTATCTATCTATCTATCTATCTATCTATCTATCTATCTATCTATCTATCTATCTATCTATCTTATCTATCTATCTGTCTAGCTGTCTACCTGTCTATCTTTTGTGCAGTGTCATTCAGTGTAATGTAGTTAGTGTAATGTAGTGTAATGTAGTGGAGTGTAGTTGTAGTTGTAGGTGGTAGTGGAGTGTAGTGTAGAGTAGTGTCGTGAAGTGTAGCGGCAGGTAGTGTAGTGTAGTGTAGTGTAATGTAGTGTAGTGTAGTGGAGTCTAGTGTAGTGTAATGTAGTGTAGTGTAAGGTAGTGTAGTGTAGTGGAGTGTAGTTGTGTAGTTTTAGTTGTAGTGTTGTGGAGTGTAGTGTAGTGTAAGGTAGTGCAATGTAGTTTAATGTTGTGTAGTGGAGTGTAGTGGAGTGTAGTTGGGTAGGTGTAGTTGTATTTGTAGTGTAGTGGAGTGTAGTGTAGTGTAATGTAGTGAAGTGTAGTGTAGAGAGTGTAGTGCAGTGTAATTTAGTGTAGTGGACTGTAGTGGATTGTAGTTGTGTAGTTGTAGTTGTAACCTGTAGTGTTGTGAAGTGTAGTGTAATGTAATGTAGTGTAATGTAGTGTAGTGCAGCAAAGTGTAGTGTCATGTAGTGTAGTCGAGTTAAGCGAAGCAACATCTGAACCGCCAAAAGTGGTCCGAAACCCTAGTGTTTTTGACATGTTCACTTCCAAATCTGCTTCGCGCCACAACGGCGTGCACTTTTTCGAAACTCGACATCTCAGCCTCCAAAAGTGGTCCGAACATGGTGTGGTTTGTACATTTTGACTTCGAAATGTGCTTCGCGCCACAGCGGTGTGCACTTTTTCGAAACTCGACCTCTGAGCCTCCAGAAGTGGTTCGAACCCCTGGTGTTTTGCACATTTTGACTTCGAAATGTGCTTCGTGCCACAACGGCGTGCACTTTTTCGAAACTCGACCTCTGAGCCTCCAAAAGTGGTCCGAACCCCTAGTGTTTTTAACATTTTGACTTCGAAATGTGCTTCGTGCCACAACGGCGTGCACTTTTTCGAAACTCGACCTCTGAGCCTCCAAAAGTGGTCCGAACCCCTAGTGTTTTTAACATTTTGACTTGGAAATGTGCTTCGCGCCACAACAGCGTGCACTTTTTCGACATCTTAAGTGCCAAAAGTGGTCCGCACTTGGTGTGTTTTCTACATTTTGACTTGGACATGTGCTTCGCGCCACAACGGTGTGCACTTTTTCGACATCGCAACTTCCAAAAGTGGTCAGACCCTGGTGTGTTTTGTACATTTTGACTTGGGGATGTGCTTCGCGCCACAACGGCGTGCACTTTTTCGACATCTGAAGCGCCAAAAGTGGTCCGATCCTCTGGTGTTTTGTGCATTTTGACTTGGAAATGTGCTTCGCGCCACAACGGCGTGCAATTTTTCATGTCTCATCTCCCCATATGTCTCCGCACCCGCCGCTTTAGCGAGCCTACTTTTCGACCCTCCGGAACCACAAATCATTGGAAAAACACAGTGAATCGCGACTTTCCTACCTTTTCGCGCATCTGCATCTTCTTTCTTCTGACTCTTTCTCTTCTGAACTTTCTCTTCTCTCTGCCTCTGCCCTGCTCTGCTTTTCATCTGTCCATATTGTCGGAAGTTTAGCTTCTCAACTTCCTTCGACAATATAGTTAAAGATATGTATCTATATATATATACACATAATAATTCCATGATATATATATATACTAATATAATCTCAATATACATATAGATTCGTATATATATATATATATATGCATACTCTACCCAGCAATTGTGGGATATTGCGCTTTGGCTAGTGGTTGCCGAAGCATAATCGCTGCCCCTTGCTCAGCATATCTAGATCATTTGGTGGATTTTCCGCAAGGGTTCCTCCAAGATATTCTCTTCAACCAAAAGACTTCGCTAATGACATTTCAATATGTTTCATATATATGTATATTCGTATATATATAGTTATCATGTATAATAACTAGAACACCTATAATGACTAGAATTACTATAATAACTAGAACATAATTATCACAACTATATTGAACCCCCCCTTCGATTCCCCCAAGGTCCGCCTCTAAAGCCGCGTTTGCAAGAAGTCACCCCGCGGGCCCACTTTTTGCACCAAGATTCCAGCACCAGGATAGCCCTAAGTCAGTTGCTTTGGGTACATGCTGGGGTCAAAACACCACGTTTGTGAATCCCACACACTGTTCTACACATGTACACACCAGAATCAACCCCATCCGCGTTGCAACAATGTGCTGCCCCCAGTTACACGTTGCCTCGCAAACCCCATAACCTGATATTTATACATATATCTAACTATATGTATGTATTTATATATATATATGTCTGTGTGTCTGTGTGTGTGTCGTGTCCCCCCTCCCTGAAACCTACCTTTTTGGTACCCGCCCTCGAGTCCAAGCCCAGAAGACTTTTTTCGATATCCGCCCCAACTCCACCCACGTCCGTCCGCAGCGGATATGCCTCGTTCCCTTGCTCTCTTCTCCTGTTCCAACCCACGCCTACCTTTCGATCTTTCACCCTTCCCTCTCAAGTTATATTACTACGGCCATGACGAGTGTGCTGCCCGGGGAAATGCGTTTTGACTGCGCAGGGCCAGTGTTTTATGAGATTCGGGATGTCGGCCATCTACCCCAATGGCTGACAAGAGTTGCCCTCATCATCGTCGTCATCATCATCATCAGACATGAGACCCCAAGTACGCCTTGAACATAAAATCTTATTAAAACATATTAAAACCGTGGTTAACAAATAAATAAATTAAAAAAAACCTAAATGAAGCCCCAAATAAACCTTAAACAAACCCTAACAAACCCTAAATGACCCTAGTTGGTCCATAACCTTGGGCGGCACACCCGGCCTGGGGGTATTAATCTGATACATATATATATACACATATATATGTATATAAGACACATACATAACATATATATATATATAAATGTATATACACATATGTTAATATATATATATATGTATATACACATATGTTAATATATATATACCGTATATATATATACACATACACACTACTGTATATATATGTTACTGTTATAAATCTAATGCCACCATCCCCAGTCGTGGCTCGCAGGACGCTTACAGGAGCCAAGGAGATCTTCTACAAGTACGCTTCGTGTCGCCATGTCTTTTGGATCCAATGAATGGGCTGTCAGAACATGGGTTTTCTCTAGACAAATGCGGAAAAAAACCGGAAAAACCTGGAAAAAAGCTAAAATCCCCATGGTGAATCATGAATTTTCTCTGATACTTCGAATGTCATTTTTAGTAAATCCACCATTTTCAGACATCCGATGTTCATGTTCTCGATTGATGGAGTTAACCTATGTTAACCTGAGCTGCGAGCAGCTAGGATGATAGTTTGTCTATGTTTGTCTCATATTGTTGCAGGTACAACAATTTTCTGTACTCTTTGAGGTCAGCAAAGTCCTGTAATTTCACCATCCCGCTCAAGTCGCTCTAGTACGCGTGGTAATGGTAATTAAGACTTAAGATCTGGTTATGACTAACATAGCTACGGAAAATCCACTATAAATGGAGGTTTTAATGGGAAAATCATCTGTAAGTGGGCCATTTTCCATAGTTATGTTAAATAACCAGAGGGTAAGATATGTTTTGTCCATCCCGATCCCAAAATGATCCAGCTCAGCTGCATAGATCCAAGCTTTCGACAGCCTTGATCAGAGAGTAGAAGTGCAACAAAAACGTGGAACTCTGGTGGTTTTTCATGGGATTATGCTCCATTTACCAACCATCTAACCCAAATTTCAAGGGTTTGAGCCTCAGATGGTAATCGGAATCGTAATGGTCCAATATTGGAGTAATCCATGTAAAGGAATTGCAATTAATTTGGGTTCAATTGCAATTAATTTGGGTTTGGTTTTTTGAATGTCCCTTGGGCTTTTGATTCCATGTAATTCTGGGATTTTCATCCATATGTACACCACATGGTCAGAGGTATTGGAGAAGCCCGTCAGCGGTCCATGTGTTTGACAGAAGGGATGCTGTGAGCCCTACGCGTTTCTGAATCTTGTTGTTCTTTGTCAAATTAAATTCATAGAATCTCCGCAGACACAAATGAAGTGACTTTTAAGTGCGCCTAATGAATAATTAGTAATTAGTAGATCTATTTTCAGGCATATATCACATGCAGGGACTCAGATTCATTAAATAGGACTGGTATACTGCAGGAATCCTTTCGGATCCGGAAGCGGCGGGCCACCAGCAAACCCCCACAAAAACCACAAACAAAACACAATCAGCGAGGGAAGATAGTCACATGTGGCCCAAAGTTTTGTCGTTTTGCTTTTCTTTACTGTATTTTCCGCGCGTTTGGGCTCCCAGTGGTTTTGGATCGTGGAGTAATTTTTGAATTGTCACGAGACGCGCAAGACGTCCAATTTCACCGGATTTGTGTGTGATTTAATCGTGTGATTACTTGCCTTTGATAACCCGGTGGTGTTTTTTACATGCGTGACACACCCCGCATGGACATATTCGCTGCATGTTGTGTTCCAGTGTTTGTTAAGTCACTGAAGGAGGTTTTCTTTCTTGTTCGGTAGGAAAGCAAAATTGCCTGACAAAAAAGATGCATACAACTGTTTCCTCAAAACGTGCCAAATACTTTGCCAGCATGAGTGAGTTGGGCCGTGGTCTCTAGTTTCAGCCAATTGCAGGAAGACACACACAGACACACATTGAACCACGTGGCAGCAAAGTGGCAACAAACCCATATCTGCATTTTGTTTAAAGGACGTATGTGTATATATATATTTATATGTCTCATATTTCATATATATACATATATTTATATACGCAGACGCAATCATATATTATATATATATGTTTGCGTGGTGCCGAAAATTTTCGGACATGACATGAGGTTTCATTTTGCACCAATTTTGTTCAGGGTGTTGAGGACTGTGGTGGGTTGTTTTCCCTGCTTTGTACTTTCAAAGAAGTATTGAGCCGATGCTGCCACGGATTTGAGGATTCTGCGCTAGGCTACTTCATGCTATTTATTTGTTTATGCAATAACTCTTGCACGGGAGTGTAGTGTTCTTTGAGCAAAGCAATTTTCACTTCATACACGATTTAGGCACTCAGCTTGAAAAAAGCCAACCATTTTCAAAGAACACACTTTCCCTAGGAAAGTGCAGCATCACTTTCGGAGAGGGCAGCAGCTCTGTGACAAGAGTGCAGTAAAGCCTAGCTTTCAATGAGTCTTTCAAGATATACAGTATCCACACAGATAAAAAGCATAGTGTTACCTTTCAAGTTCGGTCCTTTGACATACAGCTGTCCTTTCAGAAAAGTCTGTTGCCATATGCAGTACATACTGTTTCAAGACAGTCCAGTTTCTTAGACTTCCCTTGAGAAGATGCAGCATATTCCATAGATATAATCTTTCAACATATCATGCGCATTGGTAAAAGCGTGTCGCTTGCTTGTAAGAGAGTGTCGCGTCGCTGTGTGCAAAAAAATGTCTAGAAGAGCGCAGCATTTCTGTGAAAAGAACGCGGAATTTCCTTGAACATGATGCAACCTATATTGTTTTAAGTTCCGGGAGTCCTCAAAATGTGCGGCATTCTTCCGAAACGATAAGCATTCCTCCGAAAGCAAGCGCCATCCCTTTACTAAAATCTCTCCCGTAACATATATATATATGTGTGTGTGTATGTAATTATAAATATATACACATACATGTATATGATGTACATATATGCATATCATATCATACCTCTTATAATTATATATATATGCGGTTGTTCCATGGACTGTTGAAAAAAACACAATATTCCGTTAATAAACAATGTAGTAGCACTTTATGCAATTTTACCCTTGAGAGAGTTCTGGATTACAATACTTCTTTGAAAGAGTATTATTGACTACATGTAGGCATGTTTTTTCAGGAAACTTCTTGGCAAAGAAGTTGAGGAAAGAGGCTTTACAAGATAATGGCTGCAACACTGTTTGTGTGAAAATAAGGGCCACGCCTCTTTGTTTCATTGGCTATTGGGTTTGCACTTTTTGCCCTGAGAAACCCACAGGCAAGTATTGCACTGGGACTGGTTGGGGCATAATCGTTGAATTACCAAAATATTGGAGCGTGATAGACTCATTAAAACACAACTAGTACATAATGCAACAGGTACGGTCCGACTTAGTTGATGAGTTTCCAGCTCATCAAGTACTGCAATCTCATGGGTATCGCATGCACTGACTAGTGATTATGTCATGCTCATTAACGGGTGGAATCTGTCCATCGTTTGGTGGGGGTTGATACTTTAAGCATTGGGGATTCCAGCGAAATTAAATTGCAATAAATTAAATTGCAATAAACCCAAATATATAGCAATTCAGAAACATCGATATGGTAGATCTTGGGTTGCAAAAATGTGAACCTGACTTCTACCAAAGTCGTTTGACTTTGGTAGATCTTCCATTGCAAAACCAAATATGGTAGATCTTGACCCTTCAAAATGTGATAGCAAGATCTACCATATTTTGCTGGGATAAGGAACATCTACCAAAGTCAAACGACTTTGGTAGAAGTCAGGTTCACATTTTTGCAACCTGACTTCTACAAAATCATTTTTTTTTCAGACCAAAATTGTTGCTATTAATTTGGGTCTGGATTTTCCCACTTTTCTACCAAAGTCGATCGACTTTGGTAGATAATTGGACCCTAATTAATAGCAACAATTTCCCAATCAATTTTCAGGACTTCAATTGGTAAGATTTCTGAAGGGTGTTTGTGGTCACTAAGCCCACCAAACATTGATAACAATCTTGAGGACCATGATTGCCCCATGTTGCTCCAATATTGCTTTTGTAGACCCTGATTTTTGGTCGATCCAACCCAACTAGACAAGCTACATAATGGGATGCCTACTGACTGCGCTGCACACAACCTCACAGAATTCTTCTGTGCAGGCCTGTGATACGACTGATCATGTTAGGCAATTTGCAGACCCTTCCGTCATTTGATGATAAAGAATTTCATTACATGCGCTTCCATCCAGAGTTTCACTTGTTTTTGATTTCACGGCATGGGCTCGTATGGACACGTATACGGCTAGCCACTACAGGCCCCCAAGACCAAAGTTATGGAGCAAGTCTGTATAAAGGTGAGGTGTGCCCTTCCAAATTGCAATATTTGTTGCCAAAAATGCAGTCAGGAGTGAAACAAATTTTGCACCAACAAAAAACATCGCAGCCAAAGCTACCACTTGCTTGAGAAGGGGTCGCGTTCGCATAAAGTGCATGTCCATGAGCAAGTGCAGTATTCATTGCACGCCCCTTTATCAAAAAATAGTATTTGCTCAAGAAGTGCCGTATCCTTCAAGAATATGTAGTGCTTACATCAGAAAGTACCGCCAACAAGTGGCACGCTGTAGTCCCATACAGCAGTCTTTTTAAGAAGTTGGGTGCCTTCAGAAAACACATTCTTTCTCCAGATCAATGCATCAAAATATGCAGTATTTCAGTAGTTATGCGTTCACATAATGCTATGCATTTGAGCAAATATGGTGTGTCTTTTGCAAGATATTATTCTGTTGAAATTTTGCGCTCTTTTCAAAAATTCAATATCCCCTGCAAAGGAGCAGCCTCAAGATTGAGAGCCTATGTGTACAACGCAGCGTTTCTCCAAAGGGGTATCTGTATCCTTTTCAGAACGTATAGCTCCATAATTATGCGCAGCATTCCTTTAGTGCAGTGCACATACACACATATAAGACAGAAAGAGAAAGAGAGAGAGAGAGATATATATACATAATTACATATGTATATATATACACATGTAGTGTCATAATATATAATTTTGACTTACCAGGGGCAGCATTGCAGGCAAGGCAAAGTTCCGTTCAGATACTGTCAATTCCCTTAATGTGTTGGACTTGGAGGCTCTCTTTCAAATGTGCTATATTCCTTGGAGGGGAGGTGCTAACCATCAAGGAAAACAGCATTCCTAAATGCATATTTATATGTGGTTCATTCCAATCACATATAAGGGCAAGAATAAAGACAATGTGACTGTTGCATAGTGCAATATCTATACAACTGAATGTTGTGTATAGTGCCCTGTACCTATGCTTAGGTTGTTCCAGGAACCTGGAAAGGTTTTGGACCAATCTTCAATGTCAATCCTGTACTTATGATTTGTTCTAAAGGTGGTCCCGATCTTACACTATGTAGTTCCAGTGGTTTCAACATTGAACATTTCCAAAAGAAACATCGGACAATCTTCACTCAATCCCTTACTTTAAACTTTCTGGGGACTGTCCAGGCTTTTAATTTACTCTTGAGTTTCAGTGGATCAAAGATCGAATATTGCCAGGACAAATTTTGAATCCAATTAACTTAAAGTGCTTGACAGCTCTTGAAGAATGTTGATTATACAAGGGATAGAATATTACCAGAAAAATTGGCAGAAATCTTGCAGTAATTAAAAAAACAGAGCACCTTAACATCCATGAGCGGCCTGATATTATGCTACGTAGGGGATTCAATATTTCAATCAAGCTGTCGTGGAATCTTGAATTTTCAGCGTAGCGAGCTTCGATGTGCTTTTAAGCCCCTATACATGGCCGAATGCACGTTAAGCGCATGATTCAAAATCTTACAACTTATGTTGAATTATGTTCTAAGAATATTCTATCTTCAAGCTATTGGAACTTGAAAGTTGGTCATTTCAATCCTCTAAGTATCCAAAAATAAACAACTGCAAATTTGGTTGCATGCACTTTACCTTAGTAAGGCAAACAAATCTGACGCAGAAAGGCCGCCAAGAGAATCGCATACATTTCTGTATGCATGTATTATATAAATATATGTTATACCAATAAATATGTATATAGTCTATATGAGACAAGTTGTTTTTGGATGTCCAACACTGACACTGAGGCCCAAGACCAACAAAATATATATATATATACAATTATTTAATTACATATACAATATGTGTGTATCACACTGCAAATGCCAACTATATCTGCACGTGAAAATCAACATCACATATATCAATATATATATATATGATCTACATGGCCCAAGGCACATTCAAAAAACCGGACCCAAATTAATTGCAATTGAACCCAAATTAATTGCAATTCCTTTGTAGTAATCCTTAAACAGCATCAAAAAGTAAGAGTAACATCCTGCTAAACACTAACAATATATCAGTGTTCAATCTTTTTTGGGTGGTTTTTATAAAAATACTTCGTTTTCGGATCTATCCGCGAAATTCCGGGGTCTGAACATGTTCAGGGTCTTCCGTCCAAGGTGAGGTTAGAGGCCTGGTGTAAATGATTTGATGAAGCATCCCCAATGACTTACCACTTTTATGGGTTCTATTAATAAAGCAACAATGTTGATGGGTGGTTTATGACATTGTTGCTTTATTAACAGTTGGGCTAAAGGCTGTAGCAAACGATATAACATTACGTGGCTATGGATCAATACCTATACATACCATTTTTAGGGGGATGAACATCCATAAATCCCAGCTATTTTGATGTGAACTACAGGGGGATAGGGTTTTGACCCATCCCCACGTAAGATTCCTCTATGGTTTATGATTCGAAGTGTTTGGTGCCAATGATTCAATTGGAAGCCCAACTCTAGTGAGGATAAGAGACTCAGACAGCCGAAATATTCAAAGACCGTAAGGACGTGTAACGACATGATGACTTTGGGTTTACCCGGCCTGGTAAACATACAAAAAACTATGGAAAATCACCATTTTTTATGGGAAAATCCACTATTTCTATGGCCATTTTCAATAGCTACGTAACAAATTACCAGAGGGTAATTACCCTATGCTGGTCCATTTAGCTTCTGCCCTACAAAAAATCTGGTAATCAAGGGCCATTGACAATTCTTCCATTGACACCTTTTGCCCGAGTGTGGATACCTTTGCTGGTCGTTTCTTTTGTTTTTTTTCTAATCGTTTTCATATATAGTTTTCACCTTCCATAGTTTTCGCCTTCCATTTTATAGTGTTTTTGTATATTCTTGGGTGCCTCGAAAATCCATCACATTTCAACAGGCCACGTAACGTAGGCTGCCAGAAAACCACGTCGTCCGGTAGGTGGATGTCTCGAGATGATTACCATCTCGCAGGTCAAGACTTGACCACAGTACTCAGGGTTATAACATGTTGGTTTAATATGGTTTTTCATGGGATTTTTCATGGTGATTATAGGAGTTTAATCAACCAAAAAACAGGGATGTTAGTAGATGTTAGTGGATATACCCTCTGGTAAATTAACGACCCTGAATCCATAGCCTAGTTTTAATGGTTTCACTCATCTTCCAACTCCGATGACTGCCAGGGTCTATGTGAAAATTTACCAGAGGGTAACATATATATATACACATAAGGGATAATCAAACATCTAAATTTCTAAATTCAAATCCATATTTAAATACATGGATTACAAATATATATATATATATTTAAAAAAAAATTAAGCATATTAACCATTGTATCATATATATATATAGATATTTAGGGGATGATCAACAGTCTAAACCATTCCAATTGCACTACCCAAGAAATGCGCAGATGATCCTCAGAATCTAATATGTTATTTGGAAATATTTGGAATTCATGGGGATGAAAACTTACCAAGCTCCACTTGCACAACAATTGGACCAAGGTATGGATGGAGGTCTTTCTGAAGTTCCTCGGATTTGTTGAGTCGCCGACATTTCTGAAGTTTTGCTGGGTGGTTAACCCTTACCATGACAGTAAGGTGAACCGAACCTGACAATCTACTGGCAATCTAGCTAGTGAAAATTATTCCAATGATATTCCCATTGTATTCCCATGAATTCCACAGAATGATTGGTAGAACATTGGTGAACTGGAATCCAAACATGAGTCAAGGTTTAAAAGTCAAAAAATCCATGGCTTTTCCAGGTCCCCCTGGATCTGTAGATCTAAGGACCTATTCTCCCCCCTCCAAATAGTGGTATATCTAAAAATTGGGTATGCCATGGCATATGAGATAAGGAACACCCATGAATTTTACCATGGGATTTTGAGGTCGTATGTTCCCAAAAAATCTCCACAGCAATATTCCCATTCTATTCCCCCAATTTTTCAGTCTGAAAATTAGAGTTCGGAAGATCATGATAGCATTAATTATAACCCATGTTGTTTAAAAACACTTGGATTTATAGATACCATAGCATTTTCTTTCCCACAAAAAGCCATCCAAAAAAACGTATCATTATAACCCATTAATAAAAACAAGTGGATTTGTAGATACCATTCATTTTCTTCCCCTTCCACAACTTACTTGTGCTTAGTAGGGAATGAGGGAATGATCCACAGGTTTAATAGTAATCCCATCAACCCCCAGCAACCCATCCATTCCCTACTAAGCACCAGTAAGACAAACCATCCCAAAAAACATGTTCTTCCCCGAAAAAAAACCTGGAGTTTGAGGTACCATAACCATAGCATTTTCTTCCCCTTCCACAAGCCAGTAGTGGATTCATCAACTTTTTAATTGATGAATCCACTATCATCAATATCACAACCATAATCAACCATAATCGACCGATAGTGGATTCATTCAGAATTCATTCATAATCAACCATCATCAAAAAAAATGATAATTTAACCATAATTAACCATTCCCCCTCAAAAAAATAGCCATTCCCCCCCCAAAAAAAACGGCAGGTTAGTCTCGGTGTCCTTGGTCTCCAGCGACTCCATGGGCGACTTCGGCTTCCAGCTCTCGGTGGCCATCTGTTTGGTGACCGCTGCGACCATATCGCTAGCGCGACCCTACGCGCAGCCGCAGGCGCCGGTGGTTGTTGAACGGTGATTTTTTCGACCAGGACCATTTTTTTTAGAGATGAAGCACTCAGAACTTTATGTAGATAGTTTATATATGATTATATATATATCGTATATAATTATATATAATTATATATATATGTATATTGATTGGATATAAATCTCATATGTTAAATATGTAATGAACGAGGGACTCGATATTTCGCTTGTTCCATTTATAAATGGGCGATGGGCCTTGTGGCGATGAAGCTAGCGCTCTTCTTTTTCAAGGCACGCACTTGGTTAGGAGGTTCACTATTGTGGAATATTGATGAACAAGTAAAAGGTTTGAGATTTGAGCTCAGAAGTAAAAGGGGTTCCTTTAAGTTCCTTTTATCATGGTTCAAAATGGTGTGATCTCAATTCCAGCTTGCTACATGCTGATAAATCAGCCAAACGTTGAACATCGTGGATCCCTTAAGCAGTGACGCCAGCTATTTAAACTCTGGTGTCTATACATTGCTACTATGGATGCAAAAAAAAACCTGCACCAGTTGGTAGATGGTTTATCCCATTTTTATCCCATTATATTCCCATATATTCCCATTATTTACAGTGTTTCAAAGCAATTAATAATTACCCACGGTCAATGCAGGATTTCGTAACCATCCACAGTATGTTGCTTCACGGACCGACCAATTTCCGCAGCAGCGATCTTGATCCCCCGGTAGGTGAACACCCTTCACAGCGTATGCTTTGCAAGCTTGGCGATGGCATCCGCGGCTGGTTCGCAATGTTTTTTCTGTGTTCATCTGGTAGGGTCAAGCCATATTAACTCAGTGGTTGCAATATGTCAATGTAATCCCACATGACCACTTTTCAGCGGGGATGATGCAACCAATCACAGTTTAGTTCGAGTGCGCGTCTCCCAGTTGTAAATGGGGGTTATTTTTGCATGAAAGTACCGCTGAGAAGCGGTGAAACAATGTTAAACACCTTTTCAAAGGGTCCGCTAGCGCTTGGAATATGCTGGAAATATCGTGGACCTGGACTGCATTAAAGGTGGGCTTCTATCACCACTTTCCGTGGTTGAGCCGTGGTGCTTTGCTGCTTCCCTTCCTCCTAGCTGCTCTACAGCTGCTGCGCCCAGAGACTCAGACAGTCAGACTGCTTCGTCCATGGGGATAGTGCTGCAAAACCAGTGTGGTAAGTAGCCTCTGGTTATTCAACATGGCCCATTGAAATAGATGATTTTCCCAGCTAGAAACCTCCATTTATTAGGGATTTTCCATGGCTATGTTAAATAACCAGATGGTAGCTAAAATTGCTCACGAACTGAGTGCAAGTAACCAAACATGGCAAGTGAAAAGCATAACACAGTGGCTGATGACGATGGAAAGGAACAAACTTGAATTGTTGGAAGTTGCATCACAAGAAATAACATGATCTGGATTGAACAAAGTCCGTGGTGAGTACGGATGAAACAATTATACATGTTTTTTCGCCAGCAAAAACCCAAGGATTTTCTCCAAAAGACACCCCGGAGTTGATTTATTACAAACCCGAGGATAGTGCAGAAGCTCTCAGTGTGCGACTCTTTGACGAGCTGACGAAAGTAGAGGAGCTGAAAGATGGAAAAGAGGCTCCTGGGCCACAAAGTTTCTGAATCATTTCATGGCTACAATGGTCCAGTAACAGGGGACAAAAAGGTGATTTAACCAATAAATATATATGATACATGGGATATAGTAATGGGGTATAATATGGTATAATAGTGATATAGCGGGGATAGTCATGGCTTGCTGGGTGAAATACTACAAGACATATCCCTTGATCATTGAAATACCAGTTTATGTTTGGTTTTATCATCTATGTTACTAACCACACCCTCTGGTAATTTAACGGAGCTATGATATCATTATTTACAGGTAAATGAGCATAACGCATCTATAAATGGGCAACGTTCCATAACCATGTGAAATAACCAGAGGGTAGATTACGTTTATGGATTACTGCAGCAGTTGCAAGACATGGCAGAGTTGCCGGGCCAGCTATGGCTTTCACTTGGGCCAGCTTTGTGCCAACACTGTGCTTTCCTGCTGGGTCGTGAATTCTGACATGTGGCCCATACTCAGACCCATCTACACGTATAGTTACTGTAAAAATAGGGCCCAAATGGGAATGCATCATCATGGAATGAACATGACAAGAAGTGGCTGTAGTCTTCGAGCTGCCCCTTTCCTGTAAATATGGCAAAATGTGTTCGTGTCACACAATAACCTCCACATTTTGCATAGGAATGTGGTCGAATTTCTTCACATTTTGCTTGTTGCTTCAACAAAGATGTCCCAGAAATCCAGTGCTTTTCCGAGATGTTTCCCATGGTTTCAATGGCGGAACATCGGGAAGCCCATCCCATGACACCCCGGTGATGAGCCAGGTCTGCTTAGATGTGGAGCTGTGGCAGTTCGTGTGAGTCGAAACAAAAAGTTGCGATGGTTAAAAACACATGGGCAGGTGGCAGGTGAGCTACCCTCTGGTAATTTAAGGTAGCTATTGAAAATGACCATTTATAGTGGATTTTCCCATTAAAAATGGTGATTTTCAATAGCTATGTTAAATTACCAGAGGGTAAGCAAGCCAGTTTGCTCGGAGATTCAAATGGATAAAACAATAAGATACAATATAACAAAATAGAATAGCCAGCCCAAGAATTTGACAATTTTGGAGACTGTGCGAAGGTTAGCCCAGCATAATGCACAAAAACTGAGGAAGTTCACCCATTGTTTTCTGACCAAGGGCGATTTTTCGATGGCTTGTCCTCGCATGCTAAGCTACCCCCTGATAGGTCCCGTCTTTGCTTCCGATCCGATTTTTGAATGTGTATTTGTTTCCAACAAAAAAAATGATGAAAGTTCTCAAGGAAAGTGATCTAAAAATAGATATCCAGATATCTATATCATCAATCTACACTTATTGGAAGGTAATCACAGTTGAATCTTCTTTTCAGTTGAAGGATTTCCCAGTTGAGTGCCTTTTTTTGGGTGATGGTTTAACACGTTGGTGCTTGGAAACTATCATGGGCACCCGACCCCGGAACCCACCAAAAATTGGCTGAGATGGGAAGAGTTATCTCACGTGGCAAGTGGAAATGATTGGATGGTATGACCTGGTCATGACCTTGGTAGCCTCATTTCACCGCATCCACATGTTCGGCCTTTCATCCGCATGAGTCGGGGCTTCCAATTCATGGGGTCCCCCAAATCATCCAGTCATGGATTCCCATGACTTAGTATTGAAACCCATGGTGACTTGGGGATCCCCCATTAAAACAGGTGCATGGCGAATTTGGCAAAGGCTGCACCCCGGGATATTGAGTGAACCTCTGCAAGGGGGGGAGATGCTGAAACCTGACACCTTGTGTTTACTCCTTTATTTTAACATGTTCAAACATAGAGTTTCTTTATTTACATAAGACTTTATAACTTTGTAAGGATCTCTAGGGTTTAAAGAAAGGACAGGATGTTGATATAATATATATATATATATAATATAATATATATATATATATATATATAATTATATAGTTATATATATATTATATAATATACATACTATGATCAAGATGTGAGCAACAGTGGGTTAAGGGCTCCACATGGGTCTGTAGTGGGCTGGAAAATTGAAAACTTTAATGGGAGAGTATATAGGATAATCACTTTTAAATGTGTGATTTTCCATTGCCAGGTTAGATTTACAGGAGTTTTCGAAGTTTCCTCAGAGCGTTGGCTCTGAAAATGTGATCTTTGGACTGGGCCGCTTTGAAAGCATGGTGGCCTACCTACATCCAGGCATCTAGCCATCCACTTTATGCATCTTGACGCACATCTCACCCAACTTCAGACTTCTTGAATCTCCGAATCTTTACTGGTTGGTGGTTTGGAACATGTTTTATTCTTCCATATATTGGGAATAATCATCCCAACTGACTAATATTTTTCAGAGGGGTTGAATCCACCAACCAGTTAATTTTGGAACTAGTCGTGTCTTTTATCGCGATCTAAAATGGTCAACCAATGGGATATGTTTGGCTGGATTTCCACCAGGTGCTGGTTTGGGTGTGGGACTTGGGAAAGTTTGTGAGGTACCAAGACCTCCCGTCGTTTTCGGGTACCCAGTTTTAAGCCATCTAATCTAGTAAATTGTACTGACTCAAGTCAGTATCTCCCATCTCCCATCCGCAATATACTGGTTGGTGGTTTCAACCATTTTTTATGTTCCATAATATATGGGATACTCCTTCCCATTGACTAATATTTTTCAGAGGGGTTGAAACCACCAACCAGTTATTATGGCTATTTTTATGGGATGATATCATAGTGGTTATTCCATGTTTTTCCCATGTTCATGGGATGAATATCAATGGTTTACCCTTCAGTTAAAACCACCAGCCAGTATACCCTCTTGTAAAGTGCGCATCCAGCCTGCGGAAATATCCCTCTGCCCTGCGCAGGTTTGCCCATCAGATGGGCTCTCACAGCAGCGACAGCCCGAGAGAACTTGGAGGGTTTTTACTCAAAACACGGCTCCATATGGGGCTGAACTGTTCCAGTTCAAAACACACTCAACTGCTTGGATTCCACCAAAAGGTTACCAGGGTTTACTCTTCAGTTCTTTCCATGTATAAATACTGTATACTATTATACTTTCTCAATGTCTATCATACTTTCTCAGTCTTCTCTTTGTTGTACCGCAGCATTTGCCATTCATTCCGTGCCCAGCACAAAGCTCGGACGAATTGTGGCCCTGGATCTGGTGCTCTTGTAAAGTTCCTTGACTGAAGTTCCTTTGACGGTGTTCAATTGAGCGTCGCTACAAAAAGCCACATGATGCTTGTTTGTGGGGTAAAAGTCTAGCGTTTAGGGAGGGTTCGCTGTGGACGATCAATTTACTATTAAATCTGGGTAAATTACAATTTACTATTAAATCTGGGTAAATTATAACGACCTCACTGCGACCTCACTATAATCATAGTTAGTAAGGGGAATAATCCAAAAATGGCCCAACAATTCAGGTTAGTGAATTATTATAATTTACCCATTTTCAATAAGCCAGGAGAATGAAATTCCCCCTGAGTTTTTCCGGCCAAATTGGATGGGGGTCATCGGTTCATTCCCCTATTCGCGGAGAGCTACCCTGCTTTTTAGGACGGCGGCACCGGCGGCAGCGAGCCTGAGGTCCTCCGCACCAAAAAGCCATGGAATTGGAAGTGCCAAAGTGTCTGGGACCAATCCATTGATCCAGTCTGCCTAGGGACCATGATCATGATCATGATGATAATGATGAAGATGGTAGTGGTTTATGAATGTTAATGTTATCTATGGTTATTAATGGTTATTAATGGTTATTAATGGTTATTAATGGTTATTAATGGTTATTAATGATTAAATGGTTTTTAATGATGATGATGATGATCATGGGTCCTCCCACAGTTGATCTTGGTTGATGGGTTTCTAGTTATGTTAATTTATAGGGGATGACAGAAGTTTCTCCTAGTTTATGGCCATTTGATATTTGACGTTATGATCTCAACCAACACCAAATCCAATTTGACCATAGAAAAGGGCGGCTACTTCATCCCGTTGATTTATTATTCACCTAGTGGTTGATAGGCTTTTTTGTTGCTAACTTTTCTGGGGAATTCGATATTGCTATCCAATGCCAATTTGGGTGGCAAGTATACCCCATTTTCAGACAAACAACCCATATTGTGATTCTTGTGGTTTGTATTATGTTCTATCCATGGCCGAAAACTATTAGATTGTTTGAGTCTCCAAGATCTTTTCAAATACAAAAGATTCCCAGAGTTTTTGCGGACTGAACCACATTGAAACACCCTTAAGATGGAGAGATGACTGAGATTTTGCAGACAGACAGACAGACGGACAGATGTTTCAAAGAGGTTGATCTCCTTCCTAGGTCATCTACCAGGTTTGACGGTCCTGATATTTCAAAACCATTTAAGATATGTTAAACTACTTACAAGATCTTACAAATGAAACTCTAGTTGATTTATAAATAATGTTTAGTTTCACACTGTTTCACATGGAGCCTCCATTTCTACCACGTGGTTGGTCCCGCTGTTTGTCGGATATGTTGAAAACCAGCGCCAGCCATGAGGCATCATAGGCCGTCCTTGGCAATTGAGGAATGGCCACGACCATAATGTGTTGATTGTGAAAAACCTATTAGAACCATTGATAAAGAGCACATGTATATTGTATATTGTACATTGTATAATGCATATTGTATAATGTATATTGTATATTGTATCAATATAAACATTAGTAAATATATGGTAAATATAACATTGATACATAGAACCATTGATAAGTTTGACAAAATGGTAAATAATTGTTAAACAATAAACAACCATGAAAAAACACCTGTCATCGAGAGCAGGTATTCTCATTGATCGCTAGAATCCAATCGCCAATATTCTTAAATTGAACCAACTAACTACTCGTAGAATGTGTCCTGTTTCATGTAACATTTTCCGGGTTGGTCATGCGAATTGCATGCATTTCAACTACCAACAGCCAGATCAAAACGAGGTTAGAAGAGCTGGCATTGACTGCTGCTGGGCAGTGGTGGACATACACATGTGGGTGTGGGTCAAGACTTATAGTGCCAAGGGGGGATGAACATTACCAACTGGATGAATTTGAATGACCTCTCGTCGTGACGTCGAATGATGGAAATTTCAGCCAGAACCATGTTGATGTTCACAAGAATAGTACCACCTATGACAACAAGAAAATACAAGAAATAGAACCTCAAACATCCACTGCTCCACTGCTAAAAATTGTCAGTTTCCTGCCAAAATGGCGCCATGTTTGAGGCTTTTTTTACCCATTTTTAGACACCTGTGCTGAGTCGATGGCAGAGGTTTTTCGGCCCCAGTTCGTCCCCATCTACTCTTGGATGGGTAATTTTTATATCATTGGAGTCACAACCTGCCTTAAAAGGCCATAGTTTTTGTAACCAGGCCTTTTTTAAGCAAGCCGTATAAGTAGACCTTAAAGATACATTACTTATACACGTATACTGTATATACATATATATATATATTATAAAGTAAATATGCGCAGCTAGGTACCTGCTATATGCCTCCACTGCATACTTCATGGTAACCCAACGTCATTGTTATTGTTTGGATTTTCCACGTTGGTGAAACAGTGAAACACCTCATGTTCAACCTATTACAATCTAACCTCGCAATGGAAAACTAACCATTTACAGGCGACGTCCCTGCTAAAGAGGATTTTTCCAGCCAGCTTACATACACAACTATTTTTTGACCCACCCGTTTGCCTATCACATATTTATAGACATCCTGGAGTTAGAATATGGAATTCAAGAAGAATTCACACTGTTAAATTTGGACCATTTTTGAAAATTCCATATTCTGATCATCTGGTTGGTGATTTTTTATTTTCCATAATATATGGGATAATCCTTCCCATTGACGAACTCATATTTTTCAAGATGGTTAAAACCACCAACCAGTTATTATGGCTATAAATGGGATGATATCATAATGGTTATTCCGTGGTTTTTCCCATTAATGGGATGAATATCAATGGGATGCATCCAGTCATTTGACCATGACGAGTCGTATTGGAACAAAAAAAAGGTGACGACTGGGGATCCCCACGATTACATCCCCCATATGCATATATATATATATAAATACGTATTATATACATATATTATATTTTATATATACATATATTATATTATATTATATTATATTCTATTATATTATATTATATTATATTATATTATATTATACATATATTATATACATATTGTATATATGTTATACTACATATACATAAATAGTACTACTTGTTCAATTGTATGTTTGAATCAAACCATCAGCACATGTCTCAGGAGATCGATGGTGAGCCTTGCATGCCCGGAGTCGAGACGAACTTAGCGGAGCTTCTGCTCACCGCCGCCCATAGTCGACCTGAAGGACCAACAAAAAATGGGGATTTGACCAAGAAATATGACGGTATAATGGGGAATTTCATGAACAATACACACACATATATGTGTATACATATATATGTATATGTATATATATATGTATATATATATATATGTATACACCATCAATGGGATTTACTGTAATGGGGATATTGTATATATAATTATCTGGATGAATTATAATGACCTCAGTGTGACGTCACAGTATCATCTGAACATCCTGGAGACACTTTTCCATCTTTTGAGGGTTGCTAGAGTAACCACCAAGATAACGGCAGTTGGAAACCTGTTTTAGTCGGATTTTAATTAATGTCCATCTTTTTGGGTATTACTTAACAGCCGGGTTGTTGAAACCATAGGCAGCTACCGCAGTCCGGTTGTTTTCAAGGATTTAGTCTCTGGAATCATGCTTAGCAAGGGATAATCATCCCCAAATGGCCGCAATGTTCAGGTGAAATATGATTGACCCAAATTCTAATCATAGATGGTTGGTCTAAGACGTATGACATATGAACACAGCGATGTGTCCTGCTTCGATTTGGTTTAAGAGAACATCTACTAGTGATTTCTTGCTTTCCAATGGATGCTGGGGTTTTTCGGATCAGCCAAGAGCTGGCCGAAAGACTGCTGGAAACTTCCAATCCTTCGGGAAGAAAATGTACTTCTGGTGACCAGCACCGTAAATCTGCAGGTTTCAACCCAGCAATTTTTGGGATGTTCAGAAGCATATTTTTTTGCTGATCCATGCGCCAGGACTCTGCTTGGAAGCTGAGGCGACTTGCTACACTTTTGCTCAGGCGGCCCGGAACTGGCCCTGGTTCCCGACGATTCTGTGACTGTGATAGCAGTCCTATCAGCAGACAACAACCACTGAGGTTGGTGGTGACTGGAATCGACTGGAACCGACTGGAATTTTGAATGACTTTCCATTTCATATATGGGATAATGATCCCAACTGACGAACTCACTCCATGATTTTGTTCAGAGGGGTAGGTGGCTCAACCACCAACCAGACCAATATTTAAAGGCTGGAGGTTCCTGACTCATGGTGTCACCGCAGACCATAGGACTTGGCCTTGTGCCACGATTGTACACACCTTGCAATTGGACTTGCCAGAGAGCAAATTGCTGGAGAATTGCAGGCAACTTAAGAAAAGCACACTGATTATCACATATAGATTTGACTAGATTTGGGAATTCATTGATACCATACCAACCATGTATAGTAGTATAGCCCTTCATTTGGATGATTTTGGAGGTAAAAGTGGGTAAGTGATGGTAATTGTCCCATACATGGTTGATTTTGTGTATACAGACTTTGAAATAGCAGGGACAATTAGATTGTCAGCCCTAAACTCTGAAGACAAAGCGGTGTGAAAATGTGATGACAACAAACTAGCTTGGTGGTTTCGAGTCGAATTTGTTTGTTCCATGTGTTTCCATGGAAACACCTTAGATGATTCAAGGCCTAATTCATCCTTTTGGGATGGATAGCAATGAACTTAGCCAGTTCCACCTTTTGGTCTTAAGACACAGTTCCCAAATGAGGCTTGATTCCATATGTAGCCGTAATGCCACCCACACCCACCGTGATCCCGCGGGCAGGTGGCGCGAATGACCAGCTCCATCCGCAAAGTTCTGCGCAAAGCTCTGCTCTCCTTGCAGTTGCCGGCCAAGGAAGGCCTTGCGAATGTGGGGATGTCGGATGTCACGGGACGCCTGAAATTTGCTGGATGTCATGGGTTTGCTGAGCCAAAAAACACTGGCTGCCTATACACAAAAATGATATCATTGGATTATATTAGGGATTATCATAGTTTTTTTCCCATTGAAATAGCAATTTTGGGGATGAACAAATGGTGACTTCTTGGGATGTACCAGATTTCTTCGCAGCTCCCACGTGAGGCCATGAGCCGGAGGCATTTGAGAGACGTCTGGATGAACATGTCGTGCCTCGAACGGATGAACGGATGGATCCTGGAAAACCCGGGCCGATGGGCACAGATGGAAACCATCCCCCTACTAGAACAGCCAACGAGAAACCATGGTTTAGTATAGGGGATTTACATATTATATATATATGTGTGAAACCATTTGGGGGTGCTTGATATTAGGGGGGATGATGGGGGATGGGATTCCTTTCCGTGCTGGGTTAACCTTGGTTGTTTTTTGTTTGAAGCATCTATTTCCATAGATGGGGAATTTTCATGGGGATTTACATACTACCATCTCTTTGTCGGAGGAAGATTCATGAAGATTCCAATGTTAGAGATTTTCTTGTACCCTCTGGTAAACTGTTACATAACTATAGAAAATCATCATTTTCAATGGGAAAACTCACTATTTCTATGGCCATTTTCAATAGCTTTTTGTATAGTTTACCAGAGGGTTTTACTGTTGGGATTGGTGGATGAACCCCCAAGATCATCCAAGATCCATGTGTCAAGAGTTGGGAATCGACTTATCCCCAAGTTTCGGACATGCCCATCATGGTGATTGGGAAAAAGTACACCTGCCACCTTGAAATTTCGGGAGCAGAAAATCAAATTGTTTGACACATGATTTTCGAACAGCACCATCCGCTGAAGCTCATGTTTGGCCTACATGATCTGTGGCTTCCTCAATTGTCTCAAGAAGTCAAGTGTGAAGTGCGCACGTGAGACAATTCTGAAAGGACGTGAGCAGTGCTCAAAACCCATGTTTGGTCGATTATGGTTGATTATTACATGTTTAATATATATATATACACATATATGGAGCTATACTCTCCAATATATCAGGGACATCCGTTGATATATCAGCCTGAACGGTTTCGACTGACGTTCCTGAGGTCACCATTGTGTTGGATCGTGGCGTTAAGAGTGACTCGCTTTGGGTGAAACAGGGTGAAACCTGCGATTGGTCGGCGTTGGTCGTTGTTGGGTGGGTGGTGATTCTTTCGCATCATGTTTAGGGGGTTGAAGCGGCCAAAAGTTCTGGGATATACAACTGATAAGCCGGTAACGTTGGTTGGTTGATGATTGGTCGATTACACCAATTTTTTTTATCTCTGCATTATGGTAGATTGACATGCATGAACTGGGAATCCGGTTCTGAAAGAAAAACGCGTATGATCAGTATTGTTTGCAGTGAACTGTTCATGTTTGCATGAATGGCACAGAGCATGTGTGAGTCATTCCCATCTGTAGGTCACACAACTTGAAGGCATGCAGAAAGTGTTTCAATGACTTGGACCCTGTGAAAGGTGATCTTCAGTATGATGAGTTTCCTACCAGCAGTGACAATTTTTGGATTGTATCAGGGGTGGAAAGCTACTAGCAAGACACGGTATATCGCAAACTGCTTGATTGGTGGACCCAACATGTACTTGTGCAGATGTTCTATAATCTATAGTTCTTGTGTCACTGTCAGCCAGAGAAGGATTTTGCGTGTGTTTGCTGGTATTTGCGCAGGACACTGTGGACTTGACTACTATGTGCGTTTTTTTTTAATGATATGATACTGTGGTTGGAAAAGGTTGGAATGTTGTGTATCATTATGCATAAGACTGCATTGACACGTTCACATCATTCTATATATGGGCAGGTATGTAGATGGTTTACACTGGTAAATCTGGTGGTGGGTCATGTTTGGAACCAGTGGCTTTGGAACCAGTGGCTGATTGTCAATATGCAGTGGTTTTCCTGGATGACCCTGAGAAAAAATGGCCAGCAAAATCCAGCTGTTTCTTCAGGACTATTTACACAAGCAAACAGCAAAACCCATGGTTGGGACAGTCAACCATCATGTTTTGTTGGGGATGTTCGATGATATGTGATTCTCACCCATATCCATAGGGGGAGTTTGTTCCAATGCACGAATGGATCAACAGAATCAGTGCAGATCAGGCTAAATTGCTTTACGAGATCTTACCCTCTGGTAAACTAACATAGCTATTGAAAATTGCCATTTATAGTGGATTTTCCCATTAAAAATGGTGATTTTCCATAGTTATGTTATATAGTTTACCAGAGGGGGTAGCCCTGTCTTCAACTTCTTCACCCCAGCAATGCCAAGCATTTTCCCAGGGATTGGACGCAGCATGACGCGAGGGGCTCATCATGTCTCACCCAAGGTATCGCAGCAGTGCATGCTGTGATGTTGGAACGCTGCTGTTACAACGCCTTTGATGTCGGAGAGCCCTTGGCGATCCTGGACATGCAAATAAAGTGATGCAGATACAATAGACTGTCAATAGTAACGTTTATATGCACGGGATATATAGATATATGATATGTATGCATGTATAACGATTCTGTTGTATATATAATATAATGCTGCATATCGATATCTCGTGTTTGTATATATATATATATACACAAGAATCCATGTGCAAACGCACACACATGTTGAGGTGGTGTTGCCACAAAAACATCTGTGACTTGGAGACAGAAGGTACAACCCGCATACTGACCTATAGAGCCCCAAAAAAGATAGAACTCATTTTCTAGAATGTTGTAGATGATACCTATTCATGATTTGCATAGGTTTCCATAGTGTTTCCATATTCCATATCTATTTGCGGGCTACCCTCTGGTTATTTAACATAGCCATGGACAATGGCCCATAGAAATAGATGGTTTACCTATTAATAGCATGGTGGATCTTTCCATGGCGAACTGTGAAAGTCATAACCAGAGGGTACCACGAAAAAATGGCCCCAAAGATGGCCCCCGGGATAACCTGGGCTCTTCAGAGCTCCAGGGTTTTGTGCATCCCGATCTAAGTGGTTTATAAGCCACATAGACCTGGTAATATTCCAAATCTATATCTATATATATATATACACATGTATGCATATATATATATATATGTATGTATACATATATATATATATACATAAATATGTATGTATATATATACATACATATGTATGTATATATATGTATACATACATATGTTTGTATATATATATACATACATACATAGCTGGGGTGTAATTTATTTATTTTTACCTACTATTCCATGGGATGCCCAAGTGGTCCACCAATTTCCGCGCCCGTCTCATCGTCTCAGGAAATTAAAGTCTTGGGTGGAGGTGAGTCGACCTCCAGCCACCCGACGATTCGGAAGAGACATGGCCCTTTCGCTGGGCATCAAACCCGGTCCAACGGACACAGCATGGGGGACGGGGGTTACCCCAAAACACCCATGGTTTGCTTCAGGATATATCAGGATTTTACGAAGTAACATGCTCAAAAGCAGTTTTTTTCTAGAACACAAACTCACATAGTTTGTAATTGGAGATTCTGATCCGGCAGAAAAGCAAAACGACTCGCATCTATGTATGGAGCACTTGAAGGTGATGGTGTACTTGGATGCCTATCAACGTTTGTTCAGAGTGTGTCGCGGATATTGAAATTGCCGAAATTGAAGCTTTCCAGGAGTGGTAAATGTCCTGTCTTGGTGATTTTGTTCACATCACCAAAAACGTGTGCAAATCGCATCAGGTGATCCAAGTCATCGTACCCAACGACTATGATATGACCCCACAAAAAAACCAGGAGATGCCCCCCAGGATCTGCAAAAAGCTGTGGATCCCCACTGCTTGGATGAGCATCCGCTGCTGATATGTCAGTTTTTGTGGTTTCATGGGAATATGTGTTTACTGAACAGTACTGAACCAGCTAGAAGCCTCACGTTTTGCAAGGTATCTAAGATAAGACATTATATCCCATTATAATTGCATTGTATCCCAGTATATCCCAGTTAATATTCACATTGTAAATGACCCAGATGTTAAGAGTTAAACATCCATAATTACGATCCATATTCTATTCAAATATTCTATGCTCCAAAATCCTAAGTGTTTCTGAGTATCCACTACATTATAATCCCCATTGTATCCCATGGTGCCTCATATTCCCATCACCATCATACACCCATAAAATATTTATTGATTGATGGTAGATCCACTATATCCATTATATCCCACCGTGGTACATGGTAGGTTTAATTTTTATATGTGTGGTTAAATATGTTAAATCATAATCTACGGTTTTTGTTGCTTGAAACCAACCCAACTATTTGCGTAGCCTCACCCCATTTATTGATATATAGCTAGCCTTCTACTAATAAAAGGCCTCTTAGAGACCACAGTTGTGTTAGTCTATTTTTAGTATTAACCTAGGTATTAACCATCCATTTCGAGGTTTTCATAAGATTGTTAAATTAACATACAAACCATCCATTTCCAGGTTTGTACCTAAGATATATAGATATTTGTCGGTTTGTTGGGTTAAATCCCAATGATATCCCCATGAAAAATCCCAAAAAACACTAATTAATGAATGATGGTGGCTGTTGGTGAAATATCAAGTTTATTAATGACCATGAAATATCTATATCCATATTATATCCATATTATATCCATATTACATATTACTATATGATCATTATATATATATACATACATATGTATCCTGGTTCATCATCATATATATGTATGTATATATATATATATATATCATACATCATGTATATCCCATAGCATTCATGCATTATAATAAATACATATATATATATATAGCATGAATAAACCATAAGATCCATATATATATATACATATATGGTTTCTTATATCCCCATGATACATCATAGAAAATCATTGTATATCAACCCAGGCATCTCGCAAAACCCAGATTCTCGGATCCCCCCTGGGTGGCCATGGCCTGTTCGCTTCGGCGGCTTCGCCAAGGTGATGATCTCCAGTGCTGCCAACCTGAAGCGCCTGGGCGTCAGCGACGTGTCGAAGGACTTGGGCGACTTCCCGCGCTTGGTGTCTCGGCAGGCAGCCATAGGAAAACAACCTGAACCGGAGTTCACTGGGTGACCAAAAATGATGATTTAGTAGGGTTTACTGGGATTTCATAAAATGTTATAGAGATTTGATTTAATTAATCGTGCTTTTTTCTGGATTTGAATGGGATTGTCACCATTTTCATCACTGTTTTGTTGGTTAAACCAGCATGACATCTCCATGGTTGCTGAAGAAATCCACTGTGTCAGGGTGACGCTTTTCAGAATCCCAACTCTCAGGTGGTGGACGTGGACGTGGCGCTGAAAGTGGTGAAGTCGACTGTACCCCATGCAGCGTGCCGCTGGGCCCAGATTATTGTGGCCCGGTCGGTGGTTTGGAACCATGGAATTTTACCATATTTTACCATCTGGTTATAGCCTCTGGTAGATCTAACTATAGTTAATGGATTCATGGATGTTATAATGGGAAAATGGTGATCATATATTTTACCATCTGGTTATGACATTCACAGTTTGCCATGGAGAATCACCATGCTATTAAAAACGGTAAACCATCTATTTCGATTAGGGCCATTTCCCATGGCTATGTTAAATAACCAGAGGGTATTTTTCCATTCAATTGGGAATAGTAACCCCAACTGACGAACTCATATTTTTCTGAGGGGTTGAAACCACCAACCAGCCAATATATTGGGGATTATATTATTCCAATAGGGAAATCATAAGCCAACCAGGATTAAATGGAATGATAGAGGGATTTTGAACACTGTTCAAGTTGAGATATACGTGGCTCAACTATGGTTTATGGTAGATATGACTATAGTATACTATAGTTAATGAGGTTTATAATCCAACTTATAACTGGGGGGCACCATCCTGCAGCTATTGTTGGGATTTTACAAACTATTGGGTAGTATAATGCACTGTAAAGAAGAATGGGATAAAATCCAAACTATTCTTATTGTTCCAAAGTATTGTTGGGATTTATAATGGATTTATACTGGAATTATAGTGGATTTATTGGGATGTATAACTGCTATGGTGATTTACTGGATTTATTGGGTTTTATTGGGGATTAGTCTAGTGGATTTATCCAATAAATGGGAGTTTATCCAATAATTTATAGATATGTTTCCAACCAATTCGAGGATTTATTGGGGAGTTATATCTGCTATACACAGTGATTTACTGATTCACTGGTATTTACAGTGGATTTATTGTTGGATTTTATAGTGGATTTATAGTGGATCTATGGGGAGCTATAACTGCTATACACAGTGATTTAGTGATTTAGTGGGGTTTATTTATGGTGGATTTATTGTTGGGATTTTACAGTGGGTTTATGGGGAGTTGTAACTGCTATCAACAAATCCAAGTTATTTCCTGTTGTTCCAAGTGGGGATGTATGTTATTGGGGATTTATGGATTTCTGCTGGCTAAGTTGATAAACACAGAACTCCAAATTCAGGCGTAGATCTATCAACACTTCATGAGAGTTATTCACCTATTTGTAACTCAGCTGTGAAAAAATACTAGGCGTTTTATTCCAATGATTCCTTCCCCAAAATATTAAATTACCCCTTGAATCAATGGTTTGGTATTGAGGGCTTATTAAATTGTGGGGATGGTATTATGGATGATCTTTATTTGGGGGTTGATACATACGTAATCATAGCATCATAATCCGGGGATGTAGCATGATTCATACCAGCGTTAAGAGAAGGGAGACATGAAAATATGATATAATATGATATAATATGATATAATATGATATAATATGATATAATATGATATAATATGATATAATATGATATAATATGATATAATATGATATAATATGATATAATATGATATAATATGAGTTTGTTTCAAAATGGTTATCTAATAATATTTATGAATATATTGAATATCAATATATAGGCTCAATATATATATATACAATATGGATGATACAATTAGCATATGCAACTGTGACATATCCCATTTAGATCTTGATATGTCGGTATCCCCAATTCCAATTGATTGTCAGCCGTCGGGCCGTCACATGACACTGAAAAAGATGCCGGAAGTTCAACGTGCATAGATAGGGAGACAATCTCCCAGTTTTAAAGGATCAGCAGTGTCAGTAGTTAGTACCGTCGGGTAAATTAACATAACTATGGAAAAATACCATTTTTGATGGGTAAATGAACTGTAAATGGCAATTTTCAATAGCTATGTAACAAATTACCAGAGGGTACCCTCTGGTAATTTATAAGCAGTTTGCCAATGGACAATCCCCATTGTGAAAAACGGTCAACCATGGTAAATCATCTATATCGACGAGTTTCGGTCCATTTTCCATAGCTACAAATTACCAGAGGGTCATCCCAGTTTATCAATGGCCACTTCAGGTACCGATTTATTGGAGGTACCTACCAATATATAACGCCTATGCAAGCGCTATGTAAGGGGATATACACCCCAAACATGGGTTTATATGGTACAGTACCATACAGTACCTCCATTTTAGGATCCTGGAATTCCCACTGAGCTGAAGAAACCGGTTCCTCAGGGATCCGCTTCCAAGTGGGTTGAATAATTCAGGTGCGGCAATTCACTGCTTGGATGTTCATTGTCGGAATACCTACATATCTGGTGAATGGTGAACAGTTGTGTTGACAATCCGCCCATGTATGTGTATATTACACATCCCATATGATATATACGTATATATAATATCATATGATATAATATAGTATAATATGATATGATATAATATGATATAATGTAATGTAATGTAATGTAATGCAATAATATATATATATATACACACTCATATATATATATATGTATATATATATATGTATATATATATATGTATATATATATATGAGCTTGTGATTCTATAGGCATAGCCTCTGCTCAAACGTGACTGGAGAACCCTCACTTAAATGGAGGTCTGTCGTATGGGAAATTGGTGACATACTGTATGATGGGTCATGGGATTAACTGGTTAGTAACTGGTAATTAACCATGGTGATTAATGTAACCTGGTTTCACCTATATCTATAATATATATATATGTAACTGGTTAGTTATTGCGATGTAAACCACTATATCATACTATATCATACTATATCATACTATATCATACTATATCAGACTATATCAGACTATATCAGACTATATATTTTTATCCCCCAGAAAAACTCCATTGAACTAGTTAACATTAGTTCATTAGGTGCATGGCCCATCTAGGGGTTTCCATAAATGGGGTACCCCTAAATCATCCATTTCAGATTGGGATTTTCCCTTATAAACCATCCAGCGATAAAGGGGTACCCCCATGACTGTGGAAACCTCCATTTGTGGGTACTCATGAAAAGTCACAAAAGTCGGACCCATCCGACTCAGGTTCACCGGAGGATTTGGATCGGTGCTTTGGCTGAGACGGTGCTGTCGATGTTTTTTTTTTTTTAATAAGTAGATCTCGATACCCTATAGTTGAGGATATTTAACATATGGGAATCTTACAGAGTGGATATGTGATATGATATCTTTATATAAGGATGTATTTGAGTATATCCATCCCCTAAGGATATTATACAAGGTGGTGCCTCAGTTTGTTAGCTAAGTTGCTCTACAATTTCAATCACTTGGGTTTATGGCTTATTAGCTTACAAACCATCGTAAACCAACTTATAACTGTTGGGGGGGGCACCACCAAACTCTGGTACCCCGATGTCCATCCTGCGAATTTGCTCATTTTGGTGGTTCATCGTATTGACCCATCCCCATATCAATGGGATATGATGGATCATATCTGGGTAAGTTAAAATGACCTCAATGTGACGTCACTGAAATGATCATTAGGATCCATTCCCATTTCTTGGCGAAACTGTGGGGCCACCGTTTACGGTAGCTAAGTTGGTGAACGCAACCAGGTCAGCTACGGTTTATGGTAAAAGCAAACTAGTGAATGGGGTCCATCAACCAACATACACAACTGGGGGGGGGGCCACCTTGTATTAATGGGATGCGATGGATATTATGGAGAATGGGATATGATGGATATTATGTTGTTGCATAAGATATGAATTGATAAATGTCATGGATATGATGAAATATAATGGGGTATAGTGGGATAACATGATAACATGGGGACTTACGGGATATCATGAATGAAAATATATTGGATTAGAATTGGATGAATTGGGATATTAACAAACAACGACATGATTTTGTTCCTTGCATGGTTCATGTCATTTTTTTTGCTGCTGGCTTCAGGTACTGCTGGCTGCTGGTTAGTCCCTACCATGATCATCCCAACGGAAATATGGGAGTATCTGTTGGGTTTGTCTTAAAACGCGATGCTCCGATGCTCCCAAATCCATTGGTTAACTGGTTGGTGGTTTGGAACATGATTTTTTTGATTTTCCATTCAGTTGGGAATGTCATCATCCCAACTGACTAATATTTTTCGGAGGGGTAGATATACCACCAACCAGGTCATGATTTCCCTATTTGAGTCACAGTTTTGTTCTTCTCCTCGGGTAGACATGGGGTATAGCCCTTTGAAAAAGGGCACTGCCTTTTATCTGAAGTCATGGGTGCACAGCACCAGGCTGGCGTACTTGATCTTCACCAGCGGTTCCACGGGGAAACCCAAAGCGGTGATGATCCGCCACAAATCAGCGTTGAATGTGGTGCGACTGTGGACCAAATACGCCACTTGGTGAAGATGTGAAGATGGCTGGGCTGCTGCTGAAAGATTCATGGTGAAACCACGAAGACATGGAAGTTGTAAAGGATCAAGGGCTGAAGTCTACTGTAATCGCTAATCGCAAGCCTGTTGGAAGGCCATTCCACCAGCAAGAACCTGGGTAAGCTGTTTTTATTGTATGTAAATCTCTCATTTTTGAGGTGCCATCCAATCAAGGGAAATCAGAGAGTCAAAGGACAATCCCTCCACGTTGTGCACTGTTTCTAGGCTTCATTCCATTTGATCGTACAAAACAACCGCTACGATTTGCATTCAAACAATATACTTGGATAACTCATTAGATACCATTACCCTCTGGTAAACGTACAAAAAACTATGGAAAATCACCATTTTTAATGGGAAAATCCACTATTTCTATGGCCATTTTCAATAGCTATTTTGACATAACCAGAGGGTATAGCAATATTATAGCAATATATCAGATCTAAGGGCGATTGTATCCTCCTTAGATGTGATCATGCGAGTCTGTCATTGCAACTTGTAATGGTTCCCTTCCTGAAAAAGTCTAGGTATCATCCAGTGAATCCACACTCCGTAGGGATGATTGTGAGATGTGTCAACCCATGTTGGATGTTTGGGTTGCCACAACCAAATCAGGCATCATAAGGCCTTAGTATGGGATTAGAGTAATCAACCTCCATCAACCCCTCTGATTTGAGTAATAAATCCTTCAAGCCACTCCACATCCCCCATCTTCAGCATGGCCCCATGTACAATATTCAAAGATGTTTTTCCCATACAGTCCATAGATTTTCCAAAGACGTTCCATGTTTTTCCCTGTATGTTCCCATCATAACTTTTACCATTGTTTTTTTTCTCCCATAGGCTCATTATACCATATTATACCCATATTTTCATCCGATTTTTTCCATATGTTTCCCATATTTCCCGATATTTTCTCATGGCCAGGTGGGCCTAACGGCGGAGGACCGCTTCGCGCAGGTGGCCTCGATGTCGTGGGACGTGCACGTCATCGAAGTCTACGGTACCATGGCGGCCAGGGCTACCTCCGTGACCTGCGAGGATTTGGTGAAGAAATCAGGGCCCGACGCCTGGTGGTTGGGGGAGTTGGGGTGTTCAACTTGTTCAACTGGCCCCGGTCTTTAAAATACAGCCCCAAAAAGTGGAGGATTCCTGGCTTTCCCCAAAAAAGTGGAGGATCCGTGGCGGAAATGAGAATTTTTGTGTTGGATCTTTAAAAGAAAGATTATGTTTGGGTGTGTCTCAATGGCAATTTTCATAGAGAAAATGATGAGAAACTATGGGATAGAAGATAGAATGGGGTAACCTATTTTCAGACACACATTTGAAGATTTTTGTGGGTTGCCCTGGCCGTTTTCGTGCCCCTTAAAAAACAGAACTGCTCTAGAAATGGTCAAAAATACTGGTATTTACAGTGCTTTGTGACAAAAGTAGGCTTAAAACTGTTATTTTAGAGCAAAAAAATAGAGTTCACCTCCAAAGGCTATCATATGCTGTCATAAATCACTGGCATCTACAGACTCTTGTGACAGGATTCAATTTTTCCTGTGAGGCTTGCAAAGAACTACAAACAATCAGCACATAGCAGAAAGTATCTGCTGCACAGCATGTCATAAGAATGGGTAGCTGCGCATCTTGGAACAGAATATACAATAGCAATAGGTAGCTAGTGTGATAGAAGTGGAAAAATTATTTTGCTAGAAGCAATTGATATGATATAGCTGTTTCTTCATGAACTTGTTAGATTGATATCATCTCAACATATATTGTATATAGAAGCATTTGCGCTACATAAGAAGTATGGTGGGAAGGGCATACATTATGTAGGTGGATATACACAAGCACATCTAACACTCTGGATAAGAAGGATGGTGGGAATGTTACAACTCAAGAAGTAGGTACATATCTTGTTTATCAGTGTTATCTTGCAGAGTCTTGTCAGCAGTCTCATTTCAATAGGTAGAGAGAGAGAGAGAGAGAGAAAGCCAGAGAGACAGAGAAGGGTGTCATGCTGTTGACTATTAAGATCAGGCAACCTGTGTGGTGGCATAGCTATTCAAAGATAATGGTATGTTTGCTTCTTTGAAACATCTGTTTAAAATATGGCCAAGATCCAAACATACACAATCTAGCCTGCACCCAAGGGGCAGTTGCAGTCATTATTGTCAAACATAACTATCAAAAAACTATTTACATATCAAATTGATCAACAAATAAAGTAATATGGTTGTCACTGAAGAAGTTGGACACATTTCCTGTTTGCCATCCTGTATCTTATCTTGTAGAGCCTTGTCGGCAGATTCATTGTAAAAAGATGCTGCACTCATTATAGAACTGGCTTTTGAAACCCAAACATGTATGATCTAGCCTGCAGCCAAGAGGCAGCTGCAATTGAAATTCATCAAGGCGATATTAGCAATAGATGAAGTAACAGTAATAGAAGGTTTGATAAAATGTTAGCTGTGTTTCTTGATTGTTTTTGCTGTTTGTCAATGTTTTGTGACATCAGAGTCACCAAACCTGCACAGGCACCAACAAAAAACAAACCACTAGATGCACCAAACCTGCACAGGCACAAAAAAAAACCACCTAACTAAAATTTCCAGGAACTATGGGTCACTTCTGAGTAGTTGCTGTTTTTTTTTGGTGCCTGTCGATGTTTGGTGCATCTAGTGGTTTGTTTTTTGTTTTTTTTGGTGCCTGTCAATGTTTTGTGAAGTCAGAGTCACCAAACCTGCACAGGCACCAAACAAAGCAAAACAAACAAACCACTAGATGCACCAAACCTGCACAGGCACCAACAAAAACCAAAAAAAATAATTTTTCCAGGAACTATGGGTCCACTTCTGAGTAGTTGCTGGAAATGTTGTTTTTTTTTTGGTGCCTGTCGATGTTTGGTGCATCTAGTAGTTTGTTTCTTTTGTTTTTGTTGGTGCCTGTCGATGTTTGGTGCATCTAGTGGTTTGTTTTTTTTTGGGTGCCTGTCAATGTTTTGTGAAGTCAGAATCCCCAAACCTGCACATGCAAAAAAAACACTAGATGCACCAAACCTGCACAGGCACCCAAAAAAAACAGGATATATGGGCCCACTTCTGAATAGTTGTGATTTTTTTCTGTGATCCATTCATTCGAGCATCTATGCACCATTGAATCACTCAGCTTCAAGTGCAGTAACCTTCTTGATGGCACATGTTTTCTTTCCAACTGTCTCCCTGTTGCAGATGATGCTGCCTCGAAGGACGATGCGGCCGAAGGCACGCGTTTCTGCTCACAATCATTTTCTCGAAACCCCGTGTTCTGCATCAATCTTCCTCCGATCCAATTTCGCCGCCCAATTAAACACACATGCATGCACGGGTCAAGAGGTGCCATCCTCTTCCACGATGAGCCCTTCATCGGGGATGCCGTCCATGAGCAGCATCGATCCAAACGCCGACGCTGCACACGCAAGCAACATGCGCAGCCACCTCCACACTGCAGAATTGGCTTATCCACATCCTATAGTGACCGGGGTCAATCATGCTTGCCTCAGGACCAAGAGCGTCTGCTTCTGCTCGGGCATTTTGCGATCCCCGTGGCCGCTCTTGATTCCTCGCGTCTGTCGCGAGAAATGGAAGCCACGCTCTACACAGTGGATTGGGGAATGCGAGGACTGACATCATAAAGTTTAGGTTAATTTGGCCACTTGACCGACCAGCTTCTCCACATTCCCCCGCATGACATCGTGTCTGTGTGAAACAAACCTGCAACCCTTTTCCGCTTGAGCGACAGCGTGGACTTCCCACGGCGCTTGGAAGCGGTCAATGGGCGTGAGGATGGTAGCATCACTACTCCTCAAAGCCCTTGACCTGCAGCATCTCGGCCACGGAGGCTCCCGGCTCTTCATGTGCACAATTATTCGGTTCTGCATGCAATGGCCACCATACACCATGATGATTGTCATCCCATGATCGCGACAACACTCTGGGCCTTTGAAACTTTGCCAGGTGCTTGAAAACACGGGGAGTTTGCAGACGGCGTATGCCCGGTTTCCGCTGCTCTGCACTCCCTCGACGACCTACCAGCTCCCCTTGGAGGCTTGCAGCTTTGTCATGTAAAGTAGTCGCATAATGTCGCATAACATGCAAATCAAGAGCATCACATCCTACAGAATAAATGGTTAGTATATCCCTACTAGTATGGCAGTTTCCCTTACAATATCATTGGGATCGGACCCCCAAAACATACGTAGTTTTTTTTACCTTTGCTTTTGTAAGGAATCCACCCTACAAAACCATACCCTATAACCTCCAGAGATGAAGGGTATAAAATCATCATGGAAGACAGGTGAACATATGGCAAGATGGATGGTCTTGATTTTGTAAAGGGGCCTGACCCCTGGATGGGGGGGGGGCAGAATGGTCCCAAAGTTAGATTTTTGAGCCAATTTTGAATGACTTTGGGGTTGATTTTGTAACGATCCATATGCTTCCAATATTTTCCCACGGTAAGGTTTGATTTTGTAAGATTTAAGGGCTCAATATGAAATGGTGCTGCAGAAGCACTATATGAAATGGTGCTGCATAAGCGCCATAGTGAGAAAAATTGCTAAAATGGAAACTACGATAAACTGGTGCGAAAAACTGCTGCTGAAGTGGAACCACAAACACGGATGGGGCATTACAAAATTCGACAAAACATGGTATACAACCTTATAAAAACATGGCCTAGTATGAAATCAAACCGTGGGGTTTTAGGGTAAAGAAAAAAGAAAATGCATGCTACAAAATCAAGGGGCCTGACCAAAATCATGCAAAATCCTTATTCCCCAACAGCCTACGCTAATGGGGTCTTCAGCCCAGAAAAGCTCCGGTGTGCACTGGTGCAGGCGCCGGGTCAGGTTCAACAGGGTTCCGGGGAGGGAGGCTTTGGTGCAGAGCCAGGTCAGGTTCAACAGGGTTCCGGAGAAGGTTCCGAAGAAGGTGTGGGAGGCTTTTGTGCAAAGCCAAGTAAGTTTCAACAGGGTTCTGGAGAAGGTTCCGGAGAAGGTCGGGGAGGCTTTGGTGCAGAGCCAGGTCAAGTTCAAAAGGTTCCGAGAAGGTCTGGGAGGCTTTGGTGCAGAGCCAGGTCAGGTTCAACAGAATCCGCAAAAAGGTTCCGGTGAAGGTCTGGGAGGCTTTGAGGATCAACAGGGTTCCGGAGAAGGTTCCGGAGAAGGTTCCGGAGAAGGTTCCGGAGAAGGTTCCGGAGAAGGTTCTGGGAGGCTTTGGTGCAAAGCCAGGTCAGGTTCAGAACAGGGTTCAGAAGAGGGTTCCGGGAGGGTTGCGGAGAAGGTTTGGGAGAAGGTTCCGGAGAAGGTTGTGGGAGCCTTTGGTGCAGAGCCAGGTCAGGTTCAACAGGGTTCCGGAGAAGGTTCCGGAGAACGTCTGGGAGGCTTTGGTGCAGAGCCAGTCAGGTTCAACAGGATTTGCGGCCATTTAACTCATGGAACCCAGCTGAGGTGTTTCCAGCGCTTGGCTTCGCAGCACGTCAGAACGATTTGAAAAATAAAACGTTGCGGCTGTTGGGGATACCACCGAAGCTTATAAAATCACCGCCCACTACAACATCAATGGGTTTGTTTTGGTACCAAATTTAATGATTTTGAGATGATTTTAAGATTGTTCATGATTTTTGGGGGGATGACTGCGCTGTCAAAATACATGTAAAGCCTTGATTTTGTAATGAAAATCATGCTTGGAAAGGCCTGGTATCTTTGATTTTGTCATGATGGGGACACAAATCTGAAGGTCAGGCCCCAGCTTTGTACTTACAGAATCAGGGGGTGCGACCTACTCACTTAATTTTTCCCGGGTGATATTAGTATCGCATGAACATATATGACTTGAGTACGTGCCTTCCACGTACAAGCGATCACGAACGCGCCACTTAAGATTCCCACAGGCCGAAGTCCATGTCATTGATGATACCTTCAACTCGACGGGTGAGAACGTGACGGACGGACAAGCCTCCATCGGCTACGCTCTGGCCGAGGCACCTGCGCTGCACGCAATTTTTCTTTCATATCCTAGATCTGCTTGCAAGATGTTCATGCTCAAAAGCGTGCTTCAATAACAAATGTATGCCATATGAAATGATGTCTGTCCTTGTCAGGGTTGCACGTGAGGTTTTGCGCGACTCTGCTTGGGGCGTGCTGCTGCGCCTTTACCTGCAACATCCAGGTATGCCAAAAAAATGTAGCTTCGTGAAACTACAAAAAAATATTGCTGTTTTTTCGAAAAATGCCGTTTTGCAAAAAAAAAAACGTCGTTTGAACTCTGTGATTTTGAATGGGTTTTGCGCCCGTCGTTTGAGCCTATTTTAGACCTGGACTTGCCAGATCTTCGCCGGGACGTGCGCCAATGAATTGTGCCACGTCTTCCAGTCATGGCGGGAAAGACCGACCAGCCCTGAGCTTAGTCTGAAACATTCAGAAACTACGGAGACGGGCACCGGGATGCGCGTCCTCGGCAAAGGCCTTTTGCTCGTTGACGAGGCCAGTCAACTTCAACTTTTTTTTGGGCGAGCTACCTATCTTATTTGACGACAGCCACAACTACTGTAGCGTCTGTGGATATGCTGATCTCCCTTGTCCCACACATCTGCCCTGCATGACAGGGCGAAGACCATCAGTGGCAGCTGCTCCTCCGAAAGTCCACTGCCAAACTCCGGTAATGCTGCTGGAGCCGACGGTGCGGAGGAGCACCTTGGGCTCGACGTTGTCCAGGTCCGCAGTTGTTTTTTTCGAATCAAACAAAAAGTCAGAACATATATTCTGCTCTGCGTGTATCACACCTCTACCGTGCTTCGCAACGAAGCCCGCGTCTTCATGACCATTGCAATTCTCTTTTGCCTTCATTGTTTTATTGCGCATCCACAGGACAGCGCGAACAGCTTTGCGCCGCCGCGCTGGGTGCCGCAGCTGCATGCTGCCTGCAAGCTGCGCACCATGCGGTGCGCCTCCAGTGTTGAGAATTTACAGAAGAAAACCATGGGATTTCCATGGATTGCAATTTATTACTGGAGGAGTCGTGGTGACTTGGGAATTGTTGTTGGCCTAAAAAACGAAAAAGTGGAAGATTTGCAGAAGAAACGTGGGATTGATTTACCACATTTAGGCAATAGAACGTGTCTTTTACACCCGATAAAAATACACGCACATGGAATTACCACAATAGAAGAGGCAAGTCTAAGTCATTTTGAACATTGGATGATGTGGCTGTAGCTGCAACTTGGGACCCCGGCACTCTACAACACCTGGTTGTTGTAGATTTATAATTTATGATGATTGAACATGCCAAATCGTGTTTCAAAGACATGGTGTGATTCTTGACCACAAACCTCTGGTCATGTTTAGGGCCTCAACGGTTTGGAATGTTGTCGGGGATCCAATCCGGAGTCGTCAAACAGCTCGGTAATCTCTGTGTGCTATAGCCACTAAAAGCCATAAATGACATCATCCAACATCAGCGTTTCACCATGTCCGCAAAGATAGATCGGCCGTGGCTGGCACTCAGGATATGCTGCAGTGGTTGAAGGAGCGAGAAATTACTGGGATGAGTGTGGTTCCATCCCACTTGAGATCCATGGCACAAGGCGATGTCTCAAGGACCGATGACGGATGGTCAAGCAACTGGATGGGGAGTTTAGATTGGTTTGGTACTTTCATATTTTGCTATACATGGGTGTATAATGGTGTATATATATATAATTATATATATTGTTATTATAACTTTATAATTACATAATTATATACTATAATATATATATATTATGCGAACCAGCTAGATGAAATAAAATGCAGGGTATCTACGATTGAAGAGGATCTATGATCGGAATCTGGTGGATTTTCCAATCACAAAGATGGGGCACTCCACAAAGATAATTCAAGTTTGGTCTCGTGTTTCAAGCGATCGTTACAAGGTCCCCAAAATTTAGGTTCCAACTTGATCGCTTAGTTTTTAGTTTTGACTTCAAGAGTGTCCTCTATATATTTGTTCAATCAGATTTAATCAGATGTAATGGTATGAAACAAACTCGCAACCAATTGTCCGGATTTTGTGTGCCGTGTGTTTTTCTCCATGCCCCAGGTTTTTTCAAACATATCCATGATTATATCAAACAAATACTGATAATGGAAAAACAAATCCACGGTGCAAAATGATGCATAGATTATGGTGCAAAGAATCAATGTGACAACTCTCGAAATGCCATCCATCAATATTTCTGGATTTCCATCAGGAGTCATCATGTTCTAGAAATTCATGGGATTTTATTTATAGATTATAGATGTTCATCGTTTTTATCATGTTCATCATTTTCATCATTTGTTTGGATGGGATTTCCAATTTTCCAATCTCCAGGGATTGGATGTCCATTTAAAAAAAAATCATACCTCTGGTAATTCAACATAGCTATTGAAAATGGTCCATAGAAATAGTTGATTTTCCCAGCTACAAAATGGTGATTTTCCGTAGTTATGTTAGTTTACCAGAGGGTAGCATGTTTGATCTTTTTTCATGGGAATGTATATATTGGGACATATTTCATATATTGGGCTTGGATTTCCATTAAAAAAACCCATAAATTCCCATAAGCTCAGTGATTTCCCAGGAGCAGCCTGCCACAGCTGCGGCTGTTGGACGTGGGAGGTGAAGCTCTAGGACTGGATGTGGTGGAGACCTGGGCGCCGGGGAGGAAGTTGTTCAACAGCTGCTGGGTGGAGCTCTCCGTGAGTCAAAATGCCTGGGATTTGATGATTTCATGGGGATACAATGTGGGGCCCCCAGTCGATAGCGTTCAGTTGGTGAACATAACTCCAATTTCACTATGATTTATGGTACTTATAACTATAGTTAATGGGGTTTATAAACCAACTTATAACGTTTGGGGGCCCCACATTGTAGAATTGGAATGACCATGGAAAACTATGGAAAGGTGGGAAAGTCTTGGAAATTCTATGAAAATGGGAAGGGATAGACTAGACATAGTGGGGACAGAATGGGAGTATAAACTGGGAAACTGTTGGAGAGTTTGTAGATTCAATGGTTGAAGGGGTGCGATTTTTAGGCGAATGGTGGCGTAAGAGCTAGAAATCTCCAAGTGAATCTGGTATAGTCATCTTAATGATTCTTCATGCGCAACAATTGGTATGGATGATTGATTCATTGGGATATGATATTGGTCAAAAAGAATGAGTATAGGTGATTAGGTGGAAGGTGAAGGGTAACAGATGTGGACAGATGCTGCCAAAACGTATCCGAAGATCTCTGGTTGCCGGCTTGAAGTGAATTGATTTTCCATCCAACCTGGGGCTATGGATGAAACCACCAAGCAGATCCTTTTCATGGAAGTCCCTTCCAACATCAACGCCTATGAATGGGTTTGTTGACCCGCGTAGTGTTGGGATGACTTTTGTTTATGTCACTAAAGCCCAGTCCCATGGAATTGAACGGTTTAACAAACTATTTCCACACGCATATTCCCACTAGTTGATAATAATGATGGCTCATGATAGGGTGCACGAAAAAGGTGGCGGCATTAATATCCAGAAAATATCCTCATTATACTGCCGACTGCCATTGTGTAAGCCATAACTTCAACCAGTACCCACATTGTTTGCTTCAAAAATAATATCCACATTCTATCCATATCAAAAAATCCCGTCATTTTGTATCCATATTATATCCATATAGTATTTCCACATACATTGATAATTGATGATATTGGTAGGTTATAAAGGGGTAGCATCTCAAATATTCCCATCATCATTATATCCGGAATGTGTTCAGATTATATCCATAGTATTTCCACATATATTGGTAATTGATGATATTGGTAAGTTATAAAGGGGTAGCATCTCAAATATTCCCATCATCATTATATCCGGAATGTGTTCAGATTATATCCATAGTATTTCCACATATATTGGCAATTGATGATGTTGGTAGGTTATAAAGGGGTAGCATCTCAAATACTCCTATCATCATTATATCCAGAATGTGTTCATATTATATCCATAGTATTTCCACATATATTGGTAATTGATGATATTGGTAGGTTATAAAGGGGTAGCATCTCAAATATTCCCATCATCATTATATCTGGAATGTGTTCAGATTATATCCATAGTATTTCCACATATATTGGTAATTCATGATATTGGTAGGTTATAAAGGGGTAGCATCTCAAATATTCCCATCATCATTATATCTGGAATGTGTTCAGATTATATCCATAGTATTTCCACATATATTGGTAATTCATGATATTGGTAGGTTATAAAGGGGTAGCATCTCAAATATTCCCATCATCATTATATCTGGAATGTGTTCAGATTATATCCATAGTATTTCCACATATATTGGTAATTCATGATGTTGGTAGGTTATAAAGGGGTAGCATCTCAAATATTCCCATCATCATTATATCCAGAATGTTTTCATATTATATCCATACTATCCCCATTTAGTGGTGACCGAGCTGTGCGCTTTGACTTTAGGCTACGGCCCCTCGGAGATCTCGGTCGTCTGCACCGGGACCTATGTGGAAGCGGGTGACGTGATCACCATCGGCGCTCCCCTGCCCACGTGACCCGACCTTTGTACCGGCCCTGGGGGGTGAAGAACCAAGGTGAACCAACTGACTGGATTTTCAATGGTAAAGCAATGGAATGGTAACCATAGCCCCTATAAAAATGGTGACTGGGGGATGGTGCAAATGGCATAGTTTTAACCACATTACTTTGGATATCTTGAGATCTAAACTTGGCTTAATCTATGAGTGTCGATAGGGTTAGAAAGGGGCCCAACCCCGGTGAGGTGTAAAACGATGCTGGGTGAAGTGAATTTTCATATATTGAACAGATATCTTGAGAATTCAAATTAGTACATATACATTGTAGTGATGTTTTGCAAGTATGGTGAGGATGGATACTAAGCAGCAAGAAAACTTACAGTTTACTGATTTGTAGGGTTGAACAAGGGTATATAGCGGTCACGTAAGTTCGTCATGAGCAATGACTCTGGCATTTTATAAAACCCTTTGGGGAAATTGACAGTTTTCCTATGGAAAAATTATAACATTTCTATGGAAAATGGATGAGCAGGACCATTTACAGATGATTTACCTAATTATTCAACATCACCAATTTCAATAACTATGTTGAATGACCACCAGAGGGTACTCTACCATCTCATGACATCTCTTGACTCTTACGCTATATCGCTTGCAACCAGACAACATCGACTATTTCTTTCTCCTTTCCACCAACTTCACCATGATCTTGCGGGACAAAGATGAGCATTCCAACATCTATGATATCTATTAAAACTATTACCTTGCCATCAAGAAAACAAAAAGACTAGTGGATTTTGGTGGAAGTTTGCATGGTTGCGGGACAAAAAATGGCTGGAAATCGAGATCGATTTCCCATTCCCAAAGTTTTTCCCCCCTGTCCACCTTTGGGACCTCAGGTATCAGTGTCACATCTTGGACCCCGAGACCTTGACACCGGTGGAAAGCCCGTCCACGCGTGGCGTGCTCTTCGTGGGGGGCATCGGCTTGGCACGGGGATATCTGGAGGAAGAAGAGAAAACCAAGGCCAGTTGCCAGGGATGGATTGTTGATTTTGGTCGAGTTTTACATAGTTCTGCCACTGGATTCTTGGATATTCTTGGTGATGTTTCGAATTTAGATGAGTTTAGATGAGTTTAGATGAGTTTAGATGAGCTTTGTGAGCCAGAAAAAAACCATGCTTTTGGTCAGAGACAAAAAAAACCATGGGAAGTTCCCTGGAGGCGAAGTTTCTGGACCATCCCCAGCTGGGTCGAGACGCTCTGCACGATCCGTTGTGGCCATGGGCCATGGGGCCCTGGGGGTTTCCTATGGGGAACCCCAGAATCCTATATGTATATATATTATATATATATATGTATGTATACACCATCAATGGGATTTACTGTAATGGGGATATTGTATATATAATTAATTATCTGGGGAAATTATAACGACCTCACGTCGCGACCGAAGCCTGGAATCATGTTTTTTTTAAGGGAAATCATCCCCAAGTGGCCCAACAATTCAGGTTAGTGAAATATTATAATTTACCCAGACAATTGGTTATTATCAATGCGAAAAGCCATGGTTTGGGGTACCCATATTTTGGGAAACCCCGCATATATGCGGACTATGTACATGGAGATAGCAAATAGGGGCCAAACATGTGGAAAGTCAGCAGAAATAGTGATATTAAAGCCAAACAAAATAGGGTGCAGACAGCAGATGAAGGACATAAAATCTAGAAGTCAGAAATCATGGTGATTTCATGGGGATTGTGTGATAAAACCATTCGTTCGGATGCTGCTCTCAGGATGACAGGAGGGAGTTTCCTGCATGGCGGAGATTAATGCCTTTTCGACTACGTAGCAACAATGATGGAATAGTGAATAGTGAGCAATCGTGAGCAATCACCACCGAACGTATTTGCAGTGTGGAAGCCCAAAACGTGGAAGCATGGAAGACTTCACTGAGTGTGGAGTAAAAATGTGGGATACTGCATGGTTTTAAGCGGCACATCCCAGTTATGTAATAAGATTCAGTAAGTGGTTCATACGGAATGTCCACAATGATTTACCCTCTGGTAGTTTAACATCGCTATAGAAAATCACCATTTTTAATGGGAAAATCAACTATAAATGGCAATTTTCAATGGCTATTTAGTTTACCAGAGGGTATGGATATTTACTGTATGACATTTATATAGACCATATATTGGTTGTGAGCCGTGTTTACACAAACTTGGGTGGGCATCCCTGTGGGGGCTTTCCGAAATATTCTTGGGCTCCCCAAAACCATGGTTGTTTCAATACTAAAATCGTCTAATTTCGGATTTGGGGGGTACCCTATTTTAGGAAACCCCCGTATCTTTAGAGTCACTTCTCAGTCATAAAAAGTGTCCTCCCCAGATCTACAACACGGGGGACCTAGCAGCGTGGGACGAATTTGGACGCATCCATTACCACGGCCGGACTGATTGGCAGGTGCGGGATGGAGAAATGTGGAATTCAGCAAACACCTGGATATAGTGGATAGATAACGAGCATACATAGTTGGTGAATACGGGTTGGTAGATTCAACCATTGTTGTTTTGAGCGTACCTGGTATCAAGCTTAGCAGTGTCAAACACCTCCATGAATATCATGAATAGAGGGGTAGATTTGGAAGAGTGGACGAACTCTCTGATCGGTGAAGGTGCGCGGAAGGCGAATTCATGAACTCTATAATCATCTGGGTAATCATGGTTAGTAGGGAAAATTATCCCAATATAGCCTTATTTCAGACTTATTTCAGACTTATTTCAGGTTATATATAGTGGAGTTTTGATTAATTTTCCCAGAATCATATTAAAAGTCATACTTTTTCCCTTGAACTTGGAACTCGTCAACTGGTGGATGGCAAACAAATACAAACAATATAAAGTGGCACCTCGCCTCATACGAACATGGAGATGCGATCAAGAGCATGGAATTTGTCATATTGACTTATTTGACTTGGTGTCCTCACATTTTGGGTGTCCCTGAAATGGGGGTTTCCTAAAATTGGGTTACCCCCAAATCATCCATGTTCATCGGATTTTCCATTATAAACCATCCAGTTATTGTACCCCCATAACTATGGACCCCCCAAAATTGGTTTCAAGATGGACGAGTTGTCGAGCGCAGGTGCAAGTGAGAGGTATTCGCATTGAGCTTGAAGCTCTGGAGCAAGCCCCTGGGCTAGATCCGGGTGAACCATGGCTGTCGAGCTGTTGAAGGAACATGAAGTAAGCGTTAGGCACAGGACGGGACAGAACATCAGGTGGTAAGTCCGGAAAAAGATAACATGTTTCTGGATGTTCCTGGTGTGTTTTGGCGCTACAGAATATAGAACCGCTGTTTGTGGCTGCAGATTCGGCTGGGGATCGCCTTATGTTTCCTCATGGAAGTGTGAAGCATCAGTTATTGTTAATGTCAACCCTGGATTGATAAACCATTTAATTAGGAGGGGTACTCCCCAGTGATAATCTGATAATCAGATGCTACTTCAATTCAACAGCCGTTTGGGGTGTATTGATCCAGGATTTGGATGGCTGTTGATCCTTTAAAGAGCCTTAAAGAGGATCTTTCTAGAGACTTCAACCGGAACTCCATGTGACAAGAAATCCCCAATTTGACCTCAGGGGCGCCGAAGGATTAGCTGATAGCTGATAGCTTGAAGAGGTGTTTAACATGTGTGAATTCATCATGAATTAAATTATTATATAAACACCTTATTCATACTGACCCCTTGTTGATCCTTGTTGTAAAAAAAGTTGGGTGAAACATGGTGAAACACTCGCCCCGAACACTCGGGTCACTGCCATGTCCCCTTCCGAGGCAATTACTGCTCTTCCAACGGTCAAACACTGCGAAGCGCGGGTCATCGATGATCGTTTGGTGTCGCGGCAGAAAATATATTCGTGAATAAACCGAGAGAGAACTGCCAGCTATGATTATTTGAAGTACTACTAGTACAGGGTGGCTTTTGAAGTTATTTGCAGTTAGTTGGTTCGTTCAAATCTCCAGTTGGATGAATACGATAAAAACATGTTCTAACTGACTATCGCAGTAGTTTTTGAGCTGCCGAAACACAATAGTCAGAAGTCAAAACACTGAAAACAATCCCCAAGCTAATTGATTTCTGGTCTAGGAGACCCCCATTGGTCATCTAAGCTGATGAATGAGTACACGTTCTTGGCCCCAAGGCCTTTTTTTATTGGTGTGCCATTCCAGCTGGGACGCCGTTAAAAACGCTCCATGGAACATTTGCCTTCAAAACTGGGTGATGCTCGGATAGATATTCTGGTTGGTGCTTTGGAACATGATTTTTATTTTTCCATTCAGTTGGGAATGTCATCATCCCAACTGACGAACTCACTCCATCATTTTTCAGAGGGGTAGGTTGAAACCACCAACCAGATTATTATTAACCATCATTAACCATATAATAACCATGAATATTAACCATATGATTATGATTAGGTTGAAACCACCAACCAGTATTGGTAAATAGATCAAACATGAAGCTTTGGGTAGGGTGTTGATCCAAACACTGGGGAAACCCATGGCATGCACCATATCGTTTCACTGGGTTGTTCCATTCCTATTGACCGTTGGGCAGGATCATCCATGATCCCCCACTTGACGTTCATATCATGTTCAAGGACTCAAGGATATGCTTTATTTCATGACTTATCACCTGTTTCCTCTTCAAATTGCCAGAAAATCAGGTGACAAAGCCCAAAATGCTCCAATTGTCCAATGATTTCTGATACTAAATCCCATCTATTCTCACTAAACTGAATACACTGGAGCCAGACAGCCCCATTTTTCACCCAGAGTTCGTGGCTGCAGGTGCTGTTAGTCTCTGGCGAAGAAAGCTCTGAAGCGAACCTCAAGTCCACCGCAGCGGCCCTGGGCCGTGGCTATGTGCTGAGCCAGGTTGGAGCTGACTCCGATGGAAAGCATAAAGGGTGGTACATTGCCAAAATCGATAAGTATTCTAGATACCCCCCTTAACTCTAGGAGTAACATGTATAAACCATTATAAACCCACTTAGCTAACGAACTGGGGCACCACCCTGTAGGGGGTAATGTTAAGGTAATGGGGAATGCTTCGTGAATGGCTGGTGAAGGATGATGGTTGAAGTGTTTTGGCCAAAAATGACCCCGAAATCTTCACATCGCTCACATACGGACAGATTGTGCATGGCTAGCATGCTGATTTCAGTGTGCTTGTGGGGCTCATAGTTATAATGAGTTAAACCCACATACATAAAATCATATAATATATTCATAATTATATATATATACATAATTATATATAAATATTGTATATATATATATTTATGTATATATTTATTTATCATATTGTATAATAATTACACAACAATACGATAATCCAACATTCTCAAAAAAGAACAACTTGATCCTCCAAGCGCTACACAGAGCGATTGCTTCAAGGGATCACAGCGCGGCAGGTGAAATTTGTGGATGTCGACGCTTGGAAGTTCAACACCTCAGGGAAGCTCCTTCGAAATGTGGTGCCGTTCGAGGTGCTTCGATGGGGCGGCTCAGATTCGTGTTGCTGTTTCAAGGGCATTTAAGATATTATACACAGAAAAATTGGTATTTATATTATATAATATATATATATATATATGCATATTTTGGCATTTACAATTTGTGGTTCGGTTTTTTGTATTTATTTGGTTAAAAAACACTGTCAGTTCCAGCTATCACATAATAATATTATCGTGTGGAATCATTCATTTCAATGTCGTTGTGCGCTTGGAAACTAGCCAAGATGCCCTGGCTTACCCCCATGGTTTAGCTGGTGAACACCCTACAATTCGCCCTACTATATCATGGTTTGAATGAGTCCCAACATGATGGATATTAACCATTAATTATATTAATTACCCCCTCATTTATGGCAAATCAGTCCCAAAATGATGGAGATTAACCCCTTATTTCAACTTATGCAATGTGTTATTTTCCCAGTGAGGAAACCTCGGGGCTGCTGGGAGGCACCGGTGGCACAGAGAGATGCATGGGAGGCCTTTGATAAAAGCGGCGCCAGCGAATTGGAACAGGACTCGGTGTTTTTTGGGGGGGACATCTGGAAAATGTGGAAAGAAACTTATGGAAAATGTGGAACATCTATGATCTATAAACATTGGATTGGTTTAAGGGAAATTTTGCAGGAAACTCAGTTGATGCGAAAAAAACTATGATGTCATGTGAATTTTCCCTCAGATCAAGCCAATGAGTCACAACCCTTAGCAAAAATGTTGTTGTGAAATGTTTAAACACAAAACTCCTGCAACTTCCGGCCTGGATTCGGTGCCTTTTCCGATCCGTGACTGTTTTGTTGTCCCGAATTGGGATCAAATTCATGTGACATCATGTGAACATCTGGGCTGTTCAAGGTGTTTTTTGGACTACAGTTTTTTGGTTCCAGTTTTAATATCTTTAGATTTTAGTGTCCGTATCTAGTCGTTCTGTATGATGTGTTTTGCAATGGGCAATCCACCATGTGTGAATTTGCATCCGTGAGAAACATATTATCATGGATCGATCCCATTTTCGGGGGATGAGAATCCATAAACCCCAGCTATTTTGAACCAGGGAATTCCATGGGGTTTGACCAGTCCCCGTATCATTCATCGCCAGGAGATAGCCCAGTGCATCGCGCCACAGGCCCTTGAAATCGCCCAGGGAATCCTATAGTTTTAACTTTGGGGATTGTCGTCTAACGGAAAATGCTGGGACCTTAATATACAGCTTAATTCATATATTAAATATATTAATTAATGGAGTCTGAAATTCCAGGCAGGTATGTATGATCAGAATGGAAAAAGACAGATAATTGGCAATTCGCAGCGACATTTGACCGCGTTTTACTGGTGATATCGGCAGCAATTTGTGTTGCACCGACTGAGGTGAACATCAGTTGCGGTTTGAAACAACTTCAGAGGTGACCTTTTTACACGAGTGTGCCGTGTGCATCCATCGTTCGAAGAACATTATATAATATGGATTAGCCTCTGGCAAACTAACATTATGGAGGTTTCCTAAGTCATGCTGGTACCCCCAGTCATCATCCATCTTATTTTCGGATCTTCCATGGGATTTACCATGAAAAAGTGACCATCCAGCTATGGTACCCCCACGACTCAGGAAGCCACCAGTAAGCAACAAAAACCAGCAGTGATCCGTCGACGGATCATCCCTTGAGACCTATTTTTGGGGGGTTTCCATAGTCATGGGGGTACCCAAAAATGCTTGGTTTACCCTCTGGTGAACTAACATAGCAATGGAAAATCACCATTCTTAATGGGAAAATCCACTATAAATAGCCATTTTCCATTGCTATGTTAGTTCACCAGAGGGTACATGGAAAATCCCAATCTAAAATGGATGATGACTGGGGGTAGCGGCTAGCCCTATGACTCAGGAAACCACCTTCTTTGAAGTCTAGATTTTAAGTGGAAACCTGAACCTGGGTTTGATAGGTTGATATACATCAATTCTCCACATGCTTTAAGCAATTTCGGTGGAGGAATAACAAAAAGGCTTTCTTCCTGCGCACAAGATTCGTCACCGATATTTCGTCCGGTGATCCCAAATCAAGTGATGAATTGGTGTACAAAAAAGTTTGCTAAGGTTTGCTACCTCTAAATAATCATCACTTTTCCATATTTTTTTCCATAGTTGTGCCATACTTTTCCTATAAACATCTATAAACACCTGTAAATTGTGGGTGGTCAATTCCCCATTTTTCACAGAACCGGAGGTGAGCGACTTGGACCGGTGGAGCGTCAACTCACATTTCATGGAGGCTGGGAGAGGGTTGAACTGGCGGGAAAAAGGTACCCTTCAACACCTCCCCGTAAATAGTTATCCATTATTCATCATTATTCATGAACTAAATCAGATCAAATCCATATGTTGGATATGTTTTGAAGCGTTCATCTCCATTTTAGCTGGGATCCCCGTTGAACTTGGGCACTCCCCCGCCCTTCTCGCCTCGGAAAACGTCAGGACTTGGGCATTGACTCAGGAGGCTTCGGACGCCTCATCTCGCGCATGCGACAGGGGAAGGGCAAGTTGTGCCAGGTGAATCTGCAGATGCTCTTCGAGTATCCCACGGTGCCTGAGTTGACGTTGAGAAGGTTTGTGAGTTTTGACTTTTTGGAAGACAGATGTTCTGAAAATTACGTGGAGGATGAGGGTGACTTAAGCATAAATGAAGTCAATTTGCAGTGTGATCAGTGTGTATGTGTTTGTATGGTGGTTTCTGGCTGGGATCGCGGTGTTTTTTGATGGTGGTCATATTTTTTTCCAGATGGTTGTCATTTTCTTTCATATATTCTTCGATATCTCCCTGCCCATTTTGGTGATGGTCCCCCTCCCAGCTGCCCCGAGATCCACGCCCTGGCCTCTCACCTCCATGCCGTGGCCGTCTCCGACGTTGACGACGCCGTGGTTTCCGACGCGGAGGACGGTGCCTGTGGCGCCGTGGCGGCCGCAATTCTGGAGGCGGTGGAAGCGCATCCGCACCGCGTGGCATGGGAAGATGGATGTGAATCCAGGACGTATCTGCAGATCTATCGTAACTTGGATGATTTGGATGGCTTCTGGTTGAAACATGGAGAAAGAGATGTGGAACCCAAATGTAACCCATTTATCGAAACTGGGTGAAATTGAAGTGACATTTGGGTTAAGGGCGTCGAGGTTTGGTGGAGTTTTTTCATGTTATTTCTTGATCTAGGAAATGGTGGAACAAAAATGGTGTGGACAGATATCAATGTGGGGCCCCCTAGTTATAAGTTGATTTACAATCCCATCTAACTATGGTTATAACTACCATAAACCCTAGTGAAATTGTAGTTATGTTCACCAACTTAGCTATCTTGGGGGCCCCACATTGTATCAATGGGGGAATGATCATTTTTGGTCATGAAACCTGCGATTTTTTTGACCCGGTGACATGGTGATTTGGTGAAATTTCACCTATCGGAAGATGCCAGTTTTGATCGATCAGCTGGGTTTGTCGGGGACCCCTAATTTGATCTCAGAGTTTATTCATCGGATGATATAATCCAGATGTTCCATTACCCTGGGTTTACCCTATGGTTTACCATAGGAAAATGGTGATTTAATGGTTAACAATGGTGAATAATGGGATATTCATGGAATATACCCTCTGGTAAACATACAAAAAGCTATTGAACATGGCGATTTAGTTCGTTGATTTTCCCATTAATAGCATTGTGATGTTCAATAGCTATGTGGCTGTTTACCAGAGGGTACCTGGTTGGTGGTTTGGAATGAATTTTATGTTTCCATTCAGTTGGGAATAATCATCCCAGAGGGGTTGAAACCACCAACCAGATACCAGTTTGGGATGGTTTGGGGGGTATCTCCTATTGTCGGGCACACTCATGTTTCGGGGAAATTTGGGGATATTGCAGCAGCTGGAGTTGTAGGAGGTACAAGGCCACTCCAGACTCGAATCTGAGATGGTCCGCATTCCATACAGGGCAATTATCTCCTATCAAATCTATGTCAAATCATGTCAAGTCATCCTAAAAGAGATCTATAATTATAGAATATCATAGAATATCATAGAATATCATAGAGTATCATAGAATATCATAGAATATCATAGAATATCATAGAATATCATAGAATATCCATCTCTGGCACTTGAAGTTACCATATATTTCTTAAGGGAACTCGACTCAGCCGTCATCGTGACTTTCACCGAGGTATGGCCCTCGGTTACCAGCGCTTGATTCGTTCGAAGATGGCGGCCGCAGCGCCGGCACAGTTGGTGGCTGTGTGGATTGAAGGATTCGGGCAGCAGATGGCGGCAACTCGGCAAGTTGGGGATGCTGCCATGGAAAAATCCCTGGAATGATGATCTGGTTGGTGGTTTGGAACATGAATTTTGAATTTTTCCATATATAATTATTGGGAATGTCATCATCCCAAGTGACGAACTCATATTTTTCAGAGGGATTAAAACCACCAACCAGTGATGATATGGCTGGTGAATGTGTATTCCCCCAGTCATACCCATCCCCATCCACATCCATCCCCATATAACTCTTGGCAAATATGAAGACAAGTTTGGGGTGAGTCCAGCTCAGAAACAACCATCAAAAAGCTACGTTTATTGCATCTTCCTAAACATCCACTTGGAGCTTCGATGGGTCGGATTATATATATGTTCGGATTATTCTTGGGAAACCTCTGGTTTTTGTTACTTGATTGTTTGCCTGTCGCCTCCCTTCATTTCTTTCCTTCGTTCATCTTCGTTCTCTGCTGCGGACGTTTCGTGACAGGCGGTGTTGGGAATCATGCTGGAAGCCCAAACTTTTTGTGTGGTAAAGAGCAAGGAAGAGTTGAAGGTGCGGGAGACAGTTGGGAGGGAGCAGCAGAGCAATTCACAAGGTTTATCCTCATCCTCCGATAATCAAACATGGCTTGCTGGAAAATCCCCCATTCATAGATGGTGTTTCCATCTACAGGGGATTTTCCACTGCTGGGTTTGATTCCCGAAGGGTAGAAGTTGAGCTTCCTTGAAGTTTACGATCTTGAATGGTTTGAGTTGCACGATTGACAGAGTGTGAGTGTGCGGGGATGGATGGAGTCCCATTATAGGAGTCCCATGATGGAATGGATGACCATACTTCGGTGTTTTGACCATGGCATGTGGCACATGAATACGGGCAGGTCTGGGGAATTGTCAAAAAATGTCAAAAATCAAAGATCTCAAACCCATAGGATCCATGTATGCTATATATGGTAACATTTACCATCAATATACCCCAAATGTTCGCATATATACCATACATGGATCCTATGGGAAATTGTGATGTCCAGATCTTTTCTGGGTTTGCGCATGAAATCTTGGCCACTTTTTTTGAACATCCACCAGAAACAGTCAACTTCTATATCTGCATCCGAACTCAAGACGTCTGACCCATTTTGACCCATTGAATGGGTTGGATATTTGATCCAGGATGTTTTGGTATATGTTTTCCACATGTTTTTCCACGACATGCTTTTCCATAAGTTTCACTGGGACCGGCACCGAGACGCCCGTTTCCGACGTTAGGCATTGAATCCCACCATCTGCTTGGCCCCGAAATGGGTGAAAGACACATGTACTGAGGCTGGTTCAGTTGGTGGAAAAGCGTTGGGAATGTTGGAGTATATTTATGGGTGATGGATGCATATAGTACCCCCAAAAAAGATGGAAAGGCGATTTGCCATAGTTTATCACTGTTCTAGGACGGAGGAATTTACTGTTCTATCTTTTTTGGGGCGCTGGGGCGCTGGCTATGACAAAAAGTTTAACAACGCCCAAACCATTGCAACAAACAGCAATGTCGAGGGTACGTTAGCGATTGTGCGCCTGCATGGCTGCGTCATCACGGCGATCACCATAGAGGAGTCTTATCGTTAAACCATCCGGTAATCATCTATAGGGGGGATATCTTGACCCAAGGCACCAGCACAAACGGGTATGGATCAACATCAGCCAAGAGACAAGCCGAAATGGTGAGATAGAATGATATATATATAGATATAGATAGATCGATAGATAGATAGATTGATTGATTATCAAAGATGCGACAAGCAATATCTCCACATTATTTAGACTAGATAAGAACTGGCTATACCCCAAAATTGGATGGTTTAGTAGCAACAATGGCCAAAACAAATCGTCCGCTGCACCATAAATGTATGTATACCGTATGCACATAATATCACATACCAATGTCAGACCAACTGTCAAAACAGCGTCACATACCATATATATACCAGTCTACCAACATATTCGTACGTATACATATACATATAACATATATACATATAACATATATATATATACATATATTTCAGTTGGTTGAGACCTACTAGACCAGTATATATATATATGTATATGTATATATATATATTTGGATATGTATATATATATGTATGTATATATATATTTGGATATGTATATATATATATGTATATATGTATATATATATGTATGTATATATATATGTATATATATATATGTATATGTATATATATATGTATATATGTATATATATATATGTATATATATGTATATATATGTATATATATATATGTATATATATATATATATGTATATATATATATTATGTTTAATACCATTTACTGTACCAACATATTTGTGCATCAGGTTATCATTCGCATATATTATATGCCTACACTACATACCGCTATGTGGTTTATATTATGCATATGGGTTTGTCCGACAATCGGGGTATCCTCAAAAGACGCAAGTGAGAAGGATTTATTTCCAGGTGGACGGAGATGGGGTGCTCGATTCTTGGAGAAACACATGCAGAATACATATCGAGGGTCCCCAAGAAAGATAGAACGTGAATACTCACAATGTGTCACCATAGGCTATAATGTCACATACGTCATCATATATCACTGTAATCAGATCATGTGGGTAAAACAATGTCATAAATCACCCATTGGCTTATACCACCTATCAAAATTGTGATGACTGGGGGATGGTTTGTGATTGTTTTACCCACATTATTAGACATATATCTTACTTGCTAATCTATGGCCATGGGTCACATGAAAATAGCTGTGCAGGTTCTCCAGATGTGATTCACTGTGATCGTAGGTTTCAACCCTTACCAAGCTGGTGCTCCCTACAGTTGCAAGTTGGCTTATAGACCCGCAGGAACTCGTGCGATACATCTACCTATATAATCCTATATAATCCTATATAATCCTGTATAATCCTATATAATCCTATACAATCCTATACAATCCTATCTATCTATATCTATATATATAATAATAACAATAATAATTATTATTATTATATACCCTTGTGAAATGTGAGTTGTAAACCAACTTTTTCGCTACAGAACTGGGGCACCACCCTTTTTTACATTGAGATCAAAGATGCCTCCAAGGAACATACCATTCCTATCGATTTTGGCTATCCAATGGCGGGTCAAAAAAGTATCCATTGCCGGACCTGGAGTCCTGGAGTGGAGGGGTTGAATTGAATTATTACTTGCAATGTGGGGCCCCCTAGTTATAAGTTGGTTTATAACCCCATCTAACTATGGTTATAACTACCATAAACCCTAGTTATTGTAGTTATGTTCACCAACTTAGCTATTTTGGGGGCCCCACATTGTGGTATTTAAATGTATCTGAGTATGCCGGTATTCCATGAATCTAACCGGGAGATTTGAGTTGGTTATTACCGGCAAAAATGAAGACGCTGATATGCACTGGGTAAAAGTTATCCACTCCTTCATCATTACCCTCTGGTAATTTAACGTAGCTATGGAAAATCACCATTTTTAATGGGAAAATCAACTATTAATGGCAATTTTTAAATGGCTACGTTAAATTACCAGAGGGTATACCTCACTATATGTCCATCATCATTATATCCTCACTATCTACCCACATTGTTGGTTATATTATCGTCATGAACCCCTATTTATGAGCAGAATATTCCATGTATCACTGGCAATATTACATCGGTATTTTAAAATTTTTATTACCCACGAAGATGAGGGGTGTTGTTTTTCAGCCCTGTTATTGGGGGTCCTGACAGCCCTCTTCAACTGCACCCGCAGATGGACTGTCTCTTCCTGGATGCCGGTTACGCGGCGCAAATGGAGCGCCTGCAGATTCTGGCAGCACGTGCTGCGCAGGATGAAGATGTCTGTGGCGTTGCGCTGGTGGCAGGCAGCCCGGATTCTGAACACCCAAGGTTTATTCGAAGATATGGGGGCTTTCCCACAGCATCCATCATAAATGGGTGATTGTGATAAGTAAGCTATAAATAATGGGAGGCTTCCCATAATCCCAATCTTTTATCCCCGAAGTGAATGGGGGATTCATGGTGCAACTTCACAAACGCTCGAAAAATAAGAAACAACCTTTTTTAGGAATACATACCGGGATATTTTAACCAGTAAATCGGATTCTGCACAGGATTATTTAATTGGCTTCGATGGGGTCACAATGGAAAACCAATTGTTATTCCCAACCTGTCATCTGAGGATCAATATTGCCTATTCGAATTGGCTTGTGAACTTCATGGAAACTATGTGTATATATATATATTCCATTAGATTCCCCGATCCATGAAATATGTCCCAATATATACATTCCCATGAAAAAAAATCAAACATGCTACCCTCTGGTGAACTAACATAGCAATGGAAAATGGCTATTTATAGTGGATTTTCCCATTAAGAATGGTGATTTTCCATTGCTATGTTAGTTCACCAGAGGGTAACCCAGGTGTGCCGGTGCCGGTGACCCACAGCACTTTGCTGAGCTGCTGCGCCGAATGGCGTCCCCACTTGGCTGGGCGGCGCATGGCGCTGACCCCGCTGACCCCGCCCAACGCATCGATGGCCACCGCGGCGCTGGCGGCGCTGTGCCACGGCGCCACGGTGGTAGACGCTGGGAAGGTGGAGATCTTGGTGGAGGAGAAGGACGAGATCTGATGATTTTGGAAGATATTCTTGGGTGTATTTATATATATATATACACACATAAAAGGCATCTTATAATATTAATCTTTATACTAGTAACATGTTTTTTTATACGTATGTATATGGTATCCTACCAAACAAAGATTTGTTTGTGGTTTTTCGAAGGTATATGCCGTCTAGAAAATGTCTGGAGTATAGATAGATCGATAGATGGACAGGACAGGACAGGACAGGACAGGATAGGATAGATTGGATAGTAGATTGGATAGATAGGATAGATTGGATGGATGGATGTACGGACGGACGAACGGACCAACAGACAGACAGACAGACAGACAAACAGACAGACAGACAGATAGATAGATAGATTAGATAGATTAGAAAAATTAGTCAGATACATAGACAGACAGGCAGATAGATTGGTCAATTCTGGAGAAGAATCCACGTGCAGAGTTGGTGAATGCTTTTTTGGCCACCAGCGTTCAGGACGCAGCTTCTAGCAGCGTGTCAGCACGGGTCACGCCCAGTCGAAGGGTGCTGATTTCTGGCAAGACGTGGCTGACCTCCACGCCGGAGGTGCTGCTGCGGGGGTCGAATGGGTCGAACATTGGCCGCCAGGTGCGAATGGTGTGTTGATATTTAATGATGGCTACCCTCTGGTAAACTAACATAGCTATGGAAAATGACCATGTTTAATGGGAAAACTCACTATAAATGGCCATTTTCAATAGCTATGTTAAATTACCAGAGGGTATATAGAAAGTAGCCAACATAGTAATTGTGACAATGATCATGCCAATAGAATCCAATAGATCAATGGTTTGCAAAGGATGGTTGGTGAATGGGTTAATGTTGAATATGTTTCATATCATTCATATCAAACAAAAGCGATTCCCAACATGCGGCTGTGGCTCAAAAGTTTGTATACCAGAGGACCCACAAATGGTCCGTATTGCAGGGTCTTAAACCATACCAGGTTTCAAGGGTAAAGCATTTTGAGCCGTACCCATGGTTCAACACTGGGGATACAGTGGCATGAATGGTAACTGAATTGGTTGATTTTGGGCCATGCATCGTTCTGAAAGGCTTCGTATTATAAATGTCACACTGATGTGTCTCTTCTTTGTTTGTGGGGTTTTCATAGGTTTTTTTTTTGTTTTCTTAGAGAAGGGGATTTCTTTCAACTGTGAACATGGCCTAAGCCGTTGGATCATCCATGGGAGGAAAGTGAGGAGATCAACCCGCTGCTGTGCAGGATATAACATGAGTCATAAGTACGTACTGATAATAAGTATTAATAAGTCTATTATTAGTACATATATTAGGTGTATAATTATATATATATATTATATGTTTAGAAAAATATTTGTAATTATATATAGTCACGTATATAGATCATGGAACCCATTAGATATTGTGTCTTAACCCACAAAGTGGAGTCTTAACCACCCAAAAGGGATCATTTGGGTTCCAGTTCCAGCTATATTATCTATATATGTATGCGCGAATAGTGGCATCGAACTGCAACTGGTTTCATTCCATTTGGAGTTGGCTATTGTGATATTGAACGGACATACTGTAAATATGATTTCAAATATAATGATGCAGCAATGATGCATAATATATAGATATATACACCTGCAGTGCGAAAAACAGCACATATCCTGTTTGAAACATCCAACGTAGGTTTTGGTTGATTTCCAGGTATCCCATCAAATACAAATATTCAGATATAGATACACAATGATACACATGTAAATGTTAAGGTATGCAAAAGAATACACATATGAATATGTAAATAAACCAAAATCTTTTGTATGATATGTATATATACAGTATATACACAATACATTGATGTGTAGATACCTATAGATACATAAAGATACATGAATCATATATTGATATACCAGTATCTTCTAGAGAGTGTGCAAGGTATACATTAATTATATACATCATCATATGCCATCATATACCATTCTCGGAATTGGATAATGGGGAAAAAAACTGCAGGAACCCCTAAAATTCAATGACATGTAAAAACAATGGTTTTCTGTAGATCTTCCCGTAAGCACCAATCCACCAGTCATATCCACAGCTGTGCTATCTGTCTACCCAAGTTGGCCGATTTACCCATGATTGGTCATCATTTTCCCCAGGAGCTTTCCTAAAATGGGGGTACCCCCTTTTTTGTCATGGATCATGACTTAGTATTGAAACAAGCATGGTGACTTGGAGATGGGCACCCCCATGACTGACTTATACAATGTGGGGCCCCAAACGTTATAAGTTGGTTTATAACCCCATCTAACTGTGGTTACAACGGTTATAACTACCATAAACCCCAGTGAAATTGTAGTTATGTTCACCAACTGAACGCTATCGACTGGGGGCCCCACATTGTAGGAACCCCCCAAAAACCATGAAAGTGAAACATCTCCCAGCGCTCCCAGTTGTCCCGTGGCTTCACTGTGGGCAGCTTCGGGAGCATGGGCACCGGCGCGTCGCCCAAGTCGATGGCATCGGAGTTGCGCCGCGGTGGTGAGAGTTTTTTTGTGGAAAACCATGGAGAAGACCTGGGAAAAACAGAGGAAAAATGTTCAACGGTTGGTGGTTTGGAAAATAGTGATATTAATAGTGGTTAATAGGGTATAATACCAACAACAATGGGAATATGATGGTTATATAACTGGTTGGTGGGTGGTTTGGATATACCCTCTGGTAAATAAACAGTTGGACCCTGATTTTATCACCCATTTTCAATGGTTTCACTAGTCTTCCAACCCCGACATCTGCCAGGGTCGAACTGTTAATTTACTGGAGGGTATATATATATATGGGATAATCATCTTTATAATGGGATTATATACCAATAATAGCGGTTAATGATGGTTAATGGTTAATAATCACTGGTTGGTGGTGGTTTGGAACCATGGAATTTCATGACTTCCATTCAGTTGGGAATAATCATCCCAACTGACTTTCATATTTTTCAGAGGGGTAGGTAGACCACCAACCAATGTTAAACAATTCGGGAGAAACTGGGAAAAGAGAGAAAACTTGGAAAATGAGGAAAAGCATATTGTTGAACATGTGAATTGAACATGTGAAAAGACCTTTGAATAATCTGGAATGATCATAAAAAGATGCATGCCCCAGTACATTCTCAATAAAGCTATATAATATGTTTATTCATACTCTCACATAACTGGCTGTACTAGGGTTTATGGTGATTATACCATTCTAGTTCGATTGGTACCAACAAACATATCGTTTTGGGAGCACCATTCTTCATGATTCTTCGATCTCTCCAATTGTCTTGGTGATATCTCCTTCCCATTCTATCCCCATAGCCAGAATGTTGGGTGGGCAAAGCATCAGCGGGAATTTCAGGACCAAAAATGGAGGTACGTTAGTACCATATTTTGGGCCAGATGTTGTGGGGATCTTCCCTGAAATTTAGCCCTGAAAAATAGGCCTTATAATCCTTACATATGATCATATGGGTATGGGTCAAAATCTAAGCCCCACAGAATTTAGTCGTCATTTTTATATTAACCATCTCATTTTTTGGGGTCAATTTTGACCCCTAATATGCTCGCTGCAACCACCATCGTGACTCCCGTGTCGCCAAGGGCACCCTACATTCTGGGCTCGCAGAAGAGCTTCGGGCCTCGCAGCTGGCCGGTCCTTTGCGGCGTGGTGCAGGGCGTGGCCATCTTCGCCTCTCGGGCAGCGGTTGCGGTTGCTGCTTCAGTTCCGGAGTCGGAGATGAAACCAACCATGGGGATCATATTAATACAATATTAATACAATGTTGTATAATGGACATGTAGAGGTATAATTTAAGTATAATATCTTATGACTAGACTTAGAATACTGTATATGGGGTTGACTCATGAAAAATGAACATTGAGACTTGTAACCAACAATACTGGGCAAATGATGGAATTGTGCCATGGTCAGACTAGTCAGAACTTTGTTTATTTTATCATAAAAGGGTATGGTCGTCCGTCATCTCCTCATTTTCACAGGGGTTAATATACCAAAGTTTGCCATTTATAAGGAATCCCATTCCCATAGCCCACATGCTATAGGGGGTTGTTCAAAAATGCGGGAACACCCTCCAGTAAACAAACACAACTATGGAAAATTATCGATGTATAGACGATTTACCCATCAGACATGTTTGCTTTCCATAGCTACGTTAGTTTACCAGGTTATCCAATTTCAATGGATGAACTATGGTTATGAACCAGTTACTAAGACTAAGTGGGATGATCCTCCAAGTAAGTAAGTGGGTTCATGATAATGCCATTGAATCATTGTATAGTTGTATGGATTTGTCAGAATCGGGGATAGCCACAAATAGTCATTCTCATGGGGAAAATGATGAGAATTGGGTGGTACCCTTTTTTCAGACAAATGCATATACTCCATGGGAGTTTCAGGATCCTAAAATGGAGGTACTGTACCATATCAAGCCAGATTTTTGGGGCGTGTCCCCTTGCAGAGCCCTTAGGCCTAACAATATGGTAGGTACCTCCAATAAATCAGTGAAATGGCCATTGATGTACCTACTATATCCCATGTTTTCCCATGATTTTCCCATGATTTCCCATGATTTTCCCATGATTTTCCCATGATTTTCCCATGATGTTCCCATGATTTCCCATGATTTTCCCATGATTTTCCCATGATTTTCCCATGATTTCCATGATTTTCCCATGATTTTCCCATGATTTCCCATGATTTTCCCATGATTTCCCATGATTTTCCTATGATTTTCCCGTGATTTCCCAGTGTATACCCCCCAAATCCTTTGTCGCTTCACCTACCTCGGGGCCCGACCCAGGCGCAGCCTGTGATGGTGGCGGGACGTTTGCTGCTGGCGGACCGGCTCTTGTTACCGGTGGCCTTGGCTATCCCACTTTGGCAGCGCGGCGATTGCGATGGTTAAAACGCGGCTGGCGAAAGCTCTAGGGATTTGCTGATGCTGTTTGGAAAAATTCCATGTTTTTCGATGTTTGTTCCATTTGTTCCATTTTTTGTTGGGTTTTTGAAAAAGTTTGTTGATTCTTAGAATAAGCAAAGGTCTGGTGAACATAATGATAATGATGATTGGTACAAGTTGGTATTGACGATAATTGATGAATGGGAAAAAACATGGTTAATCCGAAAATCCTTATTTGGGACTAATATTGGCTTAATATGGGGGTTAATTGGGAGGTTTTAACTCTTTGGTAAACTAACATAGCTATGGAGAAATGTCCATGTTTAATAGGGAAGTTCTCGAACTAAATATGCAATGTTCCATTCCCATGTTAGTTCATTCGAGGTTTCAAGAATGGTTTAAGTGATTAATTTATCAATATGGCTAAATTTACAATGGTTAGAGCCAATTGGGTTAATAATGATGGTTAAACCCAATAAAAGTTTTAATAAATGGGTTTAGTGGTTAAACCCTATTCATAATGGTTAAATTTATACATATGGTTAAACCCAATAATGGTTTGAAAGAAACTCCCTATAAATTTGGGATTAGTATTGGGTTAATGATATTGGGTTAATCATGGGCTAATAATCATTCATTGGATATTTAGTAAGATACCCTTTGCTAATCAGTCACCTGGCAAACTGGAAACTTCATGAAACTTGGACATCCCTGAACTAGCGATGAAGGTTTATAGCTGGGAACATCCTCTGTTTATTTTTGGGATTCAATGATTGATACCCTCTGGTTATGTCAAAATAGCTATTGAAAATCGCCATTTTTAAAGGGTAAATCCACTATTTCTATGGCCCATTTTCAATAGCTATTTTGACATAACCAGAGGGTAATCGTGATTGATACTGGTGGTATTTCCTACAAGTATGGCTGCCATAGCTGCCATAGCTATGGCAGCTATGTTAGACTACTAGAGGGTATCCTGTAGGAATTCAAAACTATTGTATATCTGCGCTACGGGAAACGATCTTTTAACTTAAATTTTACTTTTTCCAATTGGGGGTGTATCCTGTCAACTACTTTTATCTGCACAGTTGCAACCATTTATCATCCATTTACTATGTGATTATCATCACCCATAGGATCCATGTATGGTATATATGCTAACATTGGGGGTATATTGATGGTAAATGTTACCATATATATATATAGCAGCACCATGGATCCTATGGGTCAGGGATTATCCCGCTGATTTCAGAGATTTGAATCAGATTCATTGCTGAAAAAAACATGTTCGCTGCAAAGCCAAACGGTTTGCCCGCGGCGAATCTCACATATCCCTAGAGACATGCTCAAATCCCTGCGGGGTTGGTTTAAGTTTTTTACTTTCCAAAACAACAAACCCTAAAACCCTGAAACCCTAAAACCCTAAAAGCCTAAATTTAAACCCTAAATCCTGAAAACTTAAAATCAACATCACTGCGTCAAGGCCAGTGTCTTCATTCATCCTCTGGTGATAGGTATTGTTTAGATGTGTTGTTTGAGTGTGGGCGAACCCGGGGTTTGGAGCATGTTCTACCCCAACGCCCTAATCGACAATTTCATTGATCATCCAAGTACTTGTAATCCCCAATGGTCAGCAATGTTTCTCCGCCAATGGATGGCGTCCTTGGCCTGGATGTTGGTTTTCTATTTGCTACCACTTCCATCTCTAACACTTCCTCTCTTTGAAATCGGAAAGATATGGAAAGATGAATCTGAATATATCTGAATTTATCTGAAGGAACTTGGCAGAATTGTTTTTTAGTCATATTTTTCGATTATGCCATAGTTGATTTTTTCACCAATCACCCGTAGATCCCTCCGTGGGTGATCCTGGCAAGACTCTAGGCAGAGTCTCGTTGCATTGCTGACCTTACTGTTCTTTGAAGCTCTGGCCGCGCTGGCTGAGTTTTTTTCTTTAACCGGCCCCTTCTGCGATGATGAAAGATATGAAAGCATCAATGGCAGTGCCCATCAGTACCCTAAATCAAGCTTTTGGATGGCTTTGGATTGAATGTTTGAATACCTTTGTGTATATATATACATAATTATACAATGATATACATATATTCAGAATGAAGAAGTGTTTCTTTTTCTACCGCTGATATTGGATGATGACGCATCATGTTCGGTAAACCATTCAAGCACCTGATCTTGTTCCGTAGCTTGTTCCGTTGCATTCGTGGCATCTCACCCTGGAAGTCACTGGAAGTCACGTAGAGTGGATGCAAGCGAATGAACTGCGCCAGCTCTTGGGGGTGCAGTTCCACTGACACATGGATATAGACATGTATATGTATATTTTATGTATATACAAATATATATATATATATATACATATGTATATATATATATATATTATATTATATATATATGTATAAAATGTATCCCAACTTCTGGAGATTATTCTATAATAATGGCAAGTAACCAATTCAGAACCCCAACTACCCCACCCTTGGTGCGTTTCTTTCGAGAAGGTCAGACAGGTGAAACGATCTCATTTGTTGAGCATGGGATGTCTTGGGTACTGGCGATAACAGTCATCCAGGAAGCAGGTACCGCAATACCAGGAAGCCGAAAGCAAACAAAAAATGAGGTGTTGAAGGTGTCCAGATAACCCCTGGTAAATTAACAGACCCTGATTTTATCACCCATTTTTAATGGAAACTAATCTTCCAACCCCGACAACTGCCAGGGTCTATGTTAATTTACCAGAGGGTAACCCCAGGAAAATGCTGCTGCCCATCCCGTCGCCGGTCGTCTCAAACATTCAAAAACGCCCTAGGAACAGCTATTGCGCGTGCTGGGCTTGGCGGCCGTGAAGTGGACCTTGATTGGCCGCTACCGCGAGGGAGACCATGACACTTGGAGTAGATCAAAAAAAGGGACGGAGAACTGATGATGGCCACTACCAGCCTGGTTGGTGGTTTGGAACATGTTTTATTTTTCCATATATTGGGAATCATAATCCCAACTGACTTTCATATTTTTCAGAGGGGTAGGTATACCACCAACCAGCAGCTGTAAAAATCGAGTTACCTATGTGTTTGTATCATATTTTGGGGCATGATCCAGAAATCCCAACTAGTTGAACAAGATCAGCTGGGTGAACTGACTTGTAGCCATTTTTGAATGGGGTTAGAACCAGCTACTAGGCCTAGATGTACCTATCTACCCACTTCACTGCCTGACATTCCTTGCTTGAACCATCTGGGAAACATTTTCTTGAGCTCCAAGAATGGGTTTGGAAGACAATCTAACCTTAATGGTCCTCTGGGCCTAAATCCATCCGGAAGTGAAGGCCAGTGCCACGGTGTGCCACCACAAATCCATCGTGCCATGGGCCTGCCTATTGGGTTGACATGTGTTGTGGCGCCACAAATCCCTGAGTAATGTGGTAAAGCCATGTAAAGCCAATAATACCGGTAAATCTCTATATTGGGGATGGTTTATAGCGGTTTACCACATTATCCCTGCATAATTCGATGCCACAGCCGCAGCCAAGCGAAGCTTTTCGAGCTCAGTAGGAATCCACAATTCCCATGGATTCCTGCACTGCAACTGCAGGGGCCCGCGTTCAATGGATTTATTGAAACAACATTTGTAGGAAACGAGCAAGAAAAAAAGGAGTATAGAAATCCCATGATTGGAAGTGACCCTGCTGGTTTCAAACTCCTTTGATTTTGAACCCTACTTGGGACACTGATCCCAACAGACTCATATTTGGTTTGAAAATACAGTCCAACCAATTATTTTTATTTATCAATGCTTATCATTCCTCATCTTATGAAATACTTATGTTCATTGGTTGAGCGTTCTCAATTATTGTTTGCATGTCTTGCCAATTTTGTTGTTTCTATGTCCAAAGCTATTCCCAAAAGTGTCAACCAGAACCCCATGTCAACCCATTATTAATGCATATGAATGCTTAATAGTCCCTAGTTTCTCGAGGATGTTTCCACGAGGTAGTCCAAACATATCAGACAAGAACGTGATCCATGTCTATGAAAATCTGATATCTGGTTGGTGGTTTGGAACATGTTTTATTTTTCCATATATTGGGAATAGTAACCCCAACTGACGAACTCCATCATTTTTCAGAGGGGTAGGTTCAAACCACCAACCAGATATCGTTGGGGTATATTGAAAATGAATAGAAAGAACCGATTCAAATCCGGACGGTCTGGGGGGTAACATGGGATTCATTCGTTATGATTGGGGGGGTTATACTGCCATATACCACCTGGTTATTGGGGATTCGGGATTATAAACTAAACCATTTCACAGGGATAGCCATGAACCAGCTGAGGATATTTACAGCTTGTACTACTTGCGTCATTGGTTGGTGGAACATTTGGCAAAGGGTACCATCGTTGGACAGACTCTCGGCCACGGGGCCCGTTTGGCCCGTTTGAACAGGTGGATCTTTTACCCATGGACTGGACGAACAGAGCCCAACATATCAATAGGAAGGATCCTAAATTGGAGGTACTGTACCATATAAGGCAATATTTTGCTGGGATATTCCCTTACATAGGCCTTATATAGGCCTTATATATGGTAGGTACCTCCAATTTAGGTTCCTGAAATGGCCATTGAACATAGCCCAACACAAATGGAGCTTTAAGTCTTTTGCAGAATGAATGTCAATACTGAGAGATATTCGAGGAACAAAAATAGCATAAACAGATCACGAGCTGTGGCCCAAGATGATGAGCCCCTGAAAATTCCACCGATCCGTGCTACAAAGTCGGTCCGCGGACAGGCAGACCACACGCAGATGGCAGAATCAGCCGTAAGGCCACGAAAAATTACAAGACCTGGGCTTGCTATTTTCTGACTTGCAAATCATGCATTTGCTAGAGTTGGCGGCAAACATGTTTCATAGCCAGGTGACTCGAGCTGTGAAGAATCCAAAGGTTCTTGACCATGTTGCGTCGACTTTTTTTGTTTGATCGCTGACAAATGACAGTGATGACAGTGGAGCTCTGTCTCGGAGTCACCCATATATCAATCCCATTTACATTCCATTACCCTCTGGTAATTTAACATAGCTATTGAAAATGACCATTTATAGTGGATGTTCCCATTGAAAATGGTGATTTTCCATAGTTATGTTAGTTTACCAGAGGGTAGATCATATTATATCCCCATGATATCTCCATTCAACGGCCATGTTTGTCACTTAAATCACAAGGAGTTCGTTCATCCATTTCATCCCCATCCCCATCCATAGCCCATGAATTTTCCATGAAATCCCCAAGAGAAATCTAGGTATTTCCCATGTGATTCCACCATAACCTTCAAGGCTTTCCGCTGTTTTGCGGCTCCCAGGAGTGCCCATCAAGGGAGCAGCGTGGCCTTTCTCTTCATGCGCAATCTCGCCTTAAAGGACGGGTGATGGGTAAGTTGGGCCCTCCGGAGGCCCTCCAGAATGTTGAATTCAATGGGATTACTGTCTGGTAAACTAACATAGCTCTAGAAGATCACAATTTTCAGTGGGTAAATCAACCATAAATGGCCACTTTCAATAGCTATGTAAACAAATTACCAGAGGGTAGCAATATCGTGATATTTTTCGAGTACCATCCCCAACTGTACCAAGTATGCATGTGGGACCAGTGGGACGAAAATTGCCTTTCTTCATGGGTAAATCAACGAACTAAATGACCATGTTCAATGGCTATGTTCGTTTACCAGAGGGAGGGTAATATCTATGAATGATTGAGTTAATGGTGGAACATCTGTGAATCATGGGACAATTATCATATTTAAACCATGCTGAAGCCCTCAAAAGAAACTATCCCCAATAATTAGAAGGTTATGATTACTAATGGATACTAACTAGTAGTGGGATTATGATTCTAGGTAAAAAAAAAAGATAATAAAAGGTTTATGATTCTAGGTAAATTAGAACGACCTCACAGCAACCTGGGATGATGTACCCCGAGATGCCTAGTGATGTTAATAACACATTCCCCAAATTCTGTTTGCTGAATAAAAACAGGTCCAGAAATGTAAAATAAGTCTTTTGTGGCACAAATTCTGTTTGATAGTTATGAATCAAAGCTGGATCCATCTTTGAACAAATATCTTAACATGTTGATAGAATTACTTGAGATATATAAGATGAAGAAGAACTTGAGAAAAAATGATCCCTTTTGGGTTTGGACTTGAGTGCGGATCCGTAGAGTCCTGGGACTATGCTTTTTGCATCGCTGGCACAGTATACGTAGCTGGATGTTGGTCCCCAGTTCGTTTGGTCCCATAGATACGGAATTTACTCGACCCATCCAAAATTTGCCAATTAGTGTATATAATATCCCATTATACAAATCCAATCAAATCCATATGAATCTCATTTAATCATTCCCATTAGTAGTATCAGCAATTTATACAGTAAAAGGAAATGTAAATGATCCATCATCAATATCCCAATCATCACACATTATAGTATATTATATATATAGTATATTATTATATACTATATATATATGTTATATTATATATATAGTTAAGTTATATATATAGTTAAGTTATATATATATATACACATACAATATATATATATATATATTCTATGGTGTTTTCTTGCAAATAGCCCATCAACAATCCCATGAGTCATTCGCCCTGGCTCAGGCCCTAGGCGCAGATATTGCCCTAACCTCGGTGGTGACGGCACGTGTGGTGGCCTATGATCTCATCTCTGTGCTTCGACAGAAACCGGGTTACCGGGGAGGTCGAGGATTGACCGGCCAATTTTCAAGGGAAGTGCTATGAATTGCTAAATTTGGTACCCTCTGGTAAACTAACATAGCTATGGAAAATCACCATTTCTCATGGGAAAATCCACTATAAATGGTCATTTTCAATAGCTATGTTAAACTACCAGAGGGTATTGCTAAAGGTTGGGAATCTGAAAAAACCGAGGATTTGGATGGATTTGGAAGGAAGAATGTGTTCACTTCTGGCGTTTTGATGCATAGTTCTGTGGCATTCTATGGCAATTTTTTAGCACTCGTATTTATGGGCCATTTATGGCACTAAAGTTTCATTTCAAATTGTGCGTTCCCCTAATTTTTGGATACTTGACTGCTAAGAATCGCATATTTGCTGTTTCAAGAATCCTGAATCAAAATCATTGACGAAGCAAAATAGATGATGGTCTCAAAACTTTAGATGAGTTCATCCCTATGATTTTCCCCATTGAAACCTCCATTTTTGTTCATGGATTTTCGCCAATGAGAACCACTTTTTTCCTGCCAGTCATGTGAGTCATGTGTCTCCATTTCTACACCGCGCCAGGTGAAGGATTTGGCAACGGTGCATGGCCCACGACATTTGACCGGTGTGAACTACGGCAGCCGGCGCATGGTGCTGCGGAAGGTGGGGCGGTTCCCGCGGGAACCGGCAGAGTTGCAGAAGGATTTGGCTTGGATCAACACGGATCAACAAATGAATACTCTCTGGTAAACTAACATAGCTATTGAAAATTACCATTTATAGTGGATTTTCCAAATAAAAATTGTGATTTTCCATAGCTATGTTAAATTACCAGAGGGTATGAGAAGCAATATGTATATAAATGTATACCATCTGATTATTTAACATAGCCATGGAAAATCCATTATAAATGGTGGTTTTAATGGGAAATTCATCTATAAATGAGCCATTTCTCATGGCTATGTTAAATAACCAGAGGGTAATTATATATATACACAGAGATGTTAGTCATTTGCGTGGTTTCAAGGAAAATCTACAGGAAATCGGAAATCCCTATATTTCAATGGGAAAGTCACGAAAGTCCATAGTATCCTCTAGATTTTTCTCTTAAATCAATTCATTGATATATTGATATATAACAATATTATAGTTATAATTAACACATCATAATATATATATATATAGACATAGATATAGTAATATATATATATATGCATAGTCATATATATATACACACCAATATATGTATATAGTCATATATGTAGATGTTTCTGTAAATGTGTTTCTTGTCTCTTGGTGCCCGAGGTCAAGGTGGGCGAGGGTGCTTTTGTCGGGCCCAACTGCACCATGGAGCCTGGCTGCGAGGCGCGCTCAGGGATCATCTTAACTGAGGATAGTTGGGATAATTCTGAAAATAAGAACATGATTGAACTATCCCAACTATACTTAGCATATTTTAATCATGTTGGGGCTATAAAAATAGGGATAGTTGGGATAGAAAATATCGTGCAGCCCCATTCTTTTTTTTTTCTAATTTCTGTATCAAATTCACCATTTCTGTATCGGTGAATCTCCCGTTTTCAGACCCCCATGATGACCCGGTCGGCTACCCTCCACAGGTTGCACCTGCGGGCTATGTTGAGCCGCTGTCCACGGTCTCTGCTGGAACTTTGGTGGAGGGCCGCGTCACAGGAGTGCCTGCACAGGTGGACTGGTTGGTGGTCCATGGGTGGTCCATGGGTGGACGTGAAATAAGGTAATTACCCTCTGGTTATGTCAAAATAGCTATTGAACATGGCCATAGAAATAGTGGATTTTCCCATTAATAGCATGGTGATGTTCCATAGTTATGTAACAGTTTACCAGAGGGTTTCATGGTGTTTTTTTTGGATGTCAACATTGGGTGGTTCAAAGTCAAACACAAAAAACGGGATAAAAACAAAACGGGATAAAAACGGGATAAAAACGGGATAAAACGGGATAAAAACGGGATAAAAACGGGATGCTTTGATGTTTTTCGACTATGAAAAACAAATGATGTTCCAACGGGATGTTTAAACCGGTGAACCCGATGGGACGAAGGGCGCAGCTGGATGAAGATGGGGCAAGATGGCTTAAGATGGATTAAATTAAGATCGATGAAAGTGGATTGAAATGCAATGGCTTGACATGGATTAGAGACAAGTTTATATCAAGAGGTTGGGGTACTTACAGCGCTTGCTCCCTCTTGCAGCACCCAAACTTTTACAGCTTGCACTCTTACAGCACCCAAGCTTTTACAGTTTTGTTGCACTCTTGCAGTGCCTGGTGTTCTTACATCGCCGGTGCTATTGCAGCACGTGGTGTGTTGTTCCGCCCTGCCCTCCGGGCACAAATTGTTTCGCAGAAAATGGAGGAATGAAAGTTGAAGAAACAAAAAACATGTTCTCAAACGCTTGAACAAAGGTTTAAAGTTTAAGCGCATCAAAATGACAAAGAGCGGCAATTTACACTTTCATGAATCTGGCTACATAAAAACATGTTTCACAATATTTCACCATCCCTTTTGTGCGTTTCAACAAACCAGACGTAACGTGCGTGAACTCGGTGGTGTCACCAGAGTTAGCTCAAGGATTGCCCAGATGTAGGAGGGGAGCGCGAGAGGAAGCATTGAAAAGGACCCCCCCAAGGCAATCTGGTTGGTGGTTTGGAACCATGGAATTGTATGACTTTCCGTAATATATGGATATATATATATATACATATATATATATGGGATGTCATCCTTCCCATTGACGAACTCATATTTTTTCAAGATGGTCAAAACCACCAACCAGTCTTGCTTGGTGAGTTTTGTTCGAAGATTTTACTCACCACACAAATTCTGTTGCGGGTAGAATTTGAGTTTATGAACAATGTCGACAAAACAAGAAAACTATAGACCTTAAAACAAATCATGGTGAACATAATCCTGCATGTTTCATTGTGCAAAACTTGGCTAGCAAGCCAATAAAACGGGAAAAGAGGACTAACGTGAGAAGCGTGACGCCTGCAAGTGTTTGACATGAGTTTTCATGTTCTTGCAGTTTGGTGTGGCGTTTGAAACCTTAGCAGAAAAAACATGAAGTTCAAGCGTTTAGAAAAAACCGGGCTCGGCGGAGAGCACAGACAATATCTATGCATGATATGAGAGGATGGGGGGTGGGCACCACAAGCAGTTTCAAGGTTGTAGGCAAGTCGCAAGGATGTGTTTGGTGTTCCTTGGTGCAAGGTTTGCACGCGCACTGGTGATTCCAAAATGAGTGCTCTCCAGGTAGTACCACTTCGTTTTCATATCACCAGTACCTTTCCCAGTACCCCTTCAAATGCGCATATAAGCTTGAAACGGGCACCGCTATTATTTGGTCGGTTCTAGGCACGGATGTGTGTATTTGGGGTTCCTCGGTGAAGGGTTTGTGTGCGCAATGGTGGTCCCTTGGTATCAGCTAGGGCTCTTTCAACAAGCTGTGGCTCGATGCCCTGTGTATTTTCAAATGCCCCCCAGCAAAGGACAAAATATCCAAGGGCCGCACTATCAACTTTGTTTTCTTGGGTTGCGGATTACGGATTACATACACCGGTTTACAACACGGACGCAGATGATCAGGATTATGGATTAGTTTTGCGGCTTGCCGGTTTCGCTGTGAACAGAGCAGTTATTCTTATATTTACAGTCATTATTACTACTGTAACTAATATGTGAGCTATATTTCCATATATCAAAACATATTATATTATAGTTAGTAGCGGCTCAGGAACAATGCTATTTATCATTTAAAAAAACTATTTGTTATAACTATTACTAACCAATATTACTAAACAATAGTACCATTTGTTATCCTATACTTCATTAATTACTCTTACTAACTGAAATTACTAACTCAACTACCCGTGGTAAACTAATATAACTACGGAACATCACCTTTCTTCATGGGTAAATCAACGAACTAAATGACCATTTTCAATGGCTATGTTCGTTTACCAGAGGGTAATATCTATGAATGATGGAGTTAATGGTTGAACATCTGTGAATCATGGGACAATTATCATTTGAAATATGCATAAATATGCTAAACCATGCTAAACCATGCTGAAGCCCTCAAAAGAAACTATCCCCAATAATTAGAGGGTTATGATTACTAATGGATGTCTAGCTAAAATTACTAACTTAACACCTATATAACTAAAATTACTATCAAACTAAAAATACTAACTAGTAGTTGGATAGTAATTTTAGTTGGAGATTAATACTAACTACTAACTTATCAACTAATCACTAAATGCAATTTCTCAAATTACTTTTGTAACAACTAACTAAATTTCCTATCCAACTAAAAATACTAACTAGTAGTTGGATAGTAATTTTAGTTGGATATCAATACTAACTACTAACTTATCAACTAATCACTAGATTTTCCATGTCCATCGCCAGGTCGTAGGTCCAGTGGACCTCTCGCGCCTGCCATCCGTGGACGAAGTGCAGAAGGTGCGGCGCAACAACGCCGTGGTGGCGCTGGGCTACTGGCTGCTGCTGTTACCCAAGGCGATGATGCCCTTCATGGTGCCTTGGACTTTTGGATTCCCATAGTTAGACCCTCTGGTAAACATACAAAAAACTATGGAAAATCACCATTTTCAATGGGTAAATCCACTATTTCTATGGTAATTTTCAATAGCTATGTTAAATTACCAGAGGGTATTACCCCCTGGTAGTTTTTTTTTTACTATGGAAAATCAGATGTTTGAATAGCCATGTTAGTTTGCCAGAGGGTAAGTTATAAACCGCTGTCTTTGTTGGTTACTGTAGATTTTTGATGAAATCGCCATACATTTAGACCTTCAAACTGGGGGATAATATGTGTATATACATATATATAATTATATATATACAGTAATATAACATAGTTATATGGATATTCTACCAACAATGTGATAGTTGGGGTTGCGGATGCTTGATGCTTTTCATTGTATTTTGAACAGAAATGCGGGGGGTATGACACCAATCGTTTCATGGATTCATGTGCGAGGATACTTGGGTTTACCCAGATTGTTATCCTCTGGTTATGACTAACATAGCTATAGAAAATCACCATTTTTCATAGGTAAACCATCTATAAATGGTGCATTTTCCATAGCTATGTTAGTGTACCAAAGGGTAAGTTGTTTTTTTGGAGAAAAAGTGGAGTTCTTTTGAACGAGGATCCAACCAGCAGTGGGGGTTCGAATTGATGAACATATGGCCAATATGGATGAACCAACCACTCCAATCGGATGATATGGATGAATCTGTGCCAAAAGGTTAAGGTGGCCACAAGGCCATCATCACATCACAAGAATGGTGGGTTAAAAAAAACAGGAGAAAGATATGGAAACGCAAAGATGGTTGGTTTCCTTTCCTGAAAGTCAAAGCTGATATTTGTTTAAGAACATACAGAAACGAAGGTTTGATTTTCCCATGGTTTCATTGAATCTGACTACATGAATGATATAACAAAGGGTAGTACTGGCATTCAGCCAATCAAATAGGTTCAATAGCCATCAGCAGAGGAATTTGAACCGCAGAACTGATAGAAAATGAAGATTATAATTGGGTGATCAATGCATCAATTGAAGAGTGTGAAACGACGTGTATTGTTCACAGTTTTTTTTTCGCTGAAACCCAGATGCATTTGGAACAACACCTTAGAAACTTTGCGGCAAGCTCGATCAACTTTAGCATCCAACATGGTCTTCAAGAAGGATGTGTAAAAGAAAAGACCAGGGGCATATTCAGCTGATAACTTGGAATCAAAGACAACAATACAATTGGTGCTTGATTGCAACCAGCCGAAATAGTGGATCAATCACTAAGATTTGGTGATTTTGGCGATCTGTGAATGAATTTCCATGGTTGTTTCATTTTTCGCGTATAACAACAATGATATCCCCACTTAGATACTACTATTTCTAACCCCACTTACTTCGTTCGTTTTCTTTTTTGGGTATGACCCCACTGGATTTAACTGGGATCTTCCAAGATCCCAGCATGATCCCAGCCTCACCGCGCCCAGTTGGTGGTGCTTTTTCGACTGTTCCTTGGAAAAAATCTGGATCTTCCGGTGGGGTAGCTGACAGCTAACTGTGTCGTGACACATTTGTGACGGTGTGACGGTGTGATGTAATGTAACGTAATGTAACGTCGACCCAATGTCCAAAAGACTCCGAAAGGCAAATGTTAAAGTATACCCTCTGGTAAACTAACATAGCTATTGAAAATTGCCATTTATAGTGGATTTACCCATTACAAATGGTGATTTTCCATAGCTATGTTAGTCATAACCAGAGGGTAATGTGGTAGACCATGGTAGACCCAATGTCATAAACCACCCCCAATTTATGGCGTTTTGGGTGGTATGAACTTGGTATGAACCATCACCATCCCGAAATGATGGCTCTATCGTTGGGTTTAGCACATACCCTTTGGTTATTTAACATAGCCATGGAAAATAGCCCATTTATAGGTGGTTTACCTATTAAAAATGGTGATTTTCCATGGCTATGTTAAATAACCAGATGGTAATATTCGTGTAATATCAATGGGCCATCACCGTGGTGAAATATTATGAACCGCAAAGGATGTTTCCCTTGCCTTTTCATTGTACCAGGTTGTAGGTGATCTGCTATACTATTTACATCTACATACTCTGTTATAGTACGTATTACGGACGTATTTTATATATATACCCATCATCTTGTTGCTTGTAATATTGGCAATCCCGATCCCCTAGATAGCTAAGTTGGCTCATAAGTAATATATCGAAGTAGTTAGTTCATGGGGTTTATCAACTAACACACATACCCTCTGGTAAACAGCCACATACATAGCTATTGAAAATGGCCCAGTCGAAATAGTGGATTTACCCAGCTATAAAATGGTGGATCTTTCCAGTTCGTTATGTGCCTGTTTATCAGAGGGTATATCCACCAACATCCCTGTTTTTGGGTTGATTGAACCCCTAGAATCACCATGAAAAATCCCATTAAACCATATTAAACCACCATTAAATACCATTAAACCATATTAAATCACCATTAAATACCATTAAACCATATTAAATCACCATTAAATACCATTAAACCATATTAAATCACCATTAAATCTCATTAAACCATATTTTTTTGGTATGTTTACCAGGCCGGGAAACTGCCGTGGGGCCGTCCGGCGCCACGTCAGACTTCAACGTGAGCCTTCGTTGACTGGTCCTGTGGACTTCAGCAGACCGTCCCTGGTGTCTCGGTGTTCGATGATCTACCTATTACTGGTTGGTGGTGACTGGAACATTCTTCATTTTTCCCATATATATATATATCATATATCGGGAATTTCATCATCCCAACTGACTTTCATATTTTTCAGAAGGGTTGAAACCACCAACATGAATTTTATGATTTTCCATTCAGTTGGGAATTTCATAATCCCAACTGACGTTCACTCATATATTTTTCAGAGGGGTTGGTTGAAACCACCAACCAGATTAAGAAATCATGATTTTCCTATAGCTATAGGGTACCCTCTGGTAAACAGCCACATAACTATGGAAAATCATATTAATGGGTAAATTAACTATAAATGGCCATTTTCCTATAGCTATGTTAGATTACCAGAGGGTAGTTGATGGTTAGGTAATTCTTGGCGGAATTGTGGAATTGAAGCAACAATGAACTGGTGGAATTGTAGCGAGGATGTGGTCCACAATCATCAAGAAGCAGACATCATGAAGATTTCACCAAGCCAGCCGAAGGTGAGCCCCAAATGCACCAAGCACCATTTTTTACATGGAAAGGGGGGTCTATCTTCCCCGTGAAAAGGTGTTTTTTCATGAGTTGAAATCCTCATGGGATGCTGAAGATCCGAAATCAACCATTGCAATGGACAATCTCCCATTTTTTGTTGATGTTCCCATAATGGAGCCTCCATTTCGTTCGGATGTGCAAGTGCTATGATGACGGAGGGGAAGTCCCCGCAAGCTGGATTAGTCCCCTTTTATCTCTAAAAATAAAGACCTATACTATACATTAAATAGTGGATGTTCATGTATAATAATTAGGGTTTTGTACCATTAAATAGTGGTACTTGGTACAATAAATGGTGGTATTATAGTGATTATCTCTATTACACCACCATTTTTCATGATTAAATCACCATGTTTTCTCCAATCACTGGTGACTCAGGACGCTTTGCCTCCCATGCTGATGGCTCAACTGCCGTGGTTGCCTTTGATCGCTTTTGCTGCTGCTTGGTTCGAGACATGATGAGACCTACAAGGTTGTGCCCCATAGTTAGCTAAGTTGGTTTATAACTCCCATAACTATGGTTTATGGCAGATATAACTATAGTTAATGGGGTTTATAAACCAACTTATAACTAGGGGGCACCATCCTGTAGGGGATCACCCATAGTGACAAATCACGTGTCGATCTTTTGAGAACAAAAACACCAGGGACTTCTCTAACTTGAGCCACCGTGGGAAGTCTCCTGGGAGGTGCCGTGGAATACTGCAGGCTTCGATGGTGCACACCATTCTGCAGTTGCTGATCACCGCGGTACTCTGCAGGTACTTGCCAAAGATGAGCCTTGTACAACATGAACCCAATGAACCGCAGAATTTTTGTGCGTCACTCGTAACGTTCGCGGTTGCCCCAAAAAGCAGACGATCATCTTGGAATTCAAACGTGATGCAAGAATCTGCTGTCCACCATGTGGTACCAGGGTACCGTTGACCGTCATTACAATGAAAACAAGTCTCTTGAGAAATGGATATTTAGCTTCCTGGGCTAAAGCAACACACAATTTAGTGGAACCCGCATGGGTTTGCGGTCGGAAATTGATCGACCAATGGTGGGATCTACATTCCTGCTGGGTTTTCAATGGTTTTCATCCGTGGCAATGTTTTCATACCAGAGGGTAATGACTCTTATGAGGCCAGTACTTTTCCATCCCTTCGAGGTTTTCTGGATTCTGCTTGCCGGTTTGGTGACCATTTTGCGAACGCGAAGCCAGATATCAAAACAACCTCATTTTTTTAAAGGAATCTAGGGGCTAGCAAATTCCTTGGCCAATCTTGGCCATTTATATACTGTATGTACATTGTTCTCATATATATATATTATATTATATACATATTTTTATACCGTATATCAGTATATCTATATTATACTAATTATCCCACCATATCATATGATATCCCCTCATATGCCCATGATGGATCATGATGGTTGCTTTTTATACAACCCATCTTGTTGAGTTTAATGTCAACATTCCCCTTCTTTTTCTTCGCTGATTTGGCGCATTTTTTTTTTGCAAGGAAGCCGCCCTGCACTTATCCTTTGACACACTGGCGTGCACAGATTGCGGGCTTGAAGATGTCGATGGTCTTGCAGGCGCTGCTGATAGGGTTGGATAGGGTTGGTGTCTACCCTCTGGTAAAACTATACAAAAAGCTATTGAAAATGGCCATTGATATCCATTTATGGTTAATTTACCCAGTAAAAAATGTGATTTTCCATAGTTATGTGGCTGTTTACCAGAGGGTACCCTCTGGTAATGAAACTTGGCACTGGGCAAATTTAGATTTTAGCTACCAGCCTAGTTTCTCTCAAGACCAAATGGCAAGTCATTGATACTGGTGTATACATAATGGAATGGGGTGAGACAAGAACACGTAATACTTATAATATTCGATCATATCGCCGCAATCTTTGTCGGTGTTTGTACTCGTACCAGCGCCCACAAACACCCTCACATCCACAGTCTTCTATTATGTTTTACTCATCGTATATCTTCAAAGAATATGTGGATATATGTGGTTTGGTTTCACTTTATGTTGTTGCACTTTCCATTGGTTCCATAAAGGTCTATTATACTACCCTCTGGTAAACGTTTACATAACTATGAAAAATCACCATTTTTAATGGGAAAATCAACTATAAATGGCAATTTTCAATAGCTTTTTGTAGGTTTACCAGAGGGTATATTGATGCGTGCTATGTGTTTAAGTGGATGACCTTTTGGTCAAAGCTATGATGGTGAAGTGACTGGAATTTGACCCATCCCCTGTGTGGCTACCGAATCCCATAAATGGTGGGTTCTGTGGTACCTTACCATATGCCCACTGGCAGGTGATTTACCGCCAAATTTTCCCATTGTAAGGTTAGATGTTTTAGGTGTCCATATATATATATGATATATATATATATACATGCATGATAAATTGTGTACTTAGTTTTGTTTTATCACATATTCTCATGTTCTTAACATATCTTATCTTATCATACTCATAGTTTCTATATGTTTCTATGATATAGAAAAAACATATGAAATTAGATGATATATGATATATATATATAGCCCATCCACCGTCCGCATCCCCATGGTCCCAAGGGGTGCCACATGCTCCTCTGAGGCAGCGGAGATGTTGGCAGATGCCTCCATCGTCCCAGCCTTCATCCGCCTCTGTGGTGCTAAGATGGGCCCCGGATGCGTCATGGGCTTGCAGGCATGGGGAGCTGGATGGACAGCCTGGGGTTTCCGGGGCCAAAGAAAGGGTTAAGCAGCAGGGGAACATGGTGAAGAATGGTTGATATATGGTTGAGGATCGTGAAAAAATTGGGTGAACCATTAACCATGGCTTCATAGATGGTTACCCATCCACAAGTTTCAATGATTTACCCCAGGGTCATGGATCTGAAAATAGGATTTTCATGGGCTAATCCCAACGCATTTTCAGGACTCCAAATTTTGGGTGTATATCCCCTGAATTTTAGCCCTTACACAGCCCTTATATATACATATGGTAGGTAACTCCAATTTAGGTTCCTGAAATTGCGATGGAATGTGGGGGCAGCTACGTGGATGGGATACTTGAGTAGGACTGAATCATTTGCTATTTTGATGGGGATATAATGAACCTAATCAGCTGAACAGAAACTGTGTTTTGTTTGGCAAGGCATCTAAAAACTGGAAATAAATGATCAAACCTGATTTATCCAAAAAAATGTGGATTTAAACCAGGGAACATTATGATTCACCAACAAAATCTATTAGACCCCACTGACTGGTAAAACATTGGTTAGATCCCCTAGTAGATGTGGAACATTGTGGAACTATTTTGAATTTACCAACAATTAATGGTGAATTAGTATATAACTGTCCAGTATTTTGGCATGTGAAGCAATAAAGATCATTAATTGAGTGGTGAAAAATTGTTGGTGAAATTTGCTGATAACCCCTAATCATTGGGACTTCGGACGGACATAGTAGTTTATAAGGGAAATGTGCAGGAAACCAGCAACTTTTTGAAGGTCGACACAATATGGTTTCCTCGATAGCTACTTTCCGTTCAAGCATTAAGTGACCGGATAGGTAAATCACCTGTAAATGAACATATTCCGTTTTCTAAGGATATAACATGTATATATATATATAGATATATGTTTATATTTATGATTTGGTTGATTATGGGATATAACGTCATATGATTGTTTGATCTATTAAATATAATTACTGTATCTCATACCTATGTATGTATATATCACATATATAATCATATATAATCATATATAATCATATATAATCATATATAATCATATATAATCATATATAATCATATATAATCATATATAATCATATATAATCATTTATAATCATTTATAATCATTTATAATCATTTATAATCATTTATAATCATTTATAATCATATATAATCATATATAATAATATATAATAATATATAATCAAATAAAATCATATATAATCATATATAATCATATATATATATATACACATATTATATTATATTATATTATATTATATTATATTTTATTATATTACATTATATTACATTATATTATATTATATTGCATTGTATTGCTTTTGCATTGCATTGTATTGTATTATATTATATATATTATTGTATATATAGATTGATGATATCCCGGCCCCCATCCTTTGTGAGCCTCGGACCAGGTAACCCTCCCTGAGACCTTGGTGGTTGGGCAGAAGTCCTTCTTCGCCACAGGTAACATTTTGACCAGCGACTCGATGAAGCTGCAAGCCCAAGTCAGTGTTTCATGAATGTGTGTTTATAGATACATATATATATATATATTTCCACTATAATGCTAATATCATGGTTTATGTACCATATCAAAATGTGGTTATTATACTCTATGTACATATGTAATATGTGAGAGTTGCCATTTTTATGGTTGTACAAGTAGTACCCCAAAAGCTGGATGGTTGGAAAATCCATTCAATGGGAATTTCAGGATCCTAAAATGAAGGTACCCTACCATATATAAGGCCTATGTAAGGGAATATCCCCACAATATATGGCCTTATATGGTACTAACGTATATACCTCCATTTTAGGATCCTGAAATTCCCATTGATTTCGAGGTACCCCCATGACTTGTCGGAAACCTCCATTTTTGGAAGAATTCACTGGATTGAAAAAGCAAAATCTGCAGGATTCACCATGGGTTTTCTCGATTGGTTTTACTGTAAATTGTCCCTTAAACCAATCCAATGATGAATATACAGTAACACATATAACCAACCATATAATCAACCATGATGATATCTATAAAAAGGTGATCATATGCTCGATGAATCTATAAATTGGGTCGGCATATTGCTGCCATCTTTTCCAACATCGAAAAGGTTTAACTAGCTGATTCCAAATTTTATGGATTCAACTTATATTTTCCAAGATCAACTCAAGATTTCCAACATCACATATACATCGATGGATTTCCAACATGTTTAACATCCATTGAAAATTTATCCATTTATTTCCATCAGATCAGCCAAGGTGTGGATGTGGATCGTGGGCAGTTCAAGGTGCCGTGCATCACCTACATGGGTCGCTTGGGCGAAGCATGGATCCGCTGGATCCAGATTTGGGGGTTTCCTGAAATGAGCTATGGTCAATACTCATGGTTAATAACCATTAAAAACGGGGCTAGTCATCCAATGGTGATTTAATGGGATTTATAATAACCATGGAATAAGGATCCTTATTATGGATGGGATGACCATCAACCATATAGTGAGTATTGATCATGGCTCAAATGGTGTTTGTATATTGTTGGGGAAAATGATGTTTGTATATTTGGAGGTGTCCATAGTCATGGGGGGTACCCCTGAAAATCGCTGGATGGTTTTTGTTGAGGGAAAATCCTACTAAAATGGATGAGTTGGGGGTACGCCTATTTTAGGAAACCTCCATTTTGTATCCGGAAAAATGGGGATTCAAGCAGAAACACTGGAGTTTATGTGGGGAAGCTGATTGGTGAATGCAAAAAGTAGTTCTACAAGTGTTGGATTTACTATCAGGAAAAATGGGGATATGTTAATGTGGGGAAACACTGGATATGTTCAATGGGATTGTTAAACCTGTATATATTAAACACTGTTAATGTGTCAAACCTGGATATGTTGAGATGCAACCAGGTACACCTGATATGGGGGAAAGCGACTGGTGAAGTATATGTCAAGTTGTTAGTTTAATCAATTTAATCCAACCTTTTTTGCAATGGGAATGTGATGGAATGTTTACTAATCAGTGAAGACAGTGTACCCTCTACTAAACTATACAAAAAGCTGTTAAAAATGGCCCAGTCGAAATAGTGGATTTACCCAGCTATAACATGGTGATTTTCCATAGTTACGTTAGTTTACCAGAGGGTATTTTTTTGGTTGCAAGGGTATCCAAGATTGGCCATATGGGCAGGATATGGCAGGATTAGAATTTTAAGTGTTTCTTTCGAGGGACAGAGAGGCTTGGAGATGGAGATGTTTGGAAGAAGGGTGACCTCGGGTGTTGACGGATATGTTCACACCCAAAAGGTTTGTTGGTATTTTCTTTTATGTATTTTACATTATTTTCCTATGGTTGTTGTGAGGTATTACAGTATTTCCATTGTTTTCAGAAGCACGTGTTATTTATGTGCATGTCAATCTTCACCAGCAACTTCAGCAAAAGGCGATACCGGAGAACATTGATGTGGAAGTTGCACAAAGAGATAAGTCATGACCAGAATGACCAGTCAATGGAGGTGGTATGTCCCAACATCGAAAATCTATATACCTTTTGCGTATCCTGGTGATATCCTGTGCAATTCAGCAATAATTGCATACCTTTGTCGGAGGTAGTAGGTTTTTCTGGTTCATAATCGCAGGAACTTGATGCAACCTGGAATCCCAAAAGGAGAATCACCCCCCAACAGCAAGCTTTTGCGAATCCCTGATTTTCATGCAAGAGTTCTGCGGAAGATTCTCGATCATGCCAGCGCAGCAGGTAATCAAACATTTTTGGGAAATCACAACCATTTGCCCGAGGGCTTACCAGACACTGGCCAGAAATGGGCGGGGGTTGGCCACAGTGGTTGTCCGCAATGGTCAGGAGATGGAGTTTTCCTCCAATCTGAAAGCTTGAAACGACTGACTCCGGGTACGGATTCGTTGATGCTGTTGGTCTATGGAGGTTCAATTCGTATTCAAGTTGATCAATGTCAATGTGCCAAGTGTCAATTTTCATTGAATTCCCCACTATGTGCCAAACTATTGTCAAGCAACTATCTGACACTACCAGAAATTACCTATTGGGACTAAGGTCAATCGATCGATGTCAGCATTTTCCACAGAATCAAACAAATATGTAGTACAAATTAGGGTGTTTTACAAGATATGATTCAATTAATATGTTTCAAATTGTATCAATATGTAATTATGCCGATTGTAATGAATGTAGAATAATATATATAGATACCATCTGCATCAATCACGCTCTACACCTTAGCTTGTTTGTCAAGCTGTGTTGCCAGTGAAGCCATTTTTTCCCCAACCCCAACCTGAGGACAATAGCTTCTGCGGTGTGGGGACTTGGCTCCCCAAGCGACCAACGGAGCCAAACATGAGTGTCTTGGCAGTTTTTCTCTACCCGGCCTGGTAAACGTTTACATAACTATGGAAAATCACCAGTTTTAATGGAAAAACTCACTATTTCTTTGGCCATTTTCAATAGCTATGTAACAAATTACCAGAGGCTATCTCAGTGGAGACATGGCCAATTTTAAACTCACGGGTTCAACCAGTCAGAAAAACGTGTCGCTTGTTGTATTTAAAGATGAGAAAATGATCTAGTCTAGCTTGGGGGGGAAGTCTGTTTGCGGTCTTGGGGGTCCACTTTTGAAATGTTCGATGTTGGCTGAGCATGGAATCAAAAACTGGATATTCGCACCGTACAAGATGGTTTTCATACCATGTGGGTGCTCCCCAAGAAATGAAGGGGGGGCTTGAGGCAATTTTGCTGGACCGCTTCTCTCGAATTATATTTCTCTTTGTTTCAGACTCTCAATCTTAGGCCGACAACGATTCTTTCATGGTTTTGTTTAATACGTTCCCCCCTGAGAAGTCAGGTTCACCTGGCAAATACTTGGGGTTCACTCCTGGAGGAGCGTACTGACGCATCTCAGAGACCATCGTTGAAGGTGGGCAACCCCCGAGGTGCCAAGAGTTTTGTTTCGACGCAAATCACCGTTTTACATTGCGGTAACGACATTTAAATATGTGGAAGGCGGGCCAGACCGCGAGGCCCCGGAGGTAGTATGAAATACCAGTTCGTATATTTAAATGTAGTTGGCATATGTTTAAATGAATTGGATTCCGTATGTTTAAATGGCCGGGCGGGCCAAGGAAAACCTTCCTGGAGGTAGTCTAAAATACCTGTGCGTATATTTAAAAGTCCGTATATTCAAATGTAGTTACCGTAAGTCTGGATTCATCCCCATTTGGGTTTTACGATGAGTTTCCATTTTACGATGAGTTTCCAGTGGTTTCGCGTCTATACTGAAATGGGTATTGATTCGGGTGCATACAGGTCACATACTTATCTCAGTTCATATTCGATTTGGTTGCATTATTTGAGTGTGGTGGAATTATCATTTATCCAAAAACACTTCTGGTTGGTGGTTTGGAACATTTTTTATTTTTCCATTTTCAGAGGGGTTGAAACCACCAACCAGATTTGTTTTTGGGTACCCACCAGCCACCTCCACTCAGCGTTCAGCGTCAACAGCCGAGGCTATTTCGGGAACCCTGCCATGAAATTCCGCCGCCTTAGCAGTCAAGCTGCAGGCTGGTTACCTTGGAGCAGCGCCAGATTTGTGGTGTAGCCACCGGCGCGTAAAGCAACAAAAATCCGGAGGTTTAATCAGTGAAAATGTGGATTTCACTGGCAACAATGGGTGATATCCTTGGTGAAGTGCAGGGGATACGTTGCATACGGTGTTCATGATGCTTTGTTTTTCTATGTTCTTGGTGCACCCCTGAAATGGACATCAATAGGGGAATTTTCGACTGTCATACCAACATAAATGTTGCTGTTTGCAGGGTATCCAAGACGGCCATGGTTTGAAGGTGTTAGAGCCAACTCATAGGGGGCAAACTTTGTACCCCCTGGCATAGAAAATGAACAATAACACATTATTTGAATAGCAAAATCACCTGAACTTTGGGGATTGTCTATTTCCACATTACATTATAGGGCTTAACTGCATAACTGTCACTTTTCGCCAGAGGGGGACTGCCTTTCCAGAAAAAAATATCCATCGCTGGGAGGCAACGTGAACCAGGGGCCAGAGAAGGCGCATTTCTTGGCTCGTTTTTGGCATCACTTCAGTACCAGCGCCGCTGGGAAGCAGCTGTGGGTTCCCAAAACGCCTTGCGAAGAGGTGGATTTTTTTTGGGGGGACGACTTGGATTCCGGTCCTGCAATTTGGGACATAGAAAATTATGGCCGTAGCACTCAACAGTGTGCATGCTTAGCCATGGTCACTACCAGTCTTTCTGCTTAAATCATGTTAAATCATAAATCAATATAAATCAGATGAATCTCCTCTCAATGATCTACCGAAACTGGTAGTGACTGGTTATGCTCCTGGTTATGCTTTGGGGCAGCCATTGGAACCACTGGGAACTGGCTCTGCCAAGGTGATGGACGTCTTCCTCTACCGCGGTGTGCAGGGCAGCACCACCGCCATGGCCTTTTTCGTCAGTCGCACGGTGTGTCCCTTCGTGAGCGAAGTCTGGGAGCCTCGGGAAAAACGCGCCACGGTTATAGCTGAGTTAACTACGGTTATAAAACTATGGTTTATAACTATGGTTATAACCCCATCTAACATCATCTAACTATGGTTTTGTAACTATGGTTATAACCCCTGCAAGATAGTTTATAACCCCATCTAACTATGGTTATTAACTATGGTTATAACCCCTGCAAGATAGTTTATAACCCAATCTAACTATGGTTATTAACTATGGTTATAACTACCATAAAAATCTATTTGTTGTACGTATAAAATGTTATAACATGTTATAAAATGTTATAAACCAACTTAGCTATTTGGGGGCCCCACATTGTATGAAACTTTTGATGCGGTGCATTTAGTTTTATACGGTTCTGTTTTTTTTAGGAGATTACGTGTAAGCTAGACTGCTCCTGGAGTTTCATACTCTAGATAATTATGATGATTTGCTGTAGTTGTCATAACTGAATATAATTGAATAATATGTTTACCAATCAGGGATGAATTTGCCAAGTTCATTTCCTCGTTAATTAATACACACTGTTTTGGGAAACTACTTGTACTGGGCATGCCTGTGTGTGTGTTTTTTTATTGCGCACATGAAAGTGCAACATGTTCCAGGTATCGTTACAGTATACTAGAATCATAATGACATACTCTCTAGGTAAACTAACATATTGAACACCACCATTTTAATACGTAGATAAGATAAATCATGATAAATCATTTATAAATGGGCCATCACATACAATGTGGGGCCCCCAAGATAGCTAAGTTGGTTTATATCCCCTTCTAACTATGGTTACTGTATAACTACCGTAAACATCCATAAACCAACTAACTATGGTTATGTTTGTTGGTTTATAACCCCATCTAACTATGGTTATAACATCCATAAACCCTAGTTATTGTAGTTATAAACCAACTTACCCTCTGGTAAACGAACATGGCTATTGAAAATGGTCCATTTATAGTGGATTTACCCATTAAACATGGTGATTTTCCATAGCTATGTGGCTGTTTACCAGAGGGTAGCTATCTTTGGGGCCCCACATTGTAGCTATGGAGCCGCGTCCCTGCGGCTCCGAAAAACAACAAGACACCGACTCCGGGGATCATCCGAAAAAGTCACCTTTTTTCCTTGGCTTATGCCATTTTTGTCAGCGGGATATATCAGATATGGATATACTATATATTAATATATATATATATATTTTTTTATTATTATTATTATTAGTATTATTATTAGTATTATTATTAGTATTATTATTATTATATATGATATATTATATATTATATTATATTGTAGTATATTATATAGGTTTATGTTATATATGTTTTTTTCAGTGGCTACAGCCAAAATTTACCGTCATGGAAAGTAGTATTCGAGACATCTTTAGTTTTTGGAAATTGAGCTGGGGCTTGGAAAACGATAATGCACTCTTCAAAAAACGATAATATTTGCTATATTCCCAAAACCTGAAATAATACACTCTTCAAAAGTTGATGACTTGGAGCTATATACTAAATATTGACAGTGGCCCATATATATGTATATATATATATTAATTAATTAATTAATTAGTTTTATTATATATGATATAACATGAATTAACATGATATAACCCCACTAACAACACCAGTCACCACTTTGCTTTTCACGCTGTCAAGGAACCCGTGAATTTGTTGCTCATTTACATTGGCTTCGCCCTTGGCTCCTGGTATCTCTTCTCCGCTCCTCGGCGGTGGCTCAAGCCACATCTGGTATATGGGGGTTATAACATGTTGGTTTAATATGGTTTAATGGGATTTAATGGTGATTATAGGAGTTTAATCAACCAAAAAACAGGGATGTTAGTAGATGTTAGTGGATATACCCTCTGGGAAATTGACAGTTGGACCCTGAAAATCACCAATTCTTAGTGGAAACAAATCTTCCAACCCCGACAACTGGCAGGGTCTATGTGAAAATTTACCAGAGGGTAACTGTTTATAAGCCTGGTTATAAATGGGCTAAGAGGGATTAGTCCAGTTGGAATCTGGGGTGAACTAACATGTGGTAAGCCACTGGGATGAGCCGCGACGTAAAAAAATATACTTGCACGATGATTGTCCCAAGTGCAACTGCTTATTTATGGTTTCGACTTAAATATCTGCAGGGGGGTGAAAGGACATGTGTTTTTGCTGGAAAGATGATATTTGGATATACAACTGGCCTATCACATACCCTGCAGTCATTATGTCCGCATCAAGCAAAATGTTGTGCATAAACATTGACCCATCCAGGGGCCAGATTGGATCCCGATGCTTTTTGTTGGGTACTCAGGAGTTTTCACCCCCAAAGTATTCCAAGATTGCTGGTGGATGTGGGGGGGGAAAGGCATGGTGATGCTAGTTGTTGAATGATGACTCCATGTTAGCTATGCAGAATCATCGAATGGTAAATGGATGTAAATGGAAACACGCCTTGAGGCTTCAAGGACACTAAGATGATCTAAGATGTCAAGCCTGGGTAGAAGTTCTTCATCAAGATCAAGTCTCTGGGTTTGTCTAAACATGGGGTAGCCAACAATCCCATGGTTAATCATCATTGTCCCATTAAAATTGCCATAAAACATGGACTTTTCTATCCATGTGCATCCAATTTCTGGGCAAAACCTACGCCTATCAGGTGAGGCTCCCGAGTTATGTTAGTTGGTTGGTTTATAAACTCTACTAACTCTACCTAGTTATATCACGTTATATCACGTTATATCACGTTATATCATGTTATATCATGTTATATATATATATATATTATATATATATATTATATTATATAATGTTATATTATGTTATATATATTTTATATATTATATAATGTTATATGATGTTATATGATGTTATATTCCCTTAATCAACTAATCAACCCTACTTATAGGTATACTTAAGTCAGTTCCTCACCTGTCCAGGTTGTCCTCGGCAACCTGCTCTTCAATGGCCATGCGCCTCGCAGCAATGTCGGGATCCTCAGGTCGTGTCCTGAAGAGAAATGTTGGGATTTTTTTAGCGGCTATGATGAGAATATAATTTATTGATGTTTTTTTTTAAATAATTACTGATATTGATGATTTATTGACTTTATTGATGCGACATATAGACAATCAACACTGTGGAATGTGTCTGAAAATTGGTTATACCCCTGAAAACAAAGGGATGTCAAACTAGCTGCCCGGTGAAAACTTCTGAACCCAAAGAAATGATTGGAGAGAGGCTTTCGGCAACAATCATTCTAGCGCTGGAAATGTTTGGGTTCGCTCCGACGTTTGCATGTCCAGTACATCTGATGGGTTCTGCATGATTTGTCCAACTGAAAGCATTGAAACTGTCAACTTTCGATGGGAATTAGGGAATCCATTAGAATCTACCCTCTGGTAATTTAACGTAGCTATGGAAAATCACCATTTTTAATGGGAAAATCCACTATAAATGGCCATTTTCAATAGCTATGTTAAATTACCAGAGGGTAATCTTGCTGGTTTTGGGTCAGTTCCTGGATCTCTATACACATACACTACATGTATCAAGAGCCCCCGAATGTTTGAGGAAGAGGACTCCTCGTCATACGTAGTGGTTTTGCACACGGCTTTTCATGGGGGTCTGAAATGGAGCATGCTCTGAAAACGGTCATTTTGAGTTGGAATTGATGAAATGAATGGCTATGGCTATGATTAATATATATATATAAAGAATTCCAGTCATGATGATATTCTGATGGTCAATGAATGATGAATGATGATAAATGAATGCCCTTTTCATGATACCCTCTGGTAAACTAACATAACTATGGAAAATCACCATGTTCAATGGGAAAATCCACTATAAATGGTCATTTTCAATAGCTGTTTTGACATAACCAGAGGGTAAATGAATGGTTTTGATTCGTCCAAGCTTCTTTCTCCAAAACTCTCATCGACTTCAGTGGATCCATGCTGATAAACTTTTTTCAGAACTGGCCATGAAGAATTGGGTACCCCAAAATCAGATCCAATGGTTCAATGGATTGGTTTTCACGGGAAAATGTTAACCGGAAAACCCCATATTTAATGGGAAAATCGATGGTTTCCGGTTAAGATTTTCCCTTAAACCAATCCATTGAATGGTTGGTGATTTCCTCTTCAACATTGCCATTTTCTAGGTTTCTCTCATTTTTTGAGGCAGAATTAACTGCGGATCAATTGAGATTCGTGACAGGTGACAGGTGCTATCCCAATGAGAAACAAAAATTCCACAGATGTTTGCAGATGTTTGTCATCACCAGTGCCGGGTGATCTAAATCTAAAGGTCCTTCTAAAGGAATGTGCGATGGCCATTCAGGTCGCGTTTCTATCCATGCGTTTTTTTTCAAATTCAACGAAAGTACATTTGGTATACATGTGCTCAGGCATAAAAACATGTATGTATGTATATAATATATAATTATATATATATATATGTAGCTATAAATTAGCAACCCCAAATTAGATAGTTTGAAGGCTGGAAATACTAGGAACATATCATCCATCATACCATCCTAGAAACAGGCATTTGTTTTCGATGTTTTTTGCTATGTGTTTCCATGTCAGTTGCTTCACCCCTCGCGCCACCAGCAGAGAGGCCTATTATTCTACCACCGTCACCCGGTGGTTCACGGCACTCACCGCCCAACAACGAGTATTCAAGCTGCCCTTCCAGGCGGTGATGAGTTTGGGGATGCGAATATGGGGAATATCAGAAACGAACCTTGGGGATGACAGGGTTTCGAACACTGCGAAAAAAAAAAACAAACCCTCTGGTAAACTAACATAGCTATGGAAAATCACTATTTTAATGGGAAAATCCATTACAAATGGCAATTTTCAATAGCTATGTTAAATTACCTGAGGGTATATTGTTTAGATATGGAAGGAAATTAAACTTCCAAGTTACCACATTTGGCAGCTGGCAGGGTCTATACGTTAGTTGGGTTTATTGGCAGGGAATCTTTTGACCGGAAACCACGACTCTAGGAATCGTGGAGCTGAGATGGGGAGATGTCATGAGGAACCATGGTACATCATAGCTTCCCTGCTGAAATTGAATAAATGGCTATGTATCCAAGCTACAAATTGATATGATAGGATCTTTTAAATATGGGGGAACCAATCCAGCTACTTTTTTTGGACTACATACGTTGACTGCGAGTGAAGGGGGTCTCAACCTGCCTAGTCATTAACTCCAATGAGGTGTATCTTTGTCTCTGGGGTCAAGATTGGCGTTGCCCGAAGACGGTTGAAGAATGTTGAATATCAACAATGACAATGACTACCCTCTGGTAAACATACAAAAAACGATGGAAAATCACCATGTTCAATGGGTAAATCCACTATGTCTATGGCCATTTTCAATAGCTATGTTAGTTTACCAGAGGGTATTTCATTCTGCAAGATTAGACAGTGTAGAATAGTTAAGTAGACAGTTTGAAATATTGTAGTTATATACAAAACGGGGATGGTTGAATATACCAACACTGGTGAAAATACCGCTCAGTGAGCAGCGAAACAGATCCCAAACGATCGCAGACAGCTGGCAGCCGATGGCAAGCACCGATCCTGCGTCTTCTGGGTGCGCGCGTGGGGAAGCGATTCTTCTGCATGACCCTTGGTCACGGGCAATGTGTTGGAGCCGTGTGTTGTTTGTGTCGCTGCACGTCAAGCACCTAAGGTGTTACTTGGAGGCTAATCCCATATTTTTTGAGAGTGGCAGGCTGTGGGAGTGAGCACTCCCAGGGGCTGCCGTTCTGGATTTTTTAGGGCCGGGTTATGACCCTGGTTATAAATGGGCTGAGTAGGATTAGTCCAGTTATATCTGAGGATACCACTTGCCAACTGGGATGAGCCACCAAGCAACAAGCTTGCGTTTCTCTGTAGGGAAGGCATGTCCAGGTGGGTTTGTCTCGAGGGGGCAAACTATCATCATTTAGACTTTCTCAGAGTGGAGTGTGGAGTACTTATCTAGTGATTTGGGTACCAACATGTGCAAACAAATTTGATACGGGCAAAAAAAATATATATATATATATACATATATATATACACACATATATATATATACATATATGTATATATACATATCTCTATATATATACATATATATATATACATATATATATAGAGATATTTCATTTTGGTGGGTTTGCCCCTCCATTCTAGAGTCACTTAAAGGTAGTGCCAACCCTAAAGGGGTTGGCATCGTCCCCACATCTGGCGCGCTTCTTTGAGGAATGAATTGGTCTTAGTGGATGCACCCTTTACAGAAGTGGGTGTCCTGGCACCACCAGTAGACTCACAAGTTGCTATGGTATAGAATGGCCCATGACAAGTTCCATGATTTACCATTGATTTTCCATGTTTACCTATGAAAAATGCTGGTTTTGCAATGTTTTGCATAGCAAGGTGCGAAATTAACTACCTGACCCTACTCTGAAGTGAATTTGCCCATGGATGTTGTGCAACCCAACATTTTTGCACATGAACGCCAAACATCCACATATCCAACAAGAATATCAAGTTCCACAGCCAATTTGTTGGGTTCCATGTTGATTTAGGGTTGCTTTCTCTGAAAATTGGGTACCCTAAAATCCTATGATCAATCAACGTTCTCTCCAGAGAAAATTGCCTTGAAAAAGGGCATCTTCTATATCTATGTTTGCGCAAACCCATTTGGTTTAAGTCTAGCGCCATGGTAAAACGCTGGATCTATTTTTGTTATGAGGATTCCAACTTGTCCATAGCCAGGTTCGATCCAGAGATTCTGCTGACTGCCAATGCCAATGAAAGGAGAAAAACAAACCGCAAGAATGAAGAACTTTATAAGACCAAAACATTTGTTGGATGTTATATAGTACCCTATAGTACCTATAATATATGTATATACATGATATTGTATATACATGTATGCATAGATATATCGTTTTATTGGTATGTTCTTAGTTTTTCAAAGGGACTTAGCACTTTCAAAATAGTGGTCTGGTTCATGTCTGCTGAATCAGCGAAAAAAATCCTGACCAGCAGTGATGGGGCCCAAGAAACTCCTGATGGTTCAATTCTCAACACAAGAGTCGCACCCAGAAGTGGCTGCTAAACCCTGGTTGGTTGATGATTAGTTGGGGGATTATACATGATTAAACTACCCTGAAAAAACATTGGGGATTATAACTACCCTTCATATATTTGGGAATTATACTAATCCAAGAACGGGGAATCCCGAAAAAAACATAAACCAAGTAGTGTAATGGAATGACATTTTCGGGGTTTTGAACACTGCTCAAAAAAAACGAGTCCATTGCACCCAGAGGATCTGGTTCTGGATGATCTTCACTGTAGATGATGGTTAGCAAGGGTAACTATGCAGATATGGCCTCATTATGCCTTATTTCAGGTTGGTGTTTTATGCATAATATCATAATTCATCTTGATGCCTATTTATTTTCCCATTGGTAATTTATTCTTATTATTTATTATGCCTTGTTTTTTTAAGATTCGGGCGTCCATATTTGGAACCTCTGGTTGTCCTCCTCACCTCAAAAGCTCCCATGGAACTAGGTCGAGCATGGAGGTTCACTGATCCAATGGACAATAGAAAATCGAAATTCTACATATGGAGGTTTCACATTTTTTTCAAATCCCTTAAACATCCTTTAAGGGTGAAATGCAGTTAGTTTATCATCACCCAATTTCTTGCCACGTGTTCATTTCATTGTTATTTGGGTCAGAACCTATGAAATTACCATATGACTGGGTGAATAAAGATCCACTAACCAGCTATGACTTTGGGTACCATCTGGGTCCCTATCAACAGCACATTGAATCAAGGCGATGATGTCACCGTTGACTATGATGGCCAAATCCGGTGCCATTCCTTTGAGGTGCGGCTGGATGAAGCCCACATAAAAGTTCTCTCCTCAAAGTACAATCAGAAATGGTATCAGGTAGCCATGCTAGGGATTTGAGTAGCATAAAACCCATCATTTTAGGTACAATGTGGGGCCCCCAGTCGATAGCTAAGTTGGTGAACATAACTACAATTTCACTAGGGTTTATGGTAGTTATAACCATAGTTAGATGGGGTGTCATAAACCAACTTATAACGTTTGGGGGCCCCACATTGTACCAGATTGAGTCAGTTAGAGTAGCTAAAATTGATGGGAAGGACCCATTGGACCCATGAGTCCATGGGCAATGTCAAGGACAAAGTTTTGTTCATTCATTATGAGGGTCATTGGTAAAATGAAATACGGTTTTTATGATTTTTAGACAGTAAAAGGTGGGCCTCCTAGATAGCTAAGTTGGATTATAGCTCCAATAACCAGGGTGTACGGTAGATATATCATGATTTATCTATAATTTAAGTTCATTGATGGTAGATATATCTCTTAAACCAGCCTCTGGAAAACTAAGATGGATTGCTCAAGAACAATGGAAGGTCATATGCAATATGGAGGCCTGGGACAGCAATCATAGCAACTAAATATTCACAAATGACAACTGAATTGAGCCATTAAAAATACCCCTATCCCATCTCATTATACTAGTTGGTTGATAGGTTTCCCTACTATGGGTTATCATAATCCCCAGTAAACCAGGTAGTATAATCCCCTATAGCAATCAATTAACCAGGGTATTTTTAATGGCTCAATTGAGGTCGCCAAGCGAATTTATATATTCAGAGGAGACTTGAGTTTGGAACTCCTGGTGCTTTCACAGGGTCCCAAGGTCAGAGAGTTCACAGGAGCCCAACAAAAACAAATGGAGTAGACTATTTCGGGGTCGAAATTTGATAAAAAAAATCTTCCCAATCCAATTCTATCGAATATATATATAATTATATATATATAATTATATATACATATGTATGTATATATATATATCAGTAGATATATATATAGATAATGATAATAAATAAGAATAAGAATTAGAATAATTAATTGATAATAATTAACAATAATTATTAAATATAAGTAATAATAGTAATAAACTAGCCTTAGTTAGCTTGGCGAACATCCCCACAATGTGGGGCCCCCAAGATAGCTAAGTTGGTTTATAACTACAATAACTAGGGTTTATGGTAGTTATAACCATAGTTAGATGGGGTTATAAACCAACTTATAACGTTTGGGGGCCCCACATTGCAGGATTTCCGGCTGAAGTTTGTTCACTACAAAATCGGGCACCGGGTGACCATCATGTCCGGAGCCAGCGCTGCTCGGCTCCGCGGGCTCCGCGTGGTTTCGCGTGGTTTCGGGGTCGAGGGTGATCCGATAAGGTAGATTTTTGATGTCACGATGATGTCACTGAAATATGTAGATAATTGTATTTCAGTGATGTATATAAGTATACATATATATTATATACATCATCATGTATTTGTATATACATATATATACATATATTATCATACAAATGAACTATCATCATGTAATATATATATATGTATATACATCATCTGTATTTGTATATATATATTACATATATGCAGATGATGTATATAAGTTATATAAGTTCATTTCTTGCAGCGTACTGAAAGTTCATAGTTTGCTCCGGGGGAAGGTTGCCAAGGGAGGCTTGAGAGAAGGTGACCAGGCGACTCGTTTAGCTGGCTCAGCTTCTGGGTCACCGACCCATTGAAAGGTTCATACACTACTTTTCAAACCGTGTGTTTGGTGCACACATACTCTTGAATTCTCATTGTCGTTGGTTCAATTCTTGCTTTCTATTTGTTTGAAGCCATTTTTTTGTTGAATCTCTGTTGGTTTACCTCTTGCTGATTTAGCTGAGCTCTGTCTCTCTTGGTACACTCTCCCTTTGATTTGCTGGTGAAGCCACCTTTTGTTGGTCGTGGAATTCGTCCGAATCATGCACCTTCGAAAGTGGATCTGCGGCTTCATTGGTGCTGCAATGAATCCCTAATTCATCAATGGTCGGCACTGTCAGTGTTTTCTATCCCAATATCTCCACAATTAACCATATATTGAATTGTCCCGACATAGCAACCAAAAAAATGAAGAGAAGTGAAATCACGCTATTTTTCAGTGGGAATTTAAAAGCTTTACTTTTCTATCTTTTGGATGGTTACTAACTTACCTTCTCTTAGTTTTAAGGACTTGTAACATGTTCTAACATATTGCAAGCAAAAGATATAAACTCAGAAGCCCATCCAAAAGAGATAGTCACTTGCTAACTAGCATGGATGACTGGTTCATGGCTAAGAGATAGTTACTAATCCCATCCCCCTAATATAAACACCCTCATTGTATAAATTCCTTACTAAACCCATGATTTTCTGGATGGTGTTTAATATTGGAAGGGTGTCTCTTTAATATTGATAGGGTACGCCCTAAAATCCTCTGGTTCACTATCATATTCCATGTTAGGGATACCATTTTCTGGTTCACTGTCATATGTCATATGTTAATATATGTTAGGGGGTTTCCTAAAATGGGAGGACCCCCAAATCATCAATTTATAGATGGATTTTCCAGTATAAACCATTCATGTTTGGGTACCCCCATGACTATGGAAACCTCCATTTCTATCTTACTGGTGCTAAACGTCGGGAATGGATGGGAATGATCCAATCCATAATCATTGGTCACCATTTATAATCATCCCCTTCCCCCATTGATTTGATTTTCATTAATAATCCTAGTCAATAACAATGTTGGGGACATAAAAAAGATTATTAATCATTCATTATTAATCATTCATTGGGAGAATTATCAATCATAGTTAGTGATTAATATATATTATTAACAATGATCAGTTTAAATATTATAAACCATGATTATTATATATATTATATGAATAGTTATTGAATATTTAATTTAATTCAATCATATTATTCAATTATATTAAACCAGATTATAAAATCATATATTCAATTACTATGTCTAGATCCCATTCCTCCATGGGGCCCTACTAGGTCGCCATGTGCGACGCGGGCGACGGTGCAGTCTTGCGGCCTGGCAGTCTCACCTGGAAAGGCGCCGGTTGGAGGTTGGTTGGTTGGTTGTTAGATAATTATAGAATATTATAGATATGATTATCAATAATTATAAATAATATGATATAGATAATTATACTATTATAATATATATAGGAGTGTTTTTATTACAAGTATCATCTGGTAAATTCACAGCTCGACTCTGAACATCGCCAACCTTTATTGGGATGGATCAAAACCTTACCATGCTGGGATGAACATCCATTTACGACATGGCACATACCAAATATTTCAAATATCCATGTGTTGATATACAAAAAAAAATTAAAAAAAAAACGTATGCCATCAAAATATCCAATGACATATGCCACTATATATACCCTCTGGTGAACTAACATAGCAATGGAAAATCACCATTCTTAATGGGAAAATCCACTATAAATAGCCATTTTCCATTGCTATGTTAGTTCACCAGAGGGTGTATATATATATATCATGATATCCCCATTCTCGTTGGTGATATCCCCGTAATGGATGCCAGGACCACCCCCCGTGGCGCCAGGAAGCAACTTGGAGCCGAACACCGTGTACGAAGGCGCTCCAGCGGCGGCACGAGATGTGGAGAGCGGCTCAGGACGGTGCAGAGATGGGGAGAAGCGAAAACCTGGGATGTTATGGGTCAATAATGATTAATAAGTGGATAATTATTGGATAATAAGTGGAAAGTAAGTGGATGATAAGTGGATGATAAGTGGATAATTAGTGGATAATTGGTGGATATTTAGTGGATAATTAGTGGACAATAAATGGATAATAAGATGATAAGTGGATCATAAGTGGATGTTTAATAAGTGGATAATTAGTGGATGATAAGTGGATAATTGGTGGATAATTAGTGGGTGACAAGTGGATGATAAGATGATAAGTGGATGATAAGTGGATATTTAATAAGTGGATAAAAAGTGGATGATAAGTGAATGATAAGTCGGTGATAAGTGGATGTAAGTGGATGATAAGTAGATAATTAGTGGATAATAGTGGTCATTAATGGTGGTTACATCATCATAATGGAATTACCCTCCGGTGTCGTCATTTTCGTGGCTGGGAAATCCCCAAACTAAATGATATAGCTGGGAATATCATTGCACTAAATGGAGAACTGTACATTGCCATGGTTGATTACCAGAGGGTAGTTTGAGATAGTTCAACTATTTACATCTATTTACTTTTGTTTACTACACATAAGGATACTGAGGTATTCGCATTTTTTAAGACTCCCTAAAAGGTCCAGCTCAAGAGTTCGAAAACAACCTAAAATATGGATAGCAAAGACGTACCAAGCCTTGGAAATGTCCATGCCTTTAAGCTGTGAGGTGTCACGCATTGGTTGTAGCCAAGAATCCAGAGAAAATCGTCGACTTTAGCCAGTGGATTCTGGGTATAGCCTTGAAAATGGCCATTTATAGTTGATATACCCATTAATAGCATGGTGATTTTCCATAGTTTTTTGTATGTTTACCAGAGGGTAATGTTACCCCTTGAACCAAAAAAATCCGGATCAATCAAGGTCATCATTCAAAGGCGATCTATGCCAGAGTAAATGGTTACTAGTTAGTCATCCAGATTTTGATCGTTTATACAATGTGGGGCCCCCAAGATAGCTAAGTTGGTTTATAACTCCAATAACTATGGTTTATGGTAGCTATAACTATAGTTAATGGGGTTTATAAACCAACTTATAACTGGGGGGCCCCACCTTGTACAATCCATCTATGGTAAATTTACTAACAATATGCCATTATTATAGCGGGAATGTTCATTGATCCGGGCTTGACAATATACATCATAGATAAAGAGCGAGAGAGAGAGAGAGAGATGGAAAGTTGATTCATTGATGGACAAGCCTTTCGGGTTTGCCGCGAGGACCCACGCTGTTGCAGAAGACATCCATGCTTCAAACGAAATAAGTCGTTCTCAGCTGCCCGTCGTGGATCCTGGGGGTGCTTGTTCAAACAATGGCAACTTTCCACCAGCTAAAAGGTTTCAGATCCATCAAGAAAAACCTGGGTTGACTTGAGGTTGCTGATTTTTGCAATGGGACAACCACCCATGGGGGAATCTATTTGGAATGTATTGACTGTTTTTTGGGATCGTTGAAACCATTTCCCAGTGTTTTGAGCGTTTCATAACATCTCATGGGGGTTCAAACCTTGAGGTTTGCGGGATGAGGGTTGCGAGGTGGGGTAGGGGTTAGGGTTGGGTTGGGGGGTTAGGAGGGATGGGGAGACTAGGTAGGGAAGTGTGGTGGGAGATTCGTTGTGCATGTTTTTTTTAACAGTGCATTGCGAAAGTAGAAGAATGTGATAAAGCCAATAGTATATATAGTATGCCATCCCCAATATGTCCATAAATGGTTGGTAAATTTCATCCCCACATGACAGTTGAATTGTTGGGTTTACATTGGGTTTACCACGAGACACAGCGGTGGGGAGCTTCACTGAAGTTTCCTGATCTGTTGCTGCGCAGCCAAGCCTTGATCCAAGAGAGGATTTTGGTTGTTCAGAGTGATGAGCCTCGAAAAAACCACGACCTCCAGATGAAGTCTTGGGGTGGAACCAATATTTCAATATATTTACCCTCTGGTAAATTAACAGAGACCCTGAAAACATGACATTTTAGTGGAAACTAGTCTTTCAACCCCTGTCTGCCAGGGTCTATGTTAATTTACTGGAGGGTACCCTCTGGTAAACTATACAAAAAGCTATTGAAAATGGCCATAGAAAGTTCGTTGATTTACCCATTAATAGCATGGTGATTTTCCATAGTTTTTTGTATGTTTACCAGAGGCTAGGGGGGATTTTAGGGGGTTCCAGAAATTTGGGAAACTTCCCCGACGCAAATTCGTCAGACGACATTCCGGTTGATTTGGCTGAGGCATTAGATGCTTTTTGATTCCTGGACAGTGACTTGCGCGCTGACCAGGAGAATTCAAGTCTGCTCAATTAGTAAAATTCTGATCAGGAATTCATGAAGCATCAGAGCACACCACATCCCGAGTGATGGCAACGTACTTGGCCAAGCTCAAAGTATTTTTTTCGTTAAGCGAGGAGGATCATCCCAAGAACTCGTGCTTCCAGTTGAGGAACTATGAGTTGAACTATGATTGTAATTATCATGATTCTTGTTTTCAATATTACAGTATGTTAATGTGTTATCAGTATCAATATATATATATATATATTTGTTTTCTTGTTTTACATTGTTCTTATTGTACATCGTTATACTGATACTTATTGCATTTTATTACATTACTATGCACATTTATGCAATATAATTAGACATTGTTACTATTGCTATTATTATTATTAGCTATTATTAGCTCCATGCACTATTAGCAATTATTATTAGCTATTATTAGCTATAACTATTTCTATTGCACTCTCACCACTATTATTAATTATTTCTATTACTACACTATTATTAGCTATTATTAGTGTAAATACCAATTATTATTTCTATTATTAATAGTACAATACCAATTATATTTATTACTATTGCTATTACTATTAGTATACCATCTATCACTGTTTTTGCTCCACAAAAAGTTGGTCTCCAAGCTGCCTCGCTCAACTTCGAACATGGCAGATCCATCGCGAGGGTGGAAATTCCCATCAACCCAGGCACACATAATACGTACATCGTACATGGCATGCATACACACACAGACACACACATGGAGGTTTCCTGAAATAGGGGTTCCCCTAGATTCTGATCATCCATTTATAGATGGATTTTCCATGAAATAAACTATCCTGGGATAAAGGGGTACCCCCATTTATGGAAACCTCCATATATTATAAATACATGTATACACAATGGGTGAAGGAAATCCGTGTATGAGGTTTCTGCCCACTGCTCGTACAAATCCAATGGCAAAATTGCTTCTCTGGTGACTTGACCAAGTTGACCTCGATATCACCCAGAAAATCTGGGTAAATTATAACGACCTGCGACCGAACCCTGGAAGCATGGTGAATAAGGGAAATCATCTCCAAATGGCCTTAATTCAGGTCAATGAAATATTATAATTTACCCAGATTTATAGATGAGTAACTCATATTTTCCCATAAAAAATTAAAGGGGTTGTCCATTGCCATGTTGTATTATATAACGCTTCAACGGGTACTATACCATGAACTGAGCTGATCGCATCTTTTTTTGTGCGCTGACATGATGCCGGGAATTCCAGGTGCATAGAATCTGCAAATTTTGCTCATTGTCGCCGGTGGCGGATATCGCCAGATTGCGCAGATTGGGTCTGGGAGTATGGCAGTATCAATTTTCAGGAATGTATTTGGCTTAGTCCAGGGTGGAGACATGTGCAGACTGCGTAAAGTGGCATAGGGTTTTGGAGAATCCCAATCCGGATTAACAGCCTTTCTACAAACACGGGGTGCGGGATGATGTGGATAAGGCTTGTGCGCTTCTCAAGGTTGTCCTGAGATTGACCAGAAGTTGTGATTCCGCATGGTAACCTATGATTCCAATCAGTTCCAATGAGGTACTGAAAATGCGAACTGCCAAGGTGTTCCGCTGTTTCCCGGCTTTTGTCTCCAATGGGTCCTTTTTCCAGAGATCGGACCGGGGCCGTCACAGAATAGGGCGGCCTCGTGCGGATGATTTGAAAGTGGCTGTGGTGGGTTGCATGGTGCCAAGCCCACCCTTATGAGCTCAGCATAGCTCAGCCATCCCTGACTTTTGAGTGTGCTACAAACTGTGGCGCACCGTTTATGTTTATCAAACTGCCTTGGTTCATCTTGGTTCCACGAATGTCACCCCAGAGGCCTGGGAAATCAAGTACCCCGTTTTTTGGGCCGTAAAGTCAATGTGGGGCCCCCGTTGGATAGCTAAGTTGGTGAACGAAACTCTACTGTATCACTGTCGGGTTTATGATATATCCAACTACTTAGATGGGGTATGATGGGGTTATAAAAGGTTATAAACCAACTTGGGGTTGTAAACCAACTTATGACTAGGGGGCCCCGCTATGTCTTGATTTCCATTGGTATAGCAGATCTCTGGGATTGCAATGAATAAATCCTTTAGAAGTCACGCACCAGCAGTGTGCGGGCAGTGGGTGTACCAGCTGTAAAGAATTGCTTGTCGAAAAAAGGTGCAGCCAAGAATTGAGTGTGCTGAAAGGATTTTACCCTAGGGTAAACAAGTGTAGACTAACAGTGTAGATGTGGAAAACCTATGGTTTCCCTAGGAAAATCATCTACAAATGTTTCAAATGATGGTTGATTTTCCAAATCCATGTCAGTTTATCCATGTTTATCCTGTCCCAAAGAATCATCCTGTCGAAATCCTGCATGGCCGAGACGAGTGGAATGATGCGCAGCTGAACCACAACAAACCTATACCCTCTAGGGAATCAGTCATAGGGATTGGACAATCGCCCCTCTTTGACAGCAACATAACCTATCAACATATCAAAATCCAGCAAAATTGGTGATTTGCCAATGTTTTTCTTGCGAGAGGGTGTCAAATCCATGATGTTCAGGTGTTTTCATATTTTTCATGCGCTCTCAAACTTCCGAATGTGTAGCGAGTTCTGGGTATTTGCTCCCTATCAATTTTTGCAGGGGGAAATCCCCCAAAAAATCGAGATGTTTGTCGCCATCAAAAATGGATGATGTTCTGCTGCCATCGTAGGTTGGTTTGGAATTCTGCTGCGTACCGTGACCACTGTTGAAGCACTGCTTAACCAAAATCAACGTGCCATGTGCGTCCCCAAACTGTGACATTGTCACATTGTCAAGATGAGAATATCAAACTCTTTGGTGTCGGTGTTTGATTGACGTCTTGGTGTCGTATCCAAAACGACCATATTCTCCCAGAAATTGTTGAAGCAGAAAAACAGAGAAACCTTACTGTTTCCTGGCTCACGGTGATACATGATATAATGATATATAATGATGTTTATAATATCTATATATGATATTCAGTGGTGAAAACCATGGTTTCATCATTGTTTCCTGCAGATTTTCCCGGGGAAAAAAAAAAAAACAAGCCCTCGTAATGTTCAAATTGGGGAGTGACTGACTCACGAAGTATTCTCCCAAGAACCGACTGAGGTGAGAAAAATGGCTTGCTGGGCACTGAGCTGGTAGCTGGTAGCTGGTGGATTGCTTGGATCATTTCAACTTCAAAAAATGACCATTCTGCAAGCATTTTTTAAGGGATACGAACTACAGATAACTACAGTATCAAACAAATGATATCAAGATGTATCAAGGAAGCATCCCGTAAACTGGATGCAACATGTTTAGCTATTCCCATCTCAAACACGTTGATGTTCCATCCAGACGACAGATGAGCAATCCAAATGACTATGATTTTGTTATTCAATTCCGGTGGCTTCAAACCATCAGATGTTGTTTACCACTTGATGGTCTTCAGATCATCATCTTATCCAGAGATCATTCAAGCATATTCAATCATCATCCAGAAATGCACAGAACACTTAGCGCAAGCTTTACATTGAGCTGCAAAAAAGGATGACAGAGGCTGCGACAGCAATGATTGTGGTGCTCTTAGGAATCTGATCTGATCATAGTCATGCATTTGGTACCTGTTTGGTTGAAACGGCACGGCTTGTGTGACCATGCCACTTAGTACATGGGTTGGAATTCTACAGATGAAAGCCACCTATCAAAAAGTGGAATATCATTGCAGAACAACAACAGTTAGAACTTTGGAACCATGGGTTTCAACCCACCGGTGCTGGAGGGATGCTGGATGACCAGGCAGAAAAACCATCTCCAACTGTTGTGCAGCATTTGTGCAGCATTTGTGCAGCGCAACTATGTAGAAATGGTTGAGTGTTTCCAGGCATTCAAATGGGCTACATGTTTGATTCTGTTTGATTAATTATACTGAGAGAATCTGATAGACATATGTGTGCAATGGGTTGTAAACAACCTATCCTGGTTCACTGCTTCGCAATGCACCAGGATGGAGAGATTGCCACATACAGTGAAAACCAAGTGTCGCCATGAAAACAAGACATGTAGAGACGCGCAGATATAGCTGGACCATAGTAGACCCATTTTGCAGAACCACCTAGCCACCCCAAGCATCACATTACGCAGACACCATTTAAAACTTGTACTGCTCACCAAGCACTTCAAGTGATCGAACGCTTTGGATAGAACAGTATGGTATGGAACCGTTGTAGGTCCCCAACTAGATAGAACATGATACTAACTTCGGTGGTTAGGAATAGTTGACTATCAAACATCAAATTGTTGATGAAGTATAGCTTATGGTTATTATGGTTGTTTATATCCCATTTGCAGGCATACGGCATACTATCCATATGGCCCACATCGTTGGTGAATTAGTTGTTGAATCCCAAGCATCACTAATAAAAACCCGGTGGTTTTGGTATATCACATGACAACATTTTTGAAAAGAAGTCAAGCGTAAAACATTCATCTTGTTCATGTTTATATATTTTTATTCATGATATCCATATTGTGTATATATATATCTGGGTAAATTATAACGACCTCACTGCGACCTCACTGGAACTATGGTTAATAAAGGAAATGATCCCCAAATGGCCTTAATTCAGGTTAGTGAAATATTATAATTTACCCAGATATTGTGTATATATATATACATACTAGATCATACTAGTGTGTAGTTTGTTTGAGAATGTTTGAGATAAAAATTAACCATGTTTGTCCCTTTCCCGCAGTATCGGTTGGTTTATAAATAGAGGGCTACCCCATGACAACCAACAAGTACGTAGATGATAATAAAGAATATGCCACACCAGTCCGTCTATGTTTCCTCAAAGGGCAATAATGTGACATGTGAGTAAAACAATGCCATAAGCCATCCCCCAGTCATCACCATTTTTATAGGTGGTAGATTTGTTTACCATTCCCAGTCATGGGTGCTTTATGGCATTGTTTTACCCACATTACTGAAATTAATATTGATTCCATGTTCTTGTCGTTATATCAATGTTAACTCGGAGAGTCCGAAGAGG